AGACGACATACAACTGGGTCGCAGTGAGCGGATCATGCGATGCACGAATCGTGTGGATGTGAGGTGTCTGTTTTTCCGGCTTGTAATTCCACAGGAGCCAAAGCCAGATAATCACATTACCGAGGATGGACAATGGAATAGAGACGACAAACCATTCGCCCCAAGAGGGGGCAGGATCCATATTTTGGATAGCAATGATATTTTGAGGCGATGAAATAGGTGAAGTCATACCACCCAAATTGGACGCCAGTGCAATGCCAAGGATAAGACAAGGAGCAAATTTAGAATCCACGGGCAGTGTACGCAGAATAGGCTGTCGACAGAATAAGTAGGGTAAATACGTCTTTTTTTCTTCTTATCACTGCATTTGCCACTTTTTTTTTTAGTTTTACCTGAATCAGAGAGAAACAGAGAACGGGGGCGGCTACGTTGCTGATCCACATACTGGCGATGGTGGCGACCATCATATTGACAAGGAGAACCCGGTTGGGTCGAGTGCCGGCCTTGGACAGAACATAGGTGGCCATGGATTTGGCAATGCCAAATTTGCTCAAAGCACCTGCAATAGCAAACCCACCCAAAAGTAACATAATGACCGGAGAAAACATGCTCGCAAAAACACGTTTGGTCGCATCCGGGGCACTCAATCGGGTATGCTGATCGTCATCGGAACGCATCACACGCAGAGTGATGATCAAAAATGGAACAAGAAGAGCTGTAACAAAGAGTGGCATGACCTGTGATCGAACGGTTGGGGTCAGTCCAAAAACGAGTTCAGTAGATCCATTATCATTGGCTTATGCACAGTCTTACCTCTGTGGCCCATAATAAACTGGCAAATACAAGAATGGCAAAGCATCGATTCTGTTCAATTTCTGAAAAGATGGGAACTCGTAAAAGGAGGCCGAAAACCGCGACACTGAGAATGAGACAACAAGCATGTGTGATCTGGCTTTTCTGGAGTTTGAGGGTGCCGAACGGCGTATGCACTGCAGCGGGTTTGCCTTCACTCAGACCCACACTTTGAATGCGTCTTTCCTGACCAACCATATCACGCCACACCGTATTGCGCTCCCACACGATGTGTTCTCTGAGATGCGTCTTGAGTTCGTCAATGGCTTGGTCCAGATTGCCATTGGTAACAAGGGTAGCGTAGCCTTGTTCTGTTTCCTGAATACGTTGGTTCAACTTCGCTTTGGTGGCGCTCTTGAAAGGGTAAGCTTGACTGACGTAATTGGAAGTGTAGTATCGCTTGAGGTTGTTGTTGGTAATTTTATCGTACTTTTTCAGGATTTTGGAAAACGCCGTCAGATTCAGTGCCACAAACGATTTGAGTTCAGAAAGTAGGACAAATAGATCGACGGTTCGTTTGCGTAATTCCACCAGATTATGTTCCCCCTGTTTTCCGCTTGTCAACAAGGATTGCTCCGGGTCATTCTCGCTAATATTTTGTGTCCCAATATTCGCAGGCAAGTACGAATCACCTTCCACGGTCGACTCACGTCTGGGCAATTCATTCGTGTTGCTGCGACGCCTCTGGTTGGGGTTGGTCGGAGCCGGACGAGTGGTCTCCAAGCCCGCTTCTTCATCCATTGAAGGTCGATAGTACGAGCGGCGATGCTCATAGGCCGACAGAAGCTTATCCATATCGTCATATAGCTCCGTCTCTTTTTTGGAGTAAAACCGTACAATTTTATCGAGCGACTTGTCCAGAGCGGCAATGAACTGAGCATTGTCGGATTCCACCGGTTGCGGCTCGTTTATCAATGCCGTCGTTTCACTCACATGCTCGCGATCGACCGACAGCCGCGGTGTCGTACCAGCAATCTTGTCTTTTTCAATAGCATAAATGAGTTTCTTTAGGTTGGAGTAACTGGGAAACCGAGTGAGAAAGAAAAAAAAAGTCAGAATAAGAGAGTCGGAAAGATAAGTTACAAGGGTTTTCTTGGGTCATGGTGAACTTGCACTTACGGTAAGTAGTAGTCTGCCCAATCAGGTACAGCATTAAACTGAATTTGATGGGAAAACTTCATGGTGGAAAGAAGAACAACCTACAAGAGAAAAAAAAAAGGAGACGGAAACTGAAAAAAATATAGGTGGAAATTCGCTTGATGCGGCTTTGGTTGCTTCTGGTTGGCAAGGAGACTGAAATAAAAAAAGGTCAGCTTTTTTCTTTCCTTCCTTTCTGAACACTTCCTCGCGGTTTTAATACTCACCCAAATAGACATGCACTGCATCACCCATTGCCCCACCATGCATCCTTTTTTTTCTTATTTTTAGCCACTCCAGGTGTTTTTTTGATGGAAAAAAAACATAAACATTGATTCTACATATGCAAGTGATGATCCAATGGATCGATTTATATTACCCCATTCGCTGATCGTCAGCCAGTTCATCATTATAATCCGATTATACAACCTTCTCTCTTCCTCTTTTTTTTTTGCTCTCTTCGATCTATGATCGGGTCCATCTACACTTTTTTGATAACCGGATTCTTGCATGTATGTATCCGGATGATCCGATCATTTGCCCATGTGGTTATACTGGGAGATGAGTGAGATAATGTGGGATGACATAAAAAATAATAATTTATTGTATGCGTTCTATGCAGCAACAGGAACCAGCCTGTCACCGGAAATAATGGAAATTGAAGAAATCAATGTGACCTTCTAAATCTAAGCGGGGCAGAAAGTGACGGTATAACCCGATGACGAGCAGGAGAAGGTGGAGCTGGCATCATCGTACGCGAAACTGTAAGCGTCGGGGCAGACGGCTTTGACGACTGAAGAGTATTCGTTGGGTTGACACGTTTCGGGGCTGTTGTGGGCGCCTTGACAGCAGAATTCATCGGTACCAAAAGCCGAGCATGCACTCTTGCAGCCAATTACTTTGCCGTTATCACCCTTGACTTGGAGATCTTCGGGACACGAGGGCAGTGTAGTGCAAGCGGGGATACCACATGCATACTTCTCAGCTGAATTGCCCGAACCATCGCTCGAACCAGAGGGCTTGATATCCATAGGCAAGTTGAACCCGTCCACCAATGAAACATCGTAAAAGTCCTTATCGGAATATCCATTCAGCAAGAATTCAGCCAAGGAAGCAGGAGCACTGGGATTGCAGTCGGGACCAGAGCCGGAGCACTCTTCGCGTCCCCAGAATCGACCACCCCAGTTGGAAGGCACCGTGAATTTGTGAGTAGCTCCAGCCGCGAGATTGATAGCATGACCCGAACTGGCACCATTGGTCATTTGATTAACTTGGATGTTATGGCCACAATGGTTATTGACAGTAATGGTAGCACCGCCCGTGGGGGCAGCCACAGTAGCACCAGCGAGACCAAGTAAGATTGCGAGAGATGTAAGTTGAACCATTATGAAAAGTGAGATATAAGTTATTGTTCCTGAAACATCCACCCTGTCGCAAACACCTCCACTATTTATACTTGAAAATCTGGAATTCGTGATGTCCCGCTTTTTGTGGATCCTCATCCAGACCCTTTTTTTAGTACCTTTTTTTTTCTCTAGTTCGGAAGCAAGCGACCAATCCTCATCTCGCTAGAGACGTTCAGTGCCATTCCATGGGAGTAGATGTCTTGGGAACGGATTAAACCAAGACATCTTCACGATCTGCAGCCGTCCATTTGTTGTGTATCAAATGATTGGAGAGGGACCCTCGTCTGGGGCCTGAAATTGTTAAAAATAAGAATTTGAAACATTTCAAATTATCATTTGAATTTGCTGAAATTTCGGGACAGTGATTTGAAGAATATCTGTACTCGAATGGCCTGTCAACCAGGTTTCAGGCTATTTTAGAGTATTTTTGGATGCAAATCTTTTATTATTGTTGCTGATCTCCATTTGCTATTTCGGGACTGTCTACCGGTCAACCGATCCTTCTCCAGAGACTCGTAAATGACCGTGCGTTTGTCAAACGGACACTGGGGTGACACAAACTACCAATGTGGTCAGTGTTTTTCGAATTCTGATATTTGTTCTTTGCTCGAACTATTTCCAAAGTTTGGAGTCTCGATGGAAAAAAGTAAATAGTCATTAAGCTTTTAATGTCTTAAAATGGAGAATTTACTATGAAATACTCGAACAAGCCTATCACAGGCCGTCGTTTCATAAGCCCACCATTGACATGCATCCGAACTAATGGCTACCCATTGACTGCCAAGCATTTACCATTGGTACTAAATTGTATTATCATTGGTCTACGAGTTACCCGGGGAGATCCTCAGAGGTGTGGCAGTCGTCATTTCGGGTTATTTTTTACGCCATATCATCCATAAATCAAAAAGTCGAAAGGCCGCTTCATCGCTGCCAAGAAAAATACAGGGAAAATCGTACGATGATCGATTCGTAAATAGAACAAAACAGGGATTCAGCTGGGGTGGATTAGGTGAGCCCACGGAAAAATGGCAAGAAACTATGTTTCCAGGTCATGTGTCAGTTTAGAGGGGCAGCTGTCAATTGCCTCCATTAGCGATCGTCCTCAGACCATGCGCTGTGGAATTTTTCGGTGAAGTGATTCATAATTTCATACTCCGGAATTTCGGCAGACAGCTATTATAATTGTGTCAGTAAATTTTTTTTTATTTATAGCAACTTTTTTACATCTAAAGATGATTTATCGTGAGTGTCAAAATGCGAAACAAAGGCGCGGTGATAAGTATCCATTGTAGGATTGTAACTTGAACGGGATTATTTTTCTCCACTGTAATTCTGTAAGTCTAGACCAAAAAGTTATAGCAAAATTACAAGGCTACAATAAATTAGAGTCACATGATCGGTTCCAGAGATGTTGTCCTACAAGCCGTACACCCGCTGTGCAGTGGATGCCACCTGCTACTGGACGTCGCCCCCTTACATTGAGCGACATTCGTCAGACAAAAGCCTAACGCAATACGGCATAACCTGGGCGAGACTCTTGATGGAACTTTGGTAAATTAATGTCAATACTCTGGCATACCGTACAGTCATGATTTCCAACATGTGTGCAGCAGCACTTATTGACCCCCTCCATCCCGCCCAGGCTATGATAGATCTAGAAAGATGTGTGGGTATGTTGGGTATTTAAAAAAATGAGTTAGTAAGCTCTTTGATTGATTCAAATTTTCGTCAAGATATTTTACCTTTGTTATTTGAGTTTGCAATAGCCATTGATCGCTTGACATGACTTGGATTATATGACATTGAAAAAATTTGAATTAGTATACGTTCATTACATCATAGCAAAGGAAAAGAAATTGGACTTGCCTTTGAACCAAATGGTGAACCGGACAAAAAAAAAAGATGATACGGACCGCCAGGTAAGCTTCTTCTTCGATGCGGAAAATAAATTGCTTCCAGGGACAGTTAAGCGATGGATCGGTGGTGTCAGCTTGAGCAGGCAAAAAATATTGACGTGGCCAGAAGTGACGATAACTTCGAGTTGGATTCCAGATATCGAGAGTCCCCCGAATAAAAAGAAAGAAACAAATAAAGTACATGATGATAAAAAAAACAATGGTCGCGTCAGTAAAAACCTCATAAAAAACCCTGTGGGAAAAAAAGAGGAAAAGACTGCGAAAAGAATATGTACATGAAATACAAAATACAAAATACAATAATCGGGAAGACATCTCGAATACCATATGATGAGAAGCAATCCAAAGGAGAGGAACATGAAGAGGACACGTAAGCGTTTTTCTGATTAAAAAGAGAGCCACACCACCAACGATGGCCTTTGACGTCATCCGGTTTCGCCAGATGGATGGATGGATGGTGAGAGAAAGTCAACTTGTAGTATCCAGAACTTGTCAGGCGAAAAGAAAACGGAAACCGGAAGCTGGAAGAAGAAAGGAAGTAAAGGAGAGGTAAGTCTGTTTTGCCGGAGCAAAATCGATGGTGACACGCGACGTTTGAGAATGGTAGTCGATTTAACCAAGTTAGATACACGGGATAAGAATGGTCTGGATGATGGATGCGGATGGGATCTTGATACAATGATACCTAGAGTTTTCCAGGTAAACAGAAAGAGAGAGAAGACCAAAATATATGATTTCCCATGGATGAAACAATAGTCACCCTTCTGATGCATGAATTCATAGATCGAAGCACGTCTGCTTGTGTATTATTCGATTCATTGAAAATGAAAGAGAATGAAAGGAGATATACAGTATAACTGACAAAAAAAACAAATTGAATGATGCTACAGAAAAACGCCGGTCGTATCATCAACCACTTTTCTTCAAAAAGAGCTCTACTCACATTTTTATTCGAAAGACGACGATACTCTGTTTAACCACAACTGGCGCAAACGGCATCTTGCTGCTAATTGTTTCGCCTATTATCGTGAAAGTGGGCAGCGAGGCATGGTTGAAAGATAAAAAAAAAGGTTTAACAGGTCCTGATAACTTAGTGTAGATCATGTGATTTACAAAATCGCTAATTTCCCAAAGATTTTAATTATGTAGGTTTCTGCTGAATGATGATGCTCCCAGTAAAGCTTCTCGATACGTCCTAAGAGAGGGATGAGCGATTGTTAACCGAGTACAACAGACTTGGATCGGCAGTTTATCTTTGATTAGAATGTTCTTGCTTTATGTATCGTGTTATCCCACATAAAATACCCGTCTGCATACAAGTGTAAGCTGCAGACGTGCGACTTGACTTTTTTTTTTGGCCCTTAGTGGTCAACATGCGTCCTCAATGAAATAGACAAAGGGCATTCTATTAAATGCAGACTGTGCCTTGTCATTTACTTTGAAAAAAGACCGTAAGGTGGATGCCAAGACTCAGAATAAACAGGTGCAAAAATAATATGTATCATGCCAATTGAGAGGCATTTAGTGTCGTAGCTGCATGGCTGCAACATGGTTGCATATTTACCTGCAGCAATTCACAAAAAAAAGGCGGGATGGAAAGGACGAAAAAAAAAATCTCGTTTGGTTTTGGTTAGCATGGATGATGCACTATCAGCGGTGATCTACTATGTAAAAAGGTGGTGACAGTTCCCTTTCGAACTCGATTCGATCGTTTCATAGGCCAGTGAACAATATTGCCCATTTCTCCACTGAATTTCAAACGATTCTGTGAAGAGGATACCATGGAATCACTGCTTGAACTTCACCCGATCGAGAACACCACATTCACTGCTCGAGATGGGTCATGCGACCCTATCAATAACTTTTTGACATGTCTTTTTTTTTTAAGGTTTTTCTGCAACCAAAGATCCTGAAATCTGTCGAAAGTTCATGCGAATAATGGATAGGCTTTTATTTGGGTTATTTTGCAAAAATAAACTTTGCAAGTGGTTCGAGTTTCGTGATAATGGCCAATTCAATTGTGTTTACATAATGTTTGTTTGTTGTTTTTCCTCATTAAAGAGGTGTTGTTCGCTGTTTGATTTCTATAAAGGATAAATCTAGACAACAAGGCAAAAAGTGACTTTGGCTGTGGCCCAATTTTGGTTCATGGCGATAAAAAAAATGCTGTAGCAACCAGTGAAGTGGTTTATACATAATGTTTTCTTCTCCTTTGACTCACAAACATTTTTTTCTCACTTTTTCCCTCTCCCCCTCTCCTTTTCAGGTATCTCTCTCTCTCTCTCACTCTCTATTTTTTCTTTTTCTTAAAGCGACTGCTCCTTAACTCTTATTCTTTTTTCTTCTCCTCTTGTACGTTATATTAAAGTCTTATGGCTGGCTTTGAGACTGTTTATGCGATTCACAACTTCGAAGCGGAGAATGACGACGAGATTGCATTCTCCATTGGCGAGCCTGTCATTGTGCTTGAAAAAGACGACGGGTACAATGACGGTTGGTGGCAGGTAATGAGTCCATGTCTCTCATTTTGGACTAAAGAAAAAAAAATCCCTTGGACTTTGTGGAAAAATAAAAAGGAAGCAAGAACCCCAAAAACCTCACTTTCATAACAATGTCATTTTTGTTTTCTCAGGGTCGTAATATCAAAGGAGAAATTGGCTTATTTCCCGTCAATTATACGGCTCCGTTGGGCAGCGAGGCATCGCTGAGTAACAAAACGGATTCGTTGCAAGAGGTGGTGTCGGACATGCAGGTACCATCTCAATTACCGACTCCGTCAACGTCAGCTTCAACGGGGCAATCACAGGATTCGCTGCCATATACAGATTCGGTGTCTTCGCTTAATTCCGCCCCTTTGCAAGTCTCAGCCGCGTACAAAAATGTACAAAGAGCGGTCCTCGCCTCGTTGTCCCTGCCCGCCCTCAAAACAAGTTCACCTGATGAATGGGATGTGGAACAAGTGGCTCTCTGGCTGACCACCATGGGATTCGAAACCGTGGCCGATAATTTTAAAGGTAAGGGCGGATCCCCATCGGTTGGCCGAAATAAGAGAGCCCCAAAAAAAAAAATCATGCATGATCTTCGGAGCGCATTGATGAATGTGTTTGATGTTTGGTAGCACAAGAAATCACCGGCGACATTCTCGTCGAACTCACTTTGAACTCCCTAAAAGAATTGGAAGTCAATACTTTTGGCAAACGTTTCAAAATCCGCACCGCCATCACGGCTCTCCGTGAAGAATTGGCTCGGCAGCATAAACTCTACCGACGATCGCTGCGAAGTTCAAGTACAATGATAACTTCTGAGGTAATTTAAACCGGTTTATCCCCTTCTTTTCTTAAGTGGTTTCTTTCTATTTCTTTTTGTCTTGGCCACCTCGGGGGAACCGTGAGCTTGTTTATTTAAACAGGATGAAAAAAATAGGACATGTCAGTAAACCATGCATATCATAAAGCCCACCTTCGTCAAAGTGAATATCGTTGGCGTTCGACTCGTCATTTGGATTCAACCCACTTGTCGCAAAAAAAGCGCATCCATTCGGAAGGACCGCTCAATTATGGAGCGACGCATCAAAAGACCAATATGGCACGCGCTTATTCCACATCGGCAGGTCCACCTCGAAACCACAGCAACAAAGGCGCCGTGAAACGAAGAACCGTAAGTTGGCCTTAGGTGTTGCCTTTTTTTTCTTTCGGACATCCCTATAACAACACCGTTGTCTTATCCATAGTATGCAGGAGGTTTCGAAGCAAGGCATTCGGATTTCTCCAGGTAAATGAGAATATTTCCATCACGGATTGTCGTGATATATCTTGCCAGTGTGGGCTTGCATTCTATTCCTCATAATAATCTGATTAGTGAGGAAGACTATTTCATCCATTCTTATCTATCCGACTCGCGATCACAAACGGTGTTGCCGGTGGCCGTGAGAGGGTCGGAGGACCGAATGGGGGCTTCCAACGAAAGCATCACACCCGATAACGAAGGATGGTTGCATAAACAAGGAGATAAATACAAAACATGGAACAAACGATGGTTTGTCCTGAAAGGCCCCAATTTATTCTATTTCAAAAGTCCAAAGGTAAAAAAGAAAAAAAAAATATTGATGCATTATGGTGTCAGCGACGACTGGAATTGATCTTTCAGGAACATTCTAGGACGTTCGAATGAAAGGCATTATTCATCTTCGAGGGTATCGCATTGTCGTCGACGAAACCATTCATCCTGGCAAATACTGCTTCAAAACGCAACATGACCGAGAACGCACCTTTTATTTCTTTACTGATACCGAATCAAGCATGAAAGCTTGGATTAAGGCATTAATGAAAGCAACCATCTCACGCGATTTCACCGGTACGTTTGCTGATCGAAAGAAAAAACAACCTTATCATGACGGAAACCTTAAATTATGTCCTTTTCTGGTTCATGTATTGCATTCTAAAACCATTTGCAGCACCCGTCCTGTCATCCAGTTCCATACCGACCGTGACCCTCGATATTGCTCAACGCATGAAACCGAGACCACCGTCCACGCTACTCTACCGAAAAGATCAGCGTATACAATCAGCTCACATTCCCAATCCCCGTTCTCGGCGTCGTCACTCGTACGAATCTCAGAATACCAGCACAGATCAGTCCTCTTCGGCGGATTGGATCATGCAAGAAGAATCAGGCACCATTATAAGCAGCGAAAACTCTCTGGGTGACGCAACGCACAGTTCCGTGTCGAGCGAACCCAAGGAACTCAAGGACTCTGGGTTTGATTGCACGGAATCACAACGATCGTCGGCTTCCAGTCGCATGGTGAGTGCGACAAGTACCATGGATCAGTCGGAAGAAGACCCTGTTGCAGAGGAATACGAAGAATGCCGCACTCGAGCAACGCCATCGAACGACGGCGGGAGCAGTTTTGGCGTAGATCAGCAAGAAGACTTCCACAGCTTGATGAGCATGACTTCATGGACATCATCACACTACGTGGAGTGGATCAACTGTATTGTTCAGCATGATACTCTCACACATTTAAGCGAGCTACGAACAGGGGACATTTTGATCGAATTACTTGAAATTTTGAGCGGCAAAGAAGTGCGACGACCACCGTCATCACACAACGGTCCCGCAAGTATGCAGATGCTAGATAATATTGTGGCCGCATTCAAGTTTATGAATCGTGAAGGCGTGGACGTGGAACGACGATTTACCATTAAAGGTAAAAAAATATCCTGCAAAAAAAAAGCCTGTATAGGTTATCTCACAACATGATGTGTGCATAGATATTTTTGGTGGCAATGAAGAAAAGATCATGGACATGTTAAAAAGTATTCGAGAGACCTACGACAGCCAAGAAGCCACTGAAAGCATCTACGAATGAACTGTCGTCTACCGATGAACGGAAAAAAAATCTCAATGACCCACTGCTAATATATCCTACTTCGTATAGTAATATCTACTTGCTTGTTATATCTGCCAGCGTAATTATAATTATATCGTCCCAAGAAAACTGATATCGACCACTTGATTGCGGGTAATCAGGTGGTATGATATATATCTTCTCTATACACGTTTTTATGACCGTTCTATTCAAATTAAATCCAAGTTTTTGCCTCCGTAATAACAGTTATAACATGCGTACGATAACGCATGGGCTTTTATTAGGTTCCGCCTCTCCGTCCCTAGATAAATATAACCTGTAAGAAAAAGGGGATTCATCAAGTATAATTATCACCATTCTCCTATGGGGGGCAAAAAAACAAAAGACCCGAGCTGGGTCGACCAATATAGCGTGCAGCGCCGTTGTCTTGCACCTTTTGGGCCTCCAGGCGAGAAAGTAAAAAAAAAAAAAAGAAAATGGCCACAACAGCATGGGCAAAACCTCGATTTTAATCTCCGCCCGGACGACCAAGGAGGTCTGGGCAAGGAGCCACACAAGGGAGTGATCGTGCTACGGATTTGCCGGATCCTCCTTTTTCCTGATTATCCTAAGCGCGATGGTACGTATTGGATAGAAATGACCATGCATCCATCTTTTGATCATTGGGAGAAGATCCAAGAAAGAGAGTGATGTGCGGATGGATTGGATGGATGGATGATGGACGATACTGGAAATCTTGTTGGATATGGGGGCATGATGAGCCATGGTGAACTCATTTGTCTTTTTTGTTGTAGCCTCAGCAAATTAAGGACATTAAGCAATTCCTCGAAATTGCCCGTAGAAAGGATGCCAAATGTAAGCTTTACGATGAATTCGAATACCAACTCACTCGTTCAGTGATTCTAAACAAAAAATGTCGAATTTTAGCCGCTCGCATCAAGAAGAATGCCGATTCCACTAAGTTCAAGGTGAGATGCTCGCGTTATCTCTACACTCTCGTTGTCAAGGATAAGCAGAAGGCCACCAAGCTCAAGCAGTCGCTCCCCCCTGGTATGTAAATCTCTACAAGCTTCTCTGTTTCTTTTTATGGCTCGTCATTAACCCTCGTCCTTGTCACTGTAGCTCTCGTTGTGGAAGAAGTCAAATAAACGACCCGTCTATTTCTTTCATACAATAAATCCATCGCAACAGTAACCATTGCCTATCTTACGTTTATAATTTACTTTCGAATTCATTCGGGCCCAGTGGACCTTGCCATCGTTACCAATGAATGGAAAAAAAAGACAACACTGGAATGAAGGCGAAGTCGAGCGATTGTGTCAGTGTCAAGGCGATTGAGACTTGTAGCAGAATAATTCGTTGTATTTCGTTTCCTCTCGTGCGTGTTCGACGAAAACCTGCGCAAGTGCCACTGAAAAAATAGGGAAAGACTCTAACTGCTGTGAAGAAAAGAGGGGTAGGTCAATCGTTCGGAATTGGGACACACAACATGGGAAATGATGCAGAAAAGAGTCCATATTTGTGTGTGCGAATGAGAGGCACTGTGTTTGCCTTAGCTCACAAGGCGCTTGCGGGGGGGAAGGGACCGAGGGGTGGGTCCAAATGTGTCATAGGCTGCTTGTAACTTGTTTCTCTTGGATGACGGTTTGGTTGAGGAAAACATAGAATTGCAATCCCGCGCTTCTAGCAATTGAGCTTAATAATGCGACGGATAATAAACGCGATGTATGCATTAGCTATGCTATAGACAATAAATCGAATACTCGTTGTTATATAGAGGAGTCAATCAAAGAACACTGTTGGCATAAGTTATACTTCTAAAGGAACGCATTTGCAGCTCTGTTGTTGTTTTCCATGCAGTATTCTCTCTCTAAATTCAACCTCGCTAACATCAACTGAACCGTCATTATTTACAGACGTCACATGTAAAATAGAATACAGTATTCTCGAGAATTGGACCCGGCTCTTGAAAAAACGAATTCGACTATGGCTGCAAGAACAACGGCAGATGGCGGTGTTCTTGAAATTTTGCAAACGATACGAACAAGGCAATTTGATTTTTTTTCTCAAATAAACAAACAAACAAGCAAAAGAGAAGCATAATTTTTTAATGATTGTAAAGTCCAATGCCATTCTCATCATCAGAGCAAGATTTCAGATTGCAACACAGGAGGGCTCATTTAACCCACCGGGTTAAAGGCATTTATCTCTTGAACAAGGAGCCAACCGGTGAAAATCCTATGGCTCGAAACAGTTGGTATAAATATCGTTTAAGTCAATGCTTGAAATAGGTTACAGAACCGATGCTCCAGTTATCTCCATTCTGCGACCACTGCCCTAGATTTTGGTCAAAAATCTACGAAATGATGACTGAATGGGAAGAGACGCACGTCCCAGTCCGTGTGATGAATGAAAGGACGGCTGGCATACAAGTCGAGCTGAGCGAGAACATCGATTGAAAGCAAAAAGTTCCAATACGAATGAATTTCAGCGGCACTTGAGGGACTTTCTCGCACTTATAACTGGCCAAGTAGGCTTTTCATAGATTATATTACCTCTACTGACAGGTTGATGATAGATTTTATAATTCGATTTACTCATGCCGTCACCACAAGACGCATGCCATTCTGCAAGCATGGCAAACAAGTTAGGGTTTGATCATATTTTAAAGTCCGCCAACCAATTTGAGAAGGAAAATCCTGTGGGTTTTTTCGAGAGTGCGCTTGACGGTTGAACTCGAACTTCCATCATGAGTCGTGACGATGAATATGATTATCTTTTCAAAGGTTAGTTGTTGTACAGGAGCTTCTGTCGTTTCTTTATTTTTTATTATTGCCGGATGATGAACTAAACTGTGGGGCTGTTTTTAGTGGTGCTTATTGGCGATTCCGGCGTTGGCAAAACCAATCTTCTTGGCCGATTCACACGCAATGAGTTTAATCTAGAATCCAAGAGTACCATTGGTGTTGAATTTGCCACACGTAGTATTGAAGTGGATAACAAAGTGATCAAAGCACAAATCTGGGATACAGGTGAGCGGAGCCCTTCTTCACCGGCACACCACTTCTTCACCCGGTGCAACACTCGCCCAACAGCATACTCAGACTGGAAATCCATCTCTAGCTGGCCAGGAACGCTATCGTGCCATCACCAGTGCGTAAGTTTACATGATCTTACTTTATCTTTCTCGCTTGCTTGAACCACACTTAAAAGCGGGTTTCTGTAGTTATTATCGCGGCGCAGTGGGTGCTTTGCTGGTATATGATATTTCCAAGCATTCGACGTATGAGAGCGTGAGTCGATGGCTCAAGGAACTCCGAGATCACGCGGATTCCAATATTGTTATCATGCTTGTGGGCAACAAGAGTGATTTGAAACATTTGCGAGCCGTGCCCACCGAAGATGCCAAGCAGTTTGCTGGTAAGTTATCTTATTTTTATTTTGCATTATATTGGATGCTTGGATCACCGAAATGTGATTTTCTTGGTCTCTTTATTTCCTTTTTAAGAACTCACGATGAGCTTGTGTCCTTTTTTTTTGTGTAGCTGAGAATGGCTTGTCGTTCATTGAAACTTCAGCTTTGGATGCCACCAACGTTGAACTTTCTTTCCAAAAAATATTAACAGGTGAGTTCCAATTTGAGATTTCAAAACGCGCGGTGACAAGGACGATATTTCGGAAATATTTATTGGTGAGCGCTGCTTAGAAATCTATCGGATTGTGTCCAACAAGGCGCTGGAATCATCAAATAATGCTATTAAGCCTACCGGAGGTCAAACGATCCTTGTGTCGCAAACCCCTGACGAACAAAAACAAGGTGGTGGATGTTGTTAGACGAGAAGGAAAAAACAAGTTACATTCTATCATTTTTTCTTGGTACTTCCCTTTTTTTTTTTTTTGTCGTTGTACGCATATGATATCACATGAAATTTCAGTGCCATGGAATTGAATCAGTAAAATTTTGGATCCATTTTTATTCGGGGTCGAATCAAAAAAGACCAAGGAAAAAGGAAAAAAAAAAAAAAAAGCCTACCCAACAAGCTCATAGTGGCTTGGAACCCACTTTAGACGCGCTCAATGGATTGGTCTATTTCACTTTCCGCTCAACGCTATAAAAAATGAGATCAAATCAGTTTTTCCCCTTTTCAGTTCGTTCTTCCCCATCATCATGGCATCATCCGTTGCTGTTGGAACCACCGGTAAGCTCGACCTCGCTCACTGTATACCTTGAAGAATTGGCCTATTGACAGTAGAACCCAAAAAAATCGTGCATAGAGCCCACCTTGTTTACTCGTCAACAACTCGAAAAGATCAACCAGGATGTGAAGGACGGGGTTCCTGGCGCTCGAAAGTATATCATTGTCGATAACAAATTGTATGATGTGACGGATTTTGTCGACGATCATCCTGGAGGCGCGGATGTGTTGTTGACTCACGTTGGCAAAGACGCTTCCGGTAAGAAAGGAAACAAGGAAAGAGGAATAGCATGCGTAGTGGGCTCGAATTTTTTTCCTTGGAGCATGAAATGGTGTTATAATTCATCGGATGAAATGGGACACTAAGTTTTTATTTTTTGTGACTTATAGATGTGTTCCACGCCATGCATCCTGTTTCCGCTTACGAGTTGCTGGCCAACTGCTATGCCGGAGATTTGGAATCGGCGCCGGTGGCCAAGGAAAATATGTCATCCAGTGCCGCATTTGCCCAGGAAATGCGTGAATTACGCGATAAATTAACCGATGAAGGATATTTCAAAGCAAGCAACCTGTTTTACGTTTACAAGGTATTGTCAACCTTGGTATTATGCGGTGTATCCTTGGGCCTTATCTACAAGTGGGGCCATTCTACTTTGGGGGTCGTGGTGTCGGCCGTTATTCTCGGCGTCTTTTGGCAGCAGTGTGGTTGGTTGGCCCACGATTTTGGTCACCATCAGTGTTTTGAGACCCGCCAACTGAACGATATCCTGGTCGTCTTCCTCGGTAATTTTTGTCAAGGTTTTTCGCTGTCGTGGTGGAAGAACAAGCACAACACCCATCATGCCAGCACCAATGTGAGCGGTCATGATCCCGATATCGATACCGCCCCGGTGCTGTTGTGGGACGAATACGCTTCCGCCAATTACTACGGCTCACTGTCGGACGAGCCAGGCATGATCTCACGATTCCTGGCCGAAAGCGTCCTTCCCTATCAGACACGCTATTACTTCTTTGTTCTTGGATTTGCCCGTATCTCGTGGGCCATTCAGTCGTTGCTCCATTCGTTCCAGGAAGGCGCTATCAACAAATCCGCCAAACTCAACTTTTACGAACGCGCCTGTTTGATCGCTCACTGGGCCCTTTTCACCTATTGCACGATTGCCTGGATTGATAATATCACCAACATGATCCTTTTCTTCGTCATCAGTCAAGCGACCACCGGCTACGCCCTCGCCATCGTGTTTGCTCTGAACCACAACGGCATGCCTGTCATCAGTCAGGAAAAGGCGGAAACCATGGAATTTTTCGAGATTCAAGTTGTCACCGGTCGTGACGTTGTCCTCGGTCCTCTCGGTGATTGGTTTATGGGAGGATTGAACTATCAGATTGAACATCATGTTTTCCCCAACATGCCCCGCCATAACCTGAAAAAGGTCAAACCCATGGTTCAGTCACTTTGCAAGAAATACGGCATCCACTACCACAATACCACCTTTATCAAAGGCACGTTTGAGGTCTTGCAAGCCCTGGACATCGCCCAGCAATTGTCGCTCAAATTGAGCAAAAAAGCTTTCTAGACCTTTTTTTATTTCTATTTTCTCCCCTTCTCAACTTGTCCACTTTGTCCACCTCATGTTACATCTAATTCCTTTTTTCTTTTCGTCTTTTATATCGCCTCATTCACCATAAATTTTCCCTTTTTTTATTTTCCGTTTTTATTCGCTGCTTTTTGTCATGACCCATCTCGTTATTGCTTTGGAGATATAAAACTCAAAAAATAAAATAAAGCAAATAACTATAGAAACAGGCAGATGTGGGTGTCAGTGGATCTTGGTTTCACGTTCTCATTGAAAGGGGAAACTCTCTGTTGACGTATTCAGTCATCCCCAACGGGGATACACGTTTTGGAATGTAACGGTGGGGACGGATATGGAATAGACATCGGCAGAATTTTCTCCTTGATGATCGGATAATGGTTTTCCATCAAGGTTAGATCTCTACTTGAAAAAAAATTATACGATGTTTTCAAACTCAGCGCGATGTCAGGGGATCTTCGCATTTTCATCCCCCCCCCCCTAGGCCCTTTGCGCTTTTCCCTTGGCTTGCTTGCGACTGTCCCGTTTCAATCAGACATTCACAGCCAGCCCTATCTCAATGTACCCTGTTATCCACAATAACAGGAAGCTTGATATTCTACAATACGACCTTCCTAATTAAATAACAATTAGCCATTCAAGTGACCATCACAACAACAGCGTCGTTGCGTACTACGTAACATTGTATTTTTTTTTCTTCATGTGTTATCACGACAAATCAATGACATTAATCCGTCTCTTTTTGTAACGCTGTCTTTATGGTTCATATTACAAGAATTTGTGCAAGTCAGATTAGGAATCCAGAAACTATGGAAAAAAAAAAGATTAGCTTTATCAAGGCTGGCTTTTTCATTTGTATGGGATAGTTACATAATTTCTGGGCACAATGCCCGTCTGTCCTTGACTGTTACGGGCTTGCCACCAGTTGCCGGTTTGATCGGCTACTTCCAGAATTTCGCCAGCAGCAAAGCTGAGTTCGGTGGGATCATCAGGATTCGCGATATCTGGGAGAATTCCCAAAAATAGAAAAAAATGGAGCCTTGGTGATAATGTCCGAAACATGTTCATGCTCGCTTTTCACTTACACGCATGCAGTGCCTTGACCCGTTCGGGATATTCTGTGGCTGGCATCATCAATGTCTGAGACGTGCTGGAAGGGACCATAGCTTGTGGCGGTCCATCGTTAACAAATGTCTTTTTGAGGTTCTCGCTGAGGGGTTCGTGCTTGCTGTGATTGTAGTGATATGCCGGATCAGGCGAATGAATCGGTGTACGTGCCTGGGCCAGTCTTCCAAGACGGCTTTGTGAATCGCTTCCAAATACAAGCACCCAAAGATACTACACATAGGAAGCAAATATAAAGTTTTATGAAAAAGTACCGGTAATGATCGTGATAGATCGTACCTGGACAACTACCAGTCCAATGTACCCCCCCGCATAAGCGTTGGCGGAATCTTTAATGGACACAGGTTTGTTGTATTGTATCACATAATCGATTTGAATTGTCAACAGTGGAATACTGCTGGCTAGAAGTGTCAAGACCTTTTGATGGAGCCAATCTCAGTTCCACCGTGCGCTGTTGTATACATTTATGTTTAACCATAACCCACTTACCGCATGTCGATGCAGTAAAATCGAGCCGCGAAGAAACAACGTCATGCAGCCCAAGATAATACCAAATTCGTAGATCATCACCCACCATGCCCCATTGAGGACTTTCAATGTGCAGGCCCCGCCAAATGCGGTAATCCAAGAGCTCTGGAAGATCATCATCACCCAATGAGCGGGGATTGAGTATTATTGACTCAAAACTTACCAAGGCTAATATTGTCGTTGTCAAAAGAAATGGATTCTCTGTGAGTCTTCGAATAGCGAAACTGGACATGAAGAAAGTATAAAGACCAAGTAGAGAAAATGCATGAAAAATGAATGAATAAAAGACAAGGGGGATTTTGAAACAAACATTCCATGTGCGACCAAGAGAAAGTCACGAAAAACGAACCTGTCCATGCTTTACAGGTTCCCTTGCTCCTCGCCCCAGACGAATCCGTCCAATGTCGACGAGTATTCCTCCCTTGCCAAAGGATCTCTTTATACAATGGATTGAGCAGGGACTCTCCAAAGGTTATGTACGCCATGTCGCTCGTACATTAGACGGTGCCGCTTATTTGACCGACGCTTACATACAAGATACCATTCTTTGTCATGCACAGGAACAAGGTTTTTGTCTTAGCATGATCAGCCTTTACTTTTTTTTTCATGACAGGGAAAAAACTTATAAGGTGGTTCATCTCTGTTAGGCAAAATATCGGTGGCGACAGTCGCCAACTTATTAAATGTCGACCAGGAAACCGTGTATCATCAATTGAGCATGTTGACTACAGTCACAACAGTAGAAGATTCCATATTAACCGAGTAAGCAATATTTCTCGGCCCAGTCATCTATCTTTGCATAAATGCTGATCAACGTCATTTTTTATCCCAAGCTCATATATCAAGAAAATCACCGATGATATGGAAAAAGAGATCGATACTACAGGTCATATCTCCTTGTTGGCCCAAGCGCAGCATTACAGTCTACCCTATGCTTTTGTACAAAAGGTACCATGCCCACCCCTGCGTACATATCCTTATCGTTGGGTTGTCGTGATGATAAACTCACGTCGCGCGATCCTTTGTACTTCTTCTTTTTTTTTTCACATATCCTCTTTCCCCCCCAAAAAAAAAGCGATCCTTAACTCATCCCTTGATCTCCCTGGATCTCAGTTTTTTTTTTCTTTCTTCTTTTGGACTCACACTGCAGTCTAGCTTTTAGATCCATTACTTGCGCACACCAAATATGTGAAGTATTCTCAGCTGCCGGATTTAATCCTAACCAAGGAGTATGTGAACGAGCAGTCAACAAAGATCAAAGGCGTTCTTTATGCAGCACAAGAGTAAGTATCAACAACCTATGGAACACTGTTGAACGCCCATCGTTAAAATGAAAGAATCGTCTATTTTTTAAAGAGTACTGGCCATGACGTCGCTTCAACGAACGCTTGATATAGGGGAATCGTTGTTCTATGGTATTGTGTCGTCATCCGTGTGGCAGAATTCCAATGCTATGTTTCGTGGTTGGCTCATTTTAAATATGGACCAGTTCTGTTGGAACAGCTCACAGCCGTTCCTGGCATATTTCGCGGTCGTCGTGAGCGTGCTAAATTTGAACCTTACGTCTATCGTGACCGTCAACTATCGCTCATCACTTCTTTGCTGGAAGCAAGCAGATATATTGGTAAATTGACAAGCACGTATTCGATGAAATCATTGCATGATTGTCTCAAAAAGTTGTGGATAGAATATGCTACCGTGGAACAACTGTATAGTTATGGGAATACCAAAGAGGTGCTAAAAAAACACTGCCCGTCTGTCGTGTTACTGGAGACCTGTGCTGTCACCGAGTCACTGGTGGAACAAGTTCAGGAGTCGCTAAACGAGGTTCGCGTATCCCAATCATGGATGGATGCTTCCGTAAGTGGATCTGCTGATGTGCAAACCCATCGACGGCCCATGCTTATTATGGCGTTTTTTATTCAAAGGAACTCGTCCCGTCGGCATTGACAGCAGCCGATATCTTGGCTCTACTTGAAATGATTGTTTCTCGCGACAAACCGCCTGCATCGCCCAACAACAAGCTGTTGATCTTGGAATTGCGCTATGTCACAACGATGAATTATTTGTCCAGCCTGGTTGAGATGTCGCAAGAGTTTTTGAATCGACGCGCGCTGTCGGAACTCCAGACGCAAAAGAATATGCACAGTAACAGGGGCAAGAAAAGAGTGAATGATGTTGAATTGACGCTCCCACAGGTAATCCTCAACCAAAGGACATGCATAGCCGTTAGATAATAATTGTCATTGTGCGATTGTTATAAGATTGCGGAGTATCTGCAAGCACAAGGAGGCTTACCTGAACCACTGGCAACAGCGGTCGCTGTGAAAATTAAACGAAAGATGTGCGAAGCACTGTGTCGTGCTATGCAAGGCGTTTATTTACCAGGCGTGATGAACGATGAACCCGGCCATTCGCCGTCTGATTCGCCGCTGCTGCAAGATCGACGACTGCAACAACAGCTGGAAAAAGAAATCGCTGCCACCGAGTACTTGCAGCGCAAATTATACTTTACAGCTCAAGCCATTGCCCTGTTTCAAGGTATAGAAAAAAGAAAGGAATAAGTCGCAGCCCCAAGCAAGTGAGCTGACAAGCCGCCACAACAGAGAATTCGCGTAAAAGTCTGGAAAAGTTCCTTTTTCGACAACTGTGCTCCGAGTACATGTACCATCTACTAACAATCAAAGTGCTTCAAAGTGCCGACAATGTGACTCGGGTGCTTTCCATCATGGGAATCACTCAAGCCGATCTGGAAGATGCCGGTCGATTGCACGACGATCGTCGAAAAGAAATAACAGCCGCACTTATCAAGAGCGACTATGATGATGAAAACGGGGCGCTCCAACGTCTTTACGAAGCCAAAGTAAGCATGGCCTACTCCCTCACTGATCACATAATTTTAATCACGACTTCCATTATGTTATGTCAGAAATCCGACGTTTACATTGACTATATCGAATCGCACCTACCGGCTTATCTGACTTTTGATGCAGTCAAGGATGCTAAATTGTAATGACGACAGCTGCAACCATTGAACTCCTTATGATGCGTCCACTCACATATCTTATCTCATCTGTTTCTAGTGCCAATGAAGAGACTCAGGTCGCTTTAGGGGATCAGCTCGCTTCGACTGCGCCGACCCCGGCCACGGCGCCTTTGATCTTGCATTTGACAAGTTTGCTTTGCTTTCAATCGCTCCATGACCTACCACTCCATGTGTCCGGCAAGTATGTGCCACACATACTGAAACTAATTACTGCGGAATTGCCATCCGAACAAGCGACCCTCTTGACGCAAGCCCAAGACATGATCATGGCCCATATTAAATCGGGAGAAGCAATCAATGTGAATATATTGAACAATGTGTATGATTTAGGGAATGCCATGCTAGAGAAAATAAAAGCGAGAATACAAATGATTTGAAAAAAAAAGAGGACATCTTTTTGACAAGCATACTAGATACTGTTTCGTCTTCCGCGTTTGCCTTTCACTTCTTTGCCTCGCAGTTTGCCATCGCCTTCCAATTCCATGAGACGGCCCGAGACATAGCCTCCCTTGCGCCATCGTCCCACCACTTCGCGACCGACATCGTAACCGAGTTTCATGATATCATTGAATTTGTTAAATTCCAGCGTGCCCCACTGCTGCACAGGCAGTTTCAGGTATAACGTGCCATTGGTCATTTTCGCTTCTTCCAGTTTCGCGACACTGCTGACGTAAGCCAGGCGGCTTTGGATATCGGCAATGCTGGGAATATTGTAGGTTCTAAACGGATTGAAAGAATGTAACAAAGCCCACCAGCCACTGATGGAATCACCGTAATAAACCGGACTGGTATCGTCATCCGAGGCCACATCCACGGCAATAATGATATCGGCGCCCATGTTTTTAGCCACCGAAACCGGTAAATTGTCCATGTAACCGCCATCTACCAGCATATTGCCGTTCTCACAAATAGGCGGCATGTAACCAGACAACGACATGGATGCTCGAACGTAACGCCAAGCATACCCTGTTGTATGCACTTCCATCCGCGAAAACGTAATGTTCGTCGTCACAGCAAAATACGGGAGCCAGAAATCTTCAATCAAACTGTCTCCCAAACACTTCCAAATACCACGGTTGAATTCATGGCCTAAAAATAATATGCGCAAGTGTTGCATTGTAAGCATTTAACCAACGGACAGGTGATAAAAAACAACCGGGACAATTTACCTGTAAACCAAGCGGTGACTGGATAAGTTAGATCCATCAACTGGCGCCAGATACTGGAAACGCGTCCAGCAAACAGCTTGCTTCGAGCAATGGTGGCAACAAGATCCATGTTTTTCGCATACAGTGCACCCACGAAACTGCCAATACTGGTGCCACCAATAATGTCGATCGGGATGCCGGCTTCTTCCATCGCTTGGATCACACCAATGTGGCTGATACCACGAGCACCTCCGCCACCAAGCACTAAAGCCACCGATTTACCACATAATCGACGTGCCAATCTGCAACACAAATAGTAATAAAAATGGGCTGGTTAGGAGAGACTGTCTAAAATGTAGATATGCATTCGGTGCGACGGTACCTGGCAAAATCATTTCTGGAGGCTGTATTCACCCCGCGGAGCTGAGAGTCGCCTTTCTTTCTCACCACAAGTAATCGACCGAATGTGGGAACCGCCGAGTAATACTTTTCTAGTTGATCCTTGACGTTGTTCAGCATATTAATTGAACCCGCCGTCATCTTTCGGCCCTGTTGTGCAAGCCACGGTGGCCGGATTCGCTCGGTGCTCAGGGTGGCATGCTGTTTCATGGGCATATAGATGTGGTGGTGGGCTTGGATCCATAAACGGTTCTGTCATGTGGAAGAAAAAGTAATAAAATATGAGATATGAAAAGTTACAATTGGGTTCCTGTGATCGCTTACCTTGAGCCAATTTTGTGTGGTACCGAGACCACAGGAACGTTCGCGGTGAAGAAGAACGAGTTCTTTTCTTGCCGTAGTTTTCATATTGATCAGGAACCGTTCATATTCACCGACAGAGGGATCACCGTCGCCTAGCCCGACGAGTAAAATACAATCGGCTTGGCGTATGCAGGTACGTGTCCACTGGGATGTAACACCACTGTCGGCAAGATACAACACGATGCGAACTTTTTCCTCTTGTTCCGCCAACCACGACGCCATTTTCAGTTTTCCCATCCGCGAAAACGCGTGTTTGCCCATCACCGTAGTAACAGTGGTACTGTTAAGCAACACACACGAAGCGCCGACGGAATGCAGCAACGCCGTTTTCAGACTTTCGGCAAATTCGGTCAACGGGACCGATGAATTGACAGGAAGAATACCAATGGTTTTGAGGTTGACATTATTACGACCGTATAACTCTGGATAACTGTGACCTTTGTTGGCAATGGCCGACGAGATATTGGCAATCTCGGAGGGTCCCGTCGACGAGGCCAGACTGAACACTCGGGGACCTTGGATTTCACCCTGGGCGTTCTTGTTCATCATTAGTTGCAGTGATCGGTAAGCCACCATGCGCGAGATCTGCAACGTAATCTCGGGATGACGGAGAGCCAACGCATTGAACAAGGTCTTTGGCATACGCGCTAGTTCCGAATCTCGGATAGCATGCAGTGTAGAAGGCGTTGGTGTACCAGCTGTTTGAAAAAAAAAAAGGAAAAAGAGCGTAAACCAACCGATCCTCCAATGTCAGACCTCCCTTTGAAAATAAGCTTACTCAGTACTTCAAGTTCGCCTACACTGTCACCATGACCGAATTCACCGAGGATGTCAATGTCGCCTTCGCTTTTTTCCTTGATGGTTCTTAGACGGCCATGAAGAACCATGTAAATCGAATCGCTGGGCTCGCCTTCGCGACTAATAATCTGACCTGCGTTGACTTGCATCCATTCCAATGAAAGATCGATGTGAAGAACTAGAGCAGAAAAAAAAACGTGAGTCTTGCTCCATACAAGTAATACCCCCCCCCTCCTACACGGGCAGCATATTCAACAGAATTACTTACTGAGAGGACTCAAGAAGCCTACCAACTGTTTGGCGAGCTTCAACATAACGGCGGGATATCGGTCACTGATGCGATCTAAGGTCTTCTTTGACAGGTAGCCAACATAGGTGTCCGTCTTGGCACTGATTTCCACAAAACTGGGGTAGCCCGTCAACGCATCGAGATAACCGACCAAACCGCCGGATTTGACGGTGTAACTGGGTTTATCAATCTTTTGTTGGTGAATGGTTTCTTGATCCTCTACACGACGTCGTCCGGCGGGGGCTTCCGAGGCCACCGTCTGATTATGTTTGTCGGTCATGGTTGGCGTAAAGGGAGTGACAGCGCTGCGGCTTTGAGCGCCACCGCCCCCGGTGTTTTCGGAATGGACCGAGGAAATCGATGACGAAGGCGACAAGGTAAAGTGAGAAGGATGCTTGGAATGATGTTTTTCCGATCGTTTGGCGAACGACGATTTGGATCGAAGTTTCGAACTGGTGATGTAATCATCGACTTGACCATCCTGCATCGAGTTTCTTGGTCGTTCACGATCACTGAGTACCCTTTCACCTTCTGCGGCGGTCATGGAAATATTCAAGAGACCATCGATCACAAAGAAAATGCCTGAATTATGTTCACCTTCATGCACCAAGACTGCGTCCTTGGGGAAATACAGAATCTGGATATCGTCGGCGGTCAATGAATCCGATCTTTGTCGATCGATGCCGGCGGCCTCGCTACCGGAGAGGACGGACGATGTGGTCGATTGCACATCCACATCATCAAAGAGCAAATCAGTGGATGGCGCCAAGGTAGGCGAGACACTAGAATCCACTGTCCCAGCATGGGTGAAGAGATCCATGGGGTAGTGCGGATAACGCGCTTTGGCCGATTCCTCAGGGGACATACGACGCGACTGACGAGGGGACATGGCGTAAGGTGACGAAGGAGCCTGCGAAGACGGTGATTCCATGCTAATACCCAAGATATCGGCCATGTGACGAACCACTGACGACCGCAGATACTCATCATCCTCAATGCTGTATTCGTTTCGGTTTTCGGGGGTCTTGTTGTGACGTTGAATTCGCGATTGGGGCGAACTGTTGAGCATGGACGAGGTGTCTGAGAGTGGACTTTGAGCGGTCACGCCAGGACTGGCACGGTACGATGAAGTGCCGGGATGATCAATGATGCCAATGGCCTTGATAATGCCCGTGCTTTCACTGCGACTGAGTTCGATGGGCACAGCCGAGGTATCTTCACTGTCGCGTTTGGTTTCATCATCGGTGACAAACTTGTTTCGTAGACGTTCTAGGCACCCGGGCGTAAGGAAATCCGGGGGCAAATCTCGAAGACTGGCCGATTCATTAATGAGTCTTTCCAGCCGCAACAGTTCCTTGCTTAAACCGAGATACCGGTGACTGGTCATGAGCGTGACACGTTGGAAACGAGTCACAATGACCTGCACAATGTGAGCGGCGGCTTTGGGGAATTTCATGGTCAATTTAACAAAGGCTTCTTCAGGAATCACGGCCAATGTGGTGTCCACGGTAGCGCGAGCAATGATATTGGGATGCATGGATCGGTACGACCGTTGCGAAGGTTGGCGGATGAGATGCGGTCGTTGAGGGAATCGCACCGAATCGGACGCTTGGCCTAACCGATTGCGATCCACAAAGTAGTCGTCTTTGTCGACGTGGAGAAGTTCTGGGAGGTTCTCTGTGCGTCCAACGGAAGCGAGAGGGTCGTCCTGTCCAGTGACAGGCGAAGTGCCAAACCGGCTCGTTCGTCGGCTCGCCCCACTGGCACTGCCTGCGGAGGAAAGTCGGTGACGGTAGACATCCGAAGCGGAAACGGATGACGTTTCGCTGTTGAGGGTGGATTCCAGGTTGGGAAATACGTGACGACATTCTTCGGTGGAAGCTTCTCGACTCATATCGACAGCAGCGGGCTGACCGGTGCCAGTGTAGGGATCCGCCAAGGGTGGTATGGGTTTGTTGGAAGCAGCCAAGTGGGACTGCATGACTTTTTGCCGCAGCTTTTGTTTCTCTTCAGTCTTGATAAAGCTTTCGCGAAAGATGGACAAGATCGTGAACAGGCTGGATAAGGTGCCTCCTGCGCCGACTTCGTTGATGAGAGTGTAATTGCGAAATTTGTCGCGATCTTGCTGGTCTTCAGCATTTGGGTCCTCCCAGGGGGCATCGTCGAAACCGTAGTCTTCATCTTCGTCGTCATCCATATTGTCTGGTTTGACAAACATTTGAACGTGACCATCGACCACAATGTAAAACGACCGTTCCTGATCGGGACTGCGGAACAAGGTATCCCCGGCAAGGAGCTTTTTCGTTTGCAAGTGACGTGCGAGCTCATGAAACACGGGTTGTTCGAGGTAACCAAAGATTTTGATCGACGACAGGAAAGCCGACAGGAATTCATCGGGATAATTCTTAAATCCTGGCTTTGAATAGCTCGAGTCTTCGCCGGAATCCGGATGCAAATCAAACGAGGAAGCCACCTTGGGCGGCTCCACTGGCGTCAGCCGAGAGTACTTTGTGAGAAACCGGTACCGCACTACCAAGTAAGCGGCCGTGACCACAAAGGCCATTATGATGAGCAACGAAGAAAAGTTGAGGTGAAGCGTGAATGACCAAGTCAACACTCGGTAAAAGAAGACGGGAATGGAAATGGTCGCGAATCCGACCACCTTGAGCAGCACAGAGGGTATAAAGCCAGCGACCGTAGCAAGACTCGATCGCTGCGATTCTTCCACTGCCGCTGTCTCCATGACAAGATTAACAGTATCGGTTGCGTTGGTCGCCATGAAGGTTCATTGACTGGGGTACTTTATCCCGTTGATTCAAATAATAAAAATATAATGACTACCTCAACAAATACGAGGGAGAAAAAAAAAGGATGCAGTGGAATATCAAAAGAAAGGTGAATCCGTTCTTTGATGAGCGGGGAAGCTTTTGGAAATGAGCCGTGCGGGCCTGACTGCCTATTTTTAATGCCCTTTTATCCAATCGCCACTCGCTTTGGATGTGTTACCTCAATGTACGTCATTTCATTTCAGTGCCAATTAAGAGGCCGACATCATGTAACGCTTGGACAACCCTCATTGTTCATTCTCCCCAATAACCCAGGTCAAAAACCAATGAATAAGTCTTGCAAAAAGTAATGAAGAAATGGGTTTGACGAATTTTTAACAACCCATTGTTCATTTTCTCAAACAAACAAGGAACCTGTGACACTGTCATCTGTGTCAGTTCAGTATGAGATTACAAAATTGACGAAACAAGCAAATAAAAAAAAAAGAATAACTATCTTGCGCCATGGAGTCTAAGAAAAAAAAATAATGCATCGAGAAGCCTCAAGGAAACTCCAAGGAGTACCCGCCCGTCCGGGGAACCCAAGACAATCGTTTCAGGCACCCTAAACAGCCCTAATCGACACGTTACTACGTTGCGCTACGATCGGGAAAACTGGTTCCTACGAAACCTTTTTTTTTTCGAATCAAACTGCGAAAAAAATTGAAAGATACACTTCTTGTACAACATTTTACAAAAAATCGGGCGTCATTTTACATATTTTTATATTGTGTATGAGTTTAGAATTTCTTTTAATACATGCGATATCAAAACAAGGGAGGTATCAAAAATACTATATTTTGTCACTGAGGGTGGGTTTTTTTTTCGTCCTTTCTTCCTTTTTGAGGGGGGGATAAGGGTTGGTAGGGTTCGATTGCTCGCGTCTTCTTTTTGTTTTGTTTTTGTTCTGGTGGAAGAATCGGTAATGGGGTTCTTAGGAATGGATGGCCACTGCACCTGCGTCAGCCATATACATGGAAGGCATCTTGGTGGAGGAGGGGCCGCCTAAATACCGTTCGCGTGTCGTAGGATCGCGGAATAAAAATGCAAAAATGTTGTCGGGAATGAGACGTATGACGACGCCAATGGGAAGCGACAAAAGTCCCACCAAGATAGCAATGGCCCAGTGAGGTCCGTCAATACGTATTACTTGAAACGCTGCGCCACCAAACTCCACAATAAGAGCCTGGCCAGCAACACATACGATGAAGATACCAATAAAGAATTTGTTGGCATGGATATTTGAAAAGACGTTCAATCGACTGTCAATACGACGACAACTGTAAAAAGAAAAAAAAAAGGGAATAGCGTTAGTCACGGAACGGATAATAAGGGATAGGGTGGCACAAGATTGGACTCAGTAAGTAGACTTACTTGATTTCGTTAAAGATCTGGCAGAATACAAAAGTATTGAACACAACGGTTTGCAACACCACACTTTCGGTGTCATACTCGAGCACGTTGCTGTACAGCAAGACGAGAGTCACCACGATCTGGAAAATCGCTTGTCCGATAATCATTTTCCACATCTTGAAGGAGATGAGAGGCATCGACCGAGGTTCAGGCGCCCGTTGGAGCAACTCTTCGGTAGGTGGATCGGTGGCGAGCGCCAGAGCGGCAAAGGTATCCATGATCAGGTTGACCCACAGTAACTGAACAGCCGTCAACACGGATTTTTGGTTGGTACTTGCGACAGCGGAAATAAAGGTGAGAATAACGGCCGTAATATTCACGGTAAGTTGGAATTCCAAAAACTTTTTGACTGCATCATTCACACATCGACCCCACATGATGGCTTTGACAATACTGGAGAAGTTATCGTCCATAAGAATAATACTGGAAGCTTCTTTGGCCACTTCGGTGCCGGCGATACCCATGGAGAAACCCACGTCAGCCATTTTCAAAGCCGGACCATCGTTGGTGCCGTCGCCTGTCACCGCCACGATATCACCGAGATCGCGCAGTCGACTCACGAGAATGCGCTTATCTTCGGGACTAGACCGGGCCAACACTTGCAATCGAGGAAGGATAGCGTCCATTTCGGATTGAGGCAAGTTACGGAATGCAGGGCCTTCCATGACGACGCCGCCCGTGGTATAGATACCACATTGCTTCGCAATACTTTTGGCCGTCACCAGGTTATCACCTGTGACCATGCGAACAAAGACACCGGCTTGCTGACATGCTTTGACGGCTTCCTTGACACCGGGACGTAAAGGATCTTCAATGCCGACCACACCAAGCAACGTCAAACCGTTGTTTCGCACGAGATCTTCGTAAGGGACATCGATTTCTTCACCATCCAATCCAGTTTCACGACCAAACGGTGGCCACTGGTCGAAATCGCGGTAGCCAATACCGATGGTACGAAGACTGCGCGAAGCGTAACTTTGGATAATCCGGTCGACACGGCTTCGATCATCTTCGGTCAATTCCCGCGTCTTGATATCGAAATCATGGGCCGGCGACGTATACTGACTGGGTTGCAAGGTAGCGATGTTGGAACACTTCTCCAGCAGGATTTCCGAAGCACCTTTCACGTGGACGCGGTAAATGGATCGCTGGGCGTCGAGCGGATCCTGAATCTGGATCACGGTGGCCATGGCTTTCCGTTCGGAACTGAAAGGAAACACTTGTTCGACAGGCCATTGGTTGCGCAGGGTTTCATAGCTGGGGGACCCGCTGTCGCGTGCAAAAGCCAGCAAGGCACTTTCGGTGCGGTTACCGACAAAGTTGATTTCGCCGTTTTCGTCTTTGCCTTCAAACGCGGTTGTATTGACGGCAATGCCTTGGTGCAGCATGTTGAGCACGGGTTGCGGCGCTTTCTCTCCAACCAGGCTAATGTCGATCAGATCGGACCGGGTTTCGGGAACTTCTTTGATAAATCGAAACGAGGCACCCAAGGTCCCGGCAACTACGGCCATCTTGTTCTGGGTCAAGGTGCCTGTTTTATCGGAACACACGGTGGTGGCATTGCCCATGGTTTCGCACGCAGCCAAGACACGCACCAGGTTGTTGTCCTTGAGCATGCGTTGCGTAGCGTAAGCGAGAGCCAGGGTCACAGCCAACGGCAAACCTTCAGGTACAGCCACAACGACAATGGTAACGACCACAATCAAAATTTTCATGATATCCAAAACGATTTCGGTCGGTTGATCAGGCACGCCGTCTTTCCAGCCGACAAAGTACCGAATGAGCAAGACAATGAGCATGAGTAATCCGGCGGCTGAACCGAGCTTGGCGATCATTTCGGCGAGATGGTTCAATTTTTCCTGAAGCGGGGTACTCTCAGGCTCCGTACGCAATGCCATCATGGTGCGACCGTAATATGAGTTGATACCGACGCCGGTCACAAGGTACGTGCATACACCTTCCAAGATCTTGGAACCGGAAATGATAAAAGGATCTGGCAACTGCTTATGTTCGGTGGGACCCTTGGTTTCTTGTTCTGGGGTTTCCGACGGCGGTTTTTCATTGTCAGTGTCATGATGACCGGCGCGGGCCAATCGATAACATAATTGCCATGCTTGTTTTCGTACAGCATCGGATTCGCCCGTAGCAGCAGATTCATCGCATCGAAGGTTATGTCCTTCAATGAAAATACCGTCTGTTGCAACAATATCTCCTGGCTCGAGATGCAGGATATCGCCCACTTGAATATCATGTACCGAAATCAATGAAAGTGTGCCTTCGCGTGTAGCCTATGTCACAATCCAAGAGCAAAAAAAAAAAAAAAAAAAAAAAAAAAAAAAAAACGACCGAATCCCTTTGTCAATTGATAGTTCTCAAAATTGATTTCTCTTCCCTGTTTCTCCTTTCCCCCAAAAACAAAAGATATGTGGAATGGGTAGATTAACAGCACAAAAGAAAAAAAAGGATAGGTGGCGAAAAAAGATGGAAAAAAAAGGAAAGGCGTGAAAAACAGAGATAAAGAAAGGGTTTACCTTAACCACACGATCTTCCTTCTTTGCGTTCAATTTCCGGAATTGTTTTTCTTTCTGAAAATCATTGATACTGCCGACGAGCACGACGAGCAAGATGGCGACAATGATGGCGACGCCTTCTACCCATTTGACCCCAGGTATCCGATTGCCCAAGGTATCATATTCAGGTACAGCAATGTCTTCATACAGTCCTACCGCCAATGACACTACCGCCGCTACGGCCAAAAGAATCTACATTATTCACAAAAAATTTTTCGTCGTGAGTCAATAATACAGAGAGTAAAAAAAATCCAAGGAGAAGAGGTTTCGTTGGAATGGATGTTCTTAGTGAGGAGAGAGAGACCTTACCAGTGTTTTATCCTGGAATGCAGTCCACATCAATTGAAAAATATTTTTGGATCGAACCTCGGGCAAGACATTGGCGCCAAAAATTTTGGTACGCTGGGGAAACGCCGATTCAACGACGACGACTTCGGAGACATTGGTGTTTTGTCGACTCAGGGCTTTGATGGAAGAAGCGGCGGTTTCGATGTCTTGGATGTATCCCGATTCCGTGGAGGACATGACATCGCGCAGTGAGATGGGGTTGTGGGTTTTCACAGTCGCTGTAAGGCCTACATTCAGATCCACATGCAGACCACGAGCCAGGCCTTCCAGGCCGCCATAGGTATGCAGTAACTGGATGTTCTTGGGATCCATCAGGGCCGATAACTGGTCGGGCGTAAAAGCAAAAGGGTTTTTAGGATCATGGTGCGGCGTAAGATGGTCTCTGAGATCAATTTTAACGTCATCGGCAGCGGCGGCGGAGGTAGAAGCCGGTTTTTCCATCGTGCACGAAGCCAAGGGTGTCGGAGCAGTGGAGCCAATCACGGTAGGATCTTGACTCGTTAGCATAACAGGGTCATTCCCAGCGGACTGGCCATTGGTGGCCGTCGAATCCTTTGGAGATGCCATGGTGAGTTACTGTGACGATCGTTCAATAGGTGAAGTGCACTTTCGTTCAATATTCAATGATTGAATGAAAGAAAGAGGAACGAGATGTAAAAAAGAAAAATATGGTCCACGGAAATAAATATATACGTTCTAGATAAATGTATATATATTTATAGGTATATGTATGGAAATGAGTCTTGACAAAAAAAAAAATGAAGAAAAAAAATTATTATAAAATAATAATAATAATAGGGAAGTTATCAGAAAAAGGATATAAAAAAGAAAAGAAAGAAAGAAAAGAAAAAGAAAGCAAGCAAAGCAAGAAGCAAGAAGGAGGAAAACGAAAAAAACAAAACCAGGTTCAACAAAAACGTCCTCTTTTCTATTTTTTTTTTTTTTTTTTTGAAAAAGATAAAGGGCTCGTGCAATGAAAACCGCCGAATTGAAAAAAAGGATGGTGATGATGATGATGATGATGCTTATGATGAAAAATTAAGTGCTTTTGGGGGATCAAAAAAAAAAAAACAGATTTGGCCCACCAACGAAAACGATAGTCAAAGAAGCGGTGCTGGGTGGGCAGACTGGATGAGGAAGGGGCTGAGTTGGGGGGGGGCGGGAGGAGAGAAGGGATGAAAGAAAAAGGTAGTGTTTGGGGATTTTGGGAATCGAAAAAAGGTGAAGAGGCGCTTTCGAAGCAAGGGATAACCCAAAAAGCTTCAATCACAACTAAGCGGAACAGATGCCAACTCTCATTATATTTATGTCTTCCACAGTTTAGAAAGTTCTCTGCATGATTTATCCAAATATAGTGATTTTCTCTCTATTCAAGATCACGACATGATAACCAAGGTGGCTCAAAAGTTGGGAATAAACTGCAGAAAATAAAGCTTTCTTGCGTTTCTCACATGATAAGAAAAGGGACTCGGGGTGAATTGGGGGGAGGGCAAAAGAGAGAGGCAGAGACAGGCAGAGAGATCAGAGAGTGAGAGAGTGAGAGAGAGAGAGAGATCAAGGAAAGCAAGGGCCGGGGAGGCTCAGATGTAGGGGATAGGAGACATTTCGAAAAGAAGACGACCATTGCATATCATGCCAAATGGTTGCATATTCCTCGAAGCAATCTATGCAGTCCATCTAATCCAATCATTCATTCATTCTCCAAAAAAAAGACTCCCACCCGCGGACAGAATGAATAAAATGGGGGCATCATCATGTTGACTGCAAATACGTTGTTCTTAAGAATGCCAGAAGGGGTAAAAAGGAAAATAAGACAGAGAGACACACACACAGAGAGAGAGAGAGACAGAAAGATGGAAACAGAGATGCTAAAGCAACTGTCACTGTTTTGTCATCAATCCTGCCTATAAATAAATACGTCCACTTATTGGATGCTTGGACGCAGGCGTACACTAATTGTCCAACTCAAAAAAAATAGATATAAACTGATGATATGCATGATGATAAACTGCAGGCTGACTTCTTCCTGCTGATCACCAAAAAAATAAATAAATAAATAAATCAGAAAAAAGAAAGACAGCGTCTTTGCCTTTGTATTTACCTTCAATCCAGAGAAGTTCCCTTGGGAAATATAGCGTAATCATTGAGCTGTGGAATTGACAATGGGAACGTCACGGCTCGATGGCATTGAGAAATCAAAACGTTTGTCATGGAGAACCATCCGTTGCCCTGTCAATGGACCATGACTACTGCAGCAAAAAGAAAAGAGCAATTGTCATTGGCTGGAGCTCTCCAAGGTCATTTTTTAGTGGCTGCGACGGATAATCTGAATGTTTACGCCGAATATGGTCATGAATTCGACTAATATGGTAATCAAAGCATTCCCTCTTCAGACAAAAACAAAGATATGGATTTGTCCAAGCGCGGGATTTTTTGTGCCCTTCTTCTTGAGTGCGGTTATCTTTTTTTTTCCCTGGTTTTCCTATTTTCCTTGTCTTTCAATTTTTATTATATTATCTTTCGCCCCCTTGTCACTGAACTGCGCCAGACGCCATTCCAATCAAGCCAATCATTGACTCCTTCTCAATATGATTACACCTGTAAGTGTACAAAATAACAGGAACCCTTTTTTCTTCTGTTGTCCTGTCAATTAATCTCCGCTGCTCAAAAAAGGTGTCACGAAAGAGTAAACAACGCACTGCACGTCAAAACTCCAATGTGTTTGCCATGTTTGATAAGCAACAGATCATGGAATTCAAAGAAGCATTCAATATCATGGATACCAATGAGGACGGAATTGTGGATGCAAAGGATTTGGAAGTCACCTTTCAACGACTAGGTAAACTATTTCATCACCTTGTATACCAAAAAAAGAAAGAGAGAAAAAAAGAAGGGGTACCGGCTCGGTCACCATGGGATCAACCAACGGGACAAAGAAAAAAAAAAAACAAGCGATAAACAGAAATCCACCTTACCGAACGACATTTGAATGGACCTTTTTTTTTTTTTTTTCTTGTTGGCAATCCCGTATACTTACATTTCTGTTGAATTTTTTAGGTCAACCTGCTACCGCGGAGCAAATTGAAAAAATGATGAATGAAGCGCCGGGATCCATCAATTTCACGGTGTTCCTAACATTGATGGCGGATAAACTAACCGGCACGGACCCGGAACAGGTCATCATGAATGCATTTGCTGCATTTGACGAAGATGGTAAAGGTTCGATCAACGCAGACTATCTTAGAGAATGCATGACCACCATGGGTGATCATTTTACGGACGAAGAGGTACATCTATTGCAGTATTTCCTTTTTATTTTCTGCTTCTCATTATCATGCTTAAATTGAAAAAAAATGGGTTTTTTAGGTTGATATCATGTTCAAGGGTTCCGCTGTCGATGAGAATGGTAACTTCAACTACAGAGATTTTGTCCGTGTTCTCAAACATGGAGAATAACTGGCACAAAGCGAATTCTCGGCTCTTTTCTTTTCTTGCTTGCATAACGTTCCGTGGTCGATTGATTCCCTTTCTATCTTTTCGTTTCCAAAATGTAAATACTCCAATGGTAGCCCATGTCACGCACAGACACACTCCTTTGTTTATACATCTCTCTATTCACAGCAAACCCCAAAAAATTCGCTTTGATTTGATGCGACATATTGCTGCATTTCGCCAGTCATTGTATCAATCTAACCCAGTAATTCCAGTGCATCCCGATCACCCGAACCCGCAAAAAATAAAAATCGTATCACGAGGTTTAAATGAACTCCAGACATGAATGTTATTCATTGTTGAAATTATTTTGGTTATCAATAACAGGTCGTGTTGGTATTATTACACTCGATTACAGTTAGCAAACATAAGTTAAAATTATAGATACAAATGGGCCATGAGGGCGGAAAACACACTTTGCGTGTGTCATGAGATATATGATCCAACTAGTCGCCATTTATTCGCTGGTGGTGGTGGCCGAGGCGACTTGTTCAAGTTGGTTAACCATCAGTTGAAGAAATCGGTCTACCTTGGTGGGATCCACTGCGCCTTTGTGCCAGCACAATGTCAGATAGAGATGGCCATCAAGGGTAACAGAGTTGACACCGAGGGCGGTTGTGTACGTTTGCGCACTTTGGCAGAACCACAGCTTGTCCACGTGCCAACGCTCCGTCGTCTTGGTATTCATCGTCACTCGACCCAGATCCGATAATTCCACCCCGCCCGTACGTCCAAACTCATTCTGTTTTCGCTTATCGTACCAAAACTGACAATAGTCTTGAGGATAATTTGTCAAAAAACCGAGCAAACCAGACTTTTTCACGCCGTTGGCCTTATTGGCTTGAAGATTGGTGTGATACGTCTCTGCAAATGACCAGAAGGGTTGCGTACATTGGTCTGCCGACCATGTGGATTCATACACCCCCGTGTAATTGCCCATACAATTGGCCGGGACAGCGGGTTCGCAAAACTTTCGAGCATTGACAGGTGTCGACGTTTCAAGATCGTAACCGGGCCACACTTGACCCCACGCTAAAACCAAAGCGGCCAAAAGCGCGGCATGCGGTGAGATATCGGCCGACTTGCACCTCTGGATAACGGCCTTCCACGTGGATGGCTCCACATGGGCCATTCTCACCAATGTCATGACATTTTCACCGTCCACCGCAGGGTAATCGCCTCGCCATATCGATGGACCCGGAGCCGCTTTGTGCCACCATTTTTGGCCCGTCATTTCCCACATCAGTTTCAAGTAATCCATCCAAGCCATGGATGGCGGGTGACAATCTTCCAAGGGCACAGAAATGATGCCCGGGTCTCTTTTTACTTGGAAACCGTGGCTCACAGCGAATTCGGACTCGTTGAGAAAACGTACCAGATCTTGCCAGAAGATGGTTAAACTCATGCCGTCCAGAATCACATGTTGAACCGCCAGCACCACCGTACAGCGATCAGATCGATCCTTGTCCACCGAAATGCGTAAACGCCATAACGGAAGCGCTTGATCGTACAGATCAAATTCTGTAGTACATTCTTCGGCAATAGTTGCCGTCAGAGTTTCCTCCGTGGTCGTCGTCGTGGTCGTCTTTTTATCATCGCCCATGGTGACGGTCACCATGGCCGCCAGATCAAAACTTGGCAAATGGACAAACCGAGCAGACGCCGATTCCGGTTCGGATAATGCAAGGCACAATTGCGGATGATCGTGAACCAACTTGTTGATGGCCGGAAATAACCAGCGCAAATAGTACATTTTGGTGTGATGGGAATCACCAGCCCCGTGTCGAGGTGGATGAGTTAATTCCGCGGTGGCAGTGACGGTACCGTAAGCATGCACCAGTTGTTTCGACACTTGGTATTTCTCCAGCAAGCTGAGCGAACGTTGAGGAATAGCAGCCGACATTGAGAGAATAACAAAGCCTGAACGGCGAAATGCAGGTACGGACAAGAACGCAGATTTGCGCTGAAAATGTTGAGTGTCACCATTCAATCTGTAAGTTCAAAGGGCGACTTATCAACATTGACCGTTCAGAGACACTTGCAATTCCAGTGACATACAAAAAGGAACCCGTGGGTGCCACAAATGCAAAAAAAACACTTATTTATTGGCGAATATAGAATGGATCGTCTGAGATCCTTGTCACAAATTGAAATGTAGTCTGTAATTTAAGCGAATTAAAGTATCTGATCGCAACTGCTGCAAAAGGTCCTTTTTTTTTCTTGACAGTGAAAATGCTTTGAAAGCTTTAGTTACTCCAACTACTTTGTTTACCTGATTTCTTCACAGCTAGACTTGCACCCAATGGCAATCAGTGTACATTTGCCAACGGTAAAACACAGACGATCGGGGTAGAGTCGTTGATCTATGACATATGAACACAATCAAATACTTGACCATTGCGTATAAATCAGTCATGAATTTGTTGCTTTATTGGCAAGAGATCGGACTTGCGAGAATGAGGATGATAGATGATAAGGATGATTGGGGATCGAATGCACACTGCTTTTTTTTTTTTTTTTTTTTTCAAATCACGAAATTCACAAGTTTGCCACCTTTGGCGACAATGGCTCTTCGGATCGGTCGATCACCAAGCCATTTCTGTCCTTCAGCCATCGCTCTCGCTTGTTTTTCAATTTCCGTGGCATCGCCGGCGATATCCACGGGAACCACCACTCTAAATCGCGTTTTACCATTCACCTACCGCCACCAGTGATTAGATCTTCCAGCCCATTTTCCCTCCATCAAAAAAGTCGTACCTGAATCATACAATCGATCGTGTCCTTTTCCAAAGCCTTGGCTTCCCATTTTGGCCACGGTTGCACAAACACACTGGTGCTGTCTTGTCCAGACACGGTCTCCCAGCATTCTTCGCTCACCGTCGGAGCCATTGGCGCCATCATGGTCACCAGCGATCGTACGGCGTGCTGATAGACAGGGGCATGAGGAGCAAGATCCGACGAAGTTATGTAATTCGTCAACTTGATCAAATCCGAAATGGCCGTGTTAAAGGTATACGAAGTTGACAGCGCCTCGGTAACTTGTTTGATCGTCTCGTGGGTTGTACGATACATGTCTTTTTCCAACGACGACAAGCTGTCGACTGAAATTTCGGCAGCCTCAGTTTTCGCCGTTCCTGCCGTGGACGCAAGTTTCAACACTTTGCCAAGCCAACGTTGCATGCCAACAATACTCGAGTCATCCCACTCCAAGACCTCCGACGGAGGCGCCTTGTATAACATGTGCAGACGCGTAGCATCGACGCCCTGAGCCTCGATTACACTCTAGAATTGATGAACCTCATTTAGAATTACACCGTACAGACATGGATCAATTGCTCGTTTCTTACCACTGGATCCACGCCATTGTATTTACTCTTTGACATTTTCTCATACGAAATCAAGGGAGTTTCTCCGGTTTCAATCATCTTTGGATGACGAGGATCTGTATCATTATCATATCAGTATGCATTGTCGTTGACAAACATGTGCCTTCGAGAGGAGCCCGTGTGAGATCTACCTGAGACGTCCACTTCTTCTGGTTTCAAAAATCGTTGAGTAGCAGGATCTTTAAACGTGCGTCCATGGACCATGCCCTATAAAGAGAAAAAAGAAAAAAAAACGTTCACTTTCCCATTATTTGACTGATTCTGCCGTGCATACACACCCAACTTACCTGAGTCAGTAAAACGTTGAACGGTTCGCCGTGACCAGGCTTGGTATCAGGCGTTTCGGAATAGAATCCCTTTTCCAACATGAACTTTGAAAGGAACCGCGAGTACAATAAGTGCAGAATAGCATGTTCGACGCCACCAATATAGATATCCACCGGCAAACGGCCCGATGCCTTTTCGGCAGAGAAGGGTCTGTAAAAAAAACCACGCACAAGTCTTGATCAGTAGTTTCCCTTTTGGAAGGCTGACAATGTATCTTACAAATCAAGGTTATTGGCATCCGTGAATCGCATAAAGTACCAGGATGAATCGACAAACGTATCCATGGTATCGGTTTCTCGAGTTGCAGGACCTTTGCATCTGTCATACAAAACAAAGAGTTGTGAGTAAACATCAACCGCTCACAAACACGTCGATCAATTGCCTACTTTGGACATGTGCATTGAAGCCATTCTTTGGAGGTGGTCAATGGAGACGCTCCTTTGCCGGAAAATTCCACATCCAAAGGAAGCAGGACAGGTAATTCTTCTTGCGGCACAGGAACAATCTAGTGATAAAAAGAAGCAGAAGTGGTTAGGTGAGTGGCAAAAAAAACAATCCAAAAAAAAAATTCCTATCTTACATCACACTTGGGACAATGCACCATGGGAATGGGCGCTCCCCAATACCGTTGACGGGAAAGGAGCCAATCTTTCAAACGGAACTGTGGACAAGTCGTATGAGCATTGACAAAAGGAATAGGTAATCTGTGGTATTCAGAGTTACCTGTGTGGCAGGACGGCCTAATCCGAGCTGCTGCGCTTGTTTGAGAATGGCTTTTCCTGCCTGTTTGGATTTCATGCCTGCAAAAGGCCCCGACAAGGCGGTGAGGACACCCTGAGCGGTGAAGGGTTCGGTGGTGGAAAAAGGACGATCGAGTTCCTGCAGAGCCGGTTCCACCACGAATTTGATCTCATTGGCGATATCATTGACTCGGCAAAACTCCCAGTCGCGCTTATCATGGGCGGGAACGCCCATCACCGCTCCTGTGCCGTATTCAGAAATAACATAGGGAGCCACAAACACCGGGATCTTTTCCTGGGTCAAGGGATGCGAGGCGTATAACCCGGTGAAAACACCTACAGGGCGAATAATTTGTTTTTCTTTAGTGGCATCGCATTATCCGTGTCGATCGCAGGAGTACGGGAGACCTTACCTTGCTTGGTTTCTTCTGCTTTTTCCATGTTCTGCTTCATTTTAAGGCTACTTACAAAATCTAGGACCTTGTCTGCATGATCGGCCGGTAACGTTCTAGTTTCATTTGTTAGCGCCCGATCACCGTCGCCTCATATGAGAATGATCCAATTGGGGGTGGGGGAGACAAAAACAGAGAGAGGTTCTTACTCCTTGTTTAATATGGCGTGTTCAGGGGACACTACCAAATACTGTACACCAAACAAAGTATCTGGACGGCTTGTAAACACGGTCAGTGTCGGTTGGTTCGGTCCTTTCGCATGCTAAAACACGTCATTTTTTTTAGTTTTTTCCTTTCTCACACTGGCGCCATGAACGCTATTGTTTTGCCTTACCACCGGAAAATCAAATTCGGCACCCACGGATTTGCCGATCCAATGACGCTGCATTTGCTTTACACGTTCAGGCCAATGATCCAAACGATCAATATCCTTCAGCAAATCCTAATCACAATAGAATGAGCAACCGTGACATCGTGGGTCTGTGGCGAACTTACTTCGGCGTAATGGGTCACTTTAAAGAACCATTGTTTAAGCTTCTTCCGTTCGACCAAGGCTCCTGATCGCCACGACTTTCCTTCATGATCCACCTGGGATGTACAGTTGCAAGAAAAAAAAAGTTAAAAAATCATGCATGATTTTTCAGATGAATCGTTAGGAAAAAAAAATGGGTTACCTGTTCATTGGCCAGTACAGTTTGATCCACGGGATCCCAGTTTACCACGGCTTCTTTGCGATACGCTAATCCTGCTTTATACAGTTCCAAAAAGATGTATTGTGTCCACCGATAATACGATGGATCGCACGTCGCAATTTCCTACGGGCAATTTATTCGGTAAAGAATTCAAAATGGTCGGTGGCGATGCCTACATACCCTGGACCAGTCAAATTCCAGCTGAAGTCTGCTCATGGTTTCCTTCATGGCTGCGATATTCTTTGTCGTCCATGTAGCCGGATGAATGCCGCGTTCAATAGCCGCGTTTTCAGCCGGAAGTCCAAACGCGTCCCACCCCATAGGATGAAGTACCTGGCACACCAATTTTTTTGTCAGCATAGCGTTCCTGTCAAACTAAAGTGGGGGTACCACCCCACCCCCAATATCAAAACATACGTTGTATCCGTTCATTCGTCGGAATCGTTGTAGAGTGTCACTAATGGTATAAACACGAACGTGGCCCATGTGCAGCATGCCGCTCGGATATGGGAACATGGATAACACATAGTAATTTGGCTTGTTTTTCGTATCGAGGGCTTTGAACGGCGGCGATTCTTTCCATCGTGCGGACCATTTGGCTTCAATAGCGGCAAAGTCGATAGTGTTACTCTTTTTCACCGTTGCATATTGTCGCTGGGATTGCAAAAGGGTGGTTGGCGGCTTAAATGACGAGATACGACTCGTCGATGCCACGGATCGCCACCGAGATATCATGAACGGGATTACTACTACTTCAAGGGAAGCTTTTTTTGGCGAAAAAAGAGCGGAAATCGGACCCTGTCATTGAAATACAGTCACGACATGGCCTGAATAATGCCCTTGCACCAGGAACCCGTCCTCTCAACACGGTTAAACTCATTTAATACCACTATAACTACGAATAAATACGATTATAAAAGGAGTCTACAATAACCTTTGGCCAACACCACCGTAAGAGTGGGAGGATGAATGCGAGACCACCATTGAGTGAGGGATGGAATATAGAATTGGCGAATTTCCATTGGATGAATAAATTGAAGGACCGTCTCTGCCGACTTGTGATTTTCCTACTTTCTATTGCAGCTGCCTCAAGGCATCGTAAAGAGGAAATCCGTCAGTGTTCATGGACTTTTTCACACGAGGATACAGTGCGCTTAGAGGGGAAAAAGGGCAACCGCAGTCGGCCGATGAGACGATTGAGAAGCTCGCTGATTGCCTTGAAACCGCCACTTTGCTGGAAGATCGTCGCGCAGGCGTGCTCAGTCTCAAAGGCTTGGCCAGAGACTGGACCGAGGTACCAATGAGGTCTTCCACCCATGCCATAAGCCCGCACATATTTATTGAAAATACTGTTGCTGTTTTTTTTAGCAAGTGGGTGATAAAAGTTTACCGGCACTTGTGAAAGTCTTGCACACGGATTACAGAGACGCCGACATTGTAAAGTCGTTGTTGGAAACATTGACCATTTTATGCACGGTCCAGAATCAGGTAAAAAATGGCAAAGACCATTAGCTATACTTGGTAGTGACTAACCACTATGGGCTGTTTAGAATTCGGCCTCGGATATCGGATACAAGTTTACGGATTATTTTATTGAAGTAGGGGAACGGCCTGAACGTAGCATAGGAGGCATATGATTGATGGAATGGGCACGTAATGTAGGATTCGACCAACGTGACCATTTTATTGGATGTTCTCGAAGAATTCGACTTTTACGTGCGATTCAATACCATCAAATTGCTTTCAACACTGCTGATCAATCGCGAGAAACGTATTCAAGAATGTATTCTGACCAGCCCCATGGGCATCACTCGGCTTGTCGATCTCTTGGATGATAAACGAGAAATTATTCGAAATGGTAAAGTAATGGGCGGTGATATCGTATGGATCAGATCGAATCCACTGACCGACAGATGATGATGAGTGTAGAGGGTTTGCTACTGCTGATTGCATTGACGCGAAGTAATACCGAGGTGCAGAAACTCGTCACGTTCCAAGCGACTTTTGAAAAACTGCTTGCCATTATTGAAGAACAGGAAGGCATTTCGGGCGATATTGTGGTTCAGGACAGTTTGACCTTGATGCATAATCTTTTACGCTACAACGTTTCGGATCAGGTGGGTGAAAAAAAAAACGATAGACCGGCCGTTGGTTGGTAAAAATTAGTGAACTCTTGAACTCATCTGCGGTATTGATTTAGATCTACTTTCGCGAGACGAGCTGTATTCAACAAATTCCAGGACTCCTCGGTTATGTGGGCGATAGTGAAGCGGATCATGTGCCTTACTCCTTTGAAGACTGGCCGCCGCAGAAAGTGGCCAACACGGTGCTAGTGTTGGAACTGATTCGTATTCTTGCGGAGCCGGAAGGCGCGAATACGCCCGCGAATCAAAAAGTGATGGTACAAAGCGGCATTCTTTTACCCATTGTTCAGCTGGGGATTTGTTCCAACGCCCCTTCGCTGGTCCGAGCCGAAGCGCTGTATGCGATCGGTTACGTTTTACGCGCCAATGCGGTGAATCAAGACATCTTTTCGCAGATCATGGTGGCCAGTCCGCCAAAAATCATTGATGGTCAGATCGATCCCCAAACCGCGTCAGGCATTCCTCGACCGGCGATGGTGTCCCTGATTGCCATTGCGCTCAACACGGATACCGATAGCCAGTACAGCTATTCGAGTCGCGCCGCCGCCGCCTATGCGGTCTCTTCATGCATCGAAGAAAACAAGGACGCGCAAATCGTTCTTGCTGCCACCATGAAAAGTCCACCCGAAGACAATGTCAATACCCAATTTGCAGGTAAGAAATCTGAAGACAGAGTGTGGGTCAGCAAAAACTCTTTTGCTGCCGAGATAATTTTAACTAAAGCACGATATAAATCTCGGTTTTCTCCTCAGACAAACCTCATTCGGCTGGTTCGCTCCTTCTTGAAGTCATTGATAACTGGGAGTTGTCCGTCAAAGATCCATACAAAGTATGGTTCGCTTGCACTATTTTATCACACATCATCCGAAATAACGAGGAAGCCAAACAAGTCGCTGGAGCCATTGTTTTTGGCGAAGAAGAGCAAGGCAAGTCATCATTTTGGGGTTTCTTTTAGTCCCTCTCTTCATTGATAACATTGAGATCACTCATTTTGCTTGTTTTTTTTTTAATAGGAGAGGAACCTGTGCCTCTGCTGCATCATATTACGGCTCAGTTATTAATGTGTACAAAGAGCCAGGGGATCAATGCCCGGATACCTATCGCGTACTTGTGCCTATTGAGCATATGGCTGTATGACAGTCCCAACTCCGTTTCGTTATTCCTTTCGGAAAGCACCCATATTCAATTTGTAAGTGAAGTATCACTTATTCCACAAAAAAAGTTATAATCTCACTCTGCGTTGTTTACAGTTGATCCAAGAGGTACAATCATCGGCCAACGATCCAATTGTGCAAGGACTGGCGGCTTTTTTGTTTGGTATTGTGTATGAATTCAACGACGATCCGAATACACCTCTCGACAGGTAAAAGAAGTCTTCCTTGTTCTTTTTTTTTCTTCGCTCACGTCCGATGGCGGCGAGTATTGACTTTGTTTTGTCCTTTGCTTTCTGTAGAACCAAGCTTCAGGCGATTTTATCGAGTCGGGTGGATCAGTTCAACAGTCATTTAGCGCGATTGCGAGACAGTTCGGCGGTGAAGAATGCGCCGCAGTACTTGCAGATTTCCGCCGAAGAAGAGTATATCTCGCAAAGCACGCATTCACTTCCGTCGCTGCTTCTCGATAGCACCTTTGTGGAATTCTTCAAAGATACTTATGGTAACATACGCAATGGATTTACCGTTACTTTGGTGAAACACTAACCGCTCATCAAATATTGATTCACAGAAACCGTTCAGCGCTCCATCAAAAAGAAACCCGCTAGTTTCCAAACACAGAAAGCGACGGGTAAGCTGAGAAAAAACAAACAATGAAAACATGGATAGGCCAAGCTACAGATAGACTAATACGGGTTGTAGCCGGAACAGCCGCCGCTTCGGTAGATCCTGCGTCTGAAAAGTTGATTGAAGAATACAAACACACGATTGCCAATCAATCCAACGATATTAAAGCACTGGAGCAGAAAGTCGCTCAGTTGGAGCAATCCTTAGCCAACAGTGTAAGCCTCTGTCGTGTTTGTTGTATTTTTTTTAATCTTGTATACATGTTGCTCACGTTCGTTGAAGCAATCACAGAAAATTGAACCGCCGCCAAGCGACAACCATGTGTTGAAGGAAAAAGTAGCCCAGCTAGAATCCACCGTGCGACACATGGTAGGCATATGATAAAAAATCACAGCGCGTCGTCACAGCATCATGACTAGTATACATCATAGAAAACACAAGAAGGATCGTTCAAGCTAAGGATTGCCGAGCTGGAAAGCCAAGTGAGAAACTTTGTAAGTTCAGAAAAACTGATACATAGATTTTTAAGATCACTAACCAAGAGCACCACCATTACATAGACCACGCAAGACGAGGACTGGAAAAAGAAATTGGCCGACTCGGAATCGAGCGTGGCAGCTGAAAAGAAGAAATTCGTTGACCTTGAGCGGGAGCAAGAAGATCTGCTGATCTGCATGGGTAAGCAAACGCGAAAGAAAGAGGTCAATCCAAGTAACAAGTGGTTTTTAAATGGTTGTTTATTTTTCATTTTAGGCGGACAAGATCTGGAGATTAAAAAGTACAGACAACGAGTGCGTGACCTTGGTGGTACGGTAACAGACACGGAAGATGAAGACGAGGAGGAGGAGTAAAATAAAATGATAGTCATCAAATTTGATACTGTCTGAACTTTTCATAAACATCGTCTTGATTCCAAAAGGGTTTGCGTTCGATATTAACGTGACCCATTACACTGGGTTGAGGTTTGACGGTTTGAATATCTTGTTCGGAACTTTCATCCTGCGCTATGGATAACTTTCCTGGTAACGTTTGCCAATGGACGGTCTATTAGAGTGAAAGATCAATGGATCGGAAGCCAGAACAGAATAGGGGGTGGGGATCTTGCCTTTACCTGAGCGTGCGATCCTAGCTTTTCAAAATCGGAGAATGGTATTTGCAGTCCGCTGTTACGCCAGCGATCGTATAAGGCTCGTCGAGAAGGATCACCCACAACATCATAGGCTTCCTTGATCCGTCGATAGGATGCTACAATCATTAGAGGGGTTCAATGAAACTCGATTGAGTCAATGGCTGGTTACTGCACACATACATTGGTCTGACTCGGAAGTCTGAGATTTATCGGGATGGTGAATGAGGGCTAAGCGTTTGTATTCGGTCTTGATTTGTTCCGGCTAAAAAAAAAAAGGAGATGAGAAATAGGATGAAATATGATTCTTTGCACTCGAGTGGACTTACGGTACTGGAAGGTGCTGAATTGAGCACCTCATAGAAGTTGACGTCTTCTCTATGGAGCTCGAACATGGAGGGAATTGCAAGTGTGGGAAAAAAAAGGTAAAACCGAGGCGGCCCTAAATTTGGCAAGCCCAAAAATTTCATGCAGCGGCCCTGACAGGCTATGATTGGGAAATTTCAGACAACTGAAATGCCGAAATATCTTTTTTGATTTTACAGGAAAATAACAATGCGGCCAACCACGTTAAATGAGAGGGAAGTGGAGCCAATGAGGTACCCAAATGAATGTTGACCAATGTAACAGCCATTTGTGGTTTGTCACTTTTTCCACGTCTTCGTTGTCTTCGAGGTACTTGCAGGCTTTCGGGTAAACGTAAGGATTTCGGGGCGAGATCCTTGGCTTTTTGATTCAACTCCTTTGCGGTACGAAAATTCTACACTGCAGCACGCCGCACATTTTTGAGGATTTCTTGCGTTTGTTCTCTTGTTCCGTCGTTTGCGATTAAAGGAGTTGGATATATCTTCATTGATTTCCGCGATATTGCGTGTTCCGGACGTGCGTTGTCGATTAGCACATTTGATAATGGCCGAAGTCGTTTGAGCGGCATCCATGCGATATTTCTTGAGTCGTGCGTTGAGGATATTTTTGGGAACGTTTTCCGGTTCTTCCAAAATTTCTTCCCGATGTGTGTGTGCGGGGGGGGGGAGGAACTCTCCATCGATGCCATTTTCTTGAAGGTCCTAGTCTTCAACCTTTTGGCTGAGTTTGAGGAGGTCGTTGATCTGAGAGGGAGTGAGTTCATTGTTACCGTTCATAATAATTCGCGTTGCGTGGCCTGAAAGGTATTAATAGACTCCTATAACAAAAAAATACTTACATCCTAAGAATAAAACCGCGGCTCGAGAGCGACAATGACCACATCCGATGTCGGCCAACAGTGAAGGATGTTAGGAACGACATACAATGGAGTCGCCACAAATGGTGACGGTTATTTCATCACGGAGGGGGGTATTTTTTAGATATACATTATATCGGTTAGAGGAAAATCAATTCGTCGGTTTCAATTCGATTTCTTTCTTTCTTTTATCTGTCAAAATGAATCCCACCATTTGCAAAAGCTATTTCCAAGTGAAAAATCAAGTCAAGATTCTGGGAAATGGTCTACTACTGCAAAATGCCAGAGGTATTCGGTATGCTCAAAACAAACGGCGTATTTGATTTACTACATGTTGCAAAAAGGCAAGCGACGAGGTTGGTAGCGATTAAAAGCAATAAACCGAATGGTCTCTCACCTTTGCTGTAGTGTTGCCTTCTTGCACTTCTCAACTCACATTATGGCCTCCATTTTTTACAATAAGTATCATTCCCATGGTTTGAAGGTCGACGGAGTCGTCAACGCGGTCAAGCCAACAAGCAAGGCATGGTGTTGCCGCCACCTACAATCAAGTGGAAATGTGCGTTTCTTGCCGACGTCCGTCCAATCCCCAGAATCCCATCTTCGAGGAAGGCTCCCCATGCCTCGAAAATTAATTAACAACAAAAAAAGGCTCGGCTGAATGAACTTGAGAGTCACATCAAGGAACTGAAGGACGAACGTCAAAGTTGTTGGTGCAAATCGATGAAATTGAAAAAAAAGAAAAAAATCGTTAAAAAATTACTTTCATAACAAGCCGTACACCCGCTGTGCAATGGATGCCGCCTGCCAACGGAGGCCGCCCTCTTACATTGAGCGACTTTCGTCAGACAAAAGCCTAACGCATACACGGCATAACCTGGGCGAGAACTCTTGACGGAACTTTGGTATATTAATGTCAATACTCTGGCATACCGTACAGTCATGATTTCCAAACATGTGTGCAGCAGCACTTATTGACCCCCTCAGTCCTGTCCCGCCCAAGGTTATGATAGATCTAGAATGATGTGTGGGAATGTTGGGTATTTAAAAAGATGAGTTAGTAAGCTCTTTGATTGATTCAAATATTCGTCAAGATATTTTACCTTTGTTATTTGAGTTTGCAATAGCCATTGATCGCTTGACATGACTTGGATTATATGACATTGAAAAAATTTGAATTAGTATACGTTCATTACATCATAGCAAAGGAAAAGAAATTGGACTTGCCTTTGAACCAAATGGTGTACCGGAAAAAAAAACGATGAATACTGACCGCCAGGTAAGCTTCTTCTTCGATGCGGAAAATAAAATTGCTTCCAGGGACACTTAAGCGATGGATCGGTGGTGTCAGCTTGAGTAGGCAAAAAATATTGACGTGGCCAGAAGTGACGGTAAGTTCGAGTTGGATTCCAGATATCGAGAGTCCCCCGAATGAAAAGAAAGAAAAACAAATAAAGTACATGATGATAAAAAAAAACAATGGTCGCGTCAGTAAAAACCTCATAAAAAACCCTGAGGGAAAAAAAGGGGTGACGAAAATTTGAATCAATCAAAGAGCTTACTAACTCATTTTTTTAAATACCCAACATACCCACACATCTTTCTAGATCTATCATAGCCTGGGCGGGATGGAACTGAGGGGGTCAATCAGTGCTGCTTTGCGCGTGTTCAGAAACAAATCACGTTGCAACGTATGCCATAAGGTTGTCATTAATATACCGAAGTTCCGTCAAGAGTTCTCGCCCAGGTTATGCCGTGTATGCGTTAGGCTTTTTGTCTGACGAAAGTCGCTCAATGTAAGAGGGCGGCCTCCGTTGGCAGGCGGCATCCATTGCACAGCGGGTGGACGGCTTGTTACTTTCATAAATGTAATCATGCCTACCTTCCATGTCAATTTTTTTTTCTTTTTTCTTTTCATAAATTATATCCATTTGCTGTAATTGCATTCATTATCTTTTCATCTTATCCTTGTTTTTCTTTCTTGCATGAATGAAATGACCATGTTTTAAGTCAGCCTTAGCGTCTCATTTTTGCTCCATGATCCTTGACATATTGTGTCAGTACAGTGTGTCAGTATCACAGGTGACCAAGCCAGAATGCCTGGGGATCTTGATCTGTTGATGTCGCTATTCCCAATTTCTGTCTTGTTGTGCTATCATTTGCAGCAGTAGGGTGAATGACTTTGAACACCATGCTATCGCTGATGTGATTTCATCAAGATGTTGCAGCGAAATATCCGCGGTTTTTCATGAGAAAAACGCAAATACTTATCGACATTGTATCCTGGCGGGTCTAGTTGAGGGTATCTTCTCTCACACCATATTTCCTATTTTCGCCAGACATGGTTATAAATTCGATGGTGCTTTTTCCATAGTGTCTTCAGGGATATCAAGGTTGTTTAAGCATTCTAGCCGCCTTCCATCTCTCGGCTTTGGTGCAATTTCACCAGTGTTGACATATCTGTCTTTGATATTGTCGATGGTCGATCTGGATACACGAAAGAACTTTGCGGCATCGCTGACCCTCATAGCTCCCTCTCTGACAGTTGCATCGATGATCCTCTCTCGTAAGTCATCGGAAATCTTGTCGTTTTTACTCTTCAATCTTCTTCTAGTCTTCTTGTTAATGTTATTGGCATTGTTTTGTCTTGAGGTGTTTCTGCTTGATGTCGTTTGTAATTTATAGATATCGAAGATGATAATAAAAAGGCGTTTTTTTTTTTTTTTGTTTGAGAGCGTTTATTAAATAGTTATGTGTTTGTGCCCATATTGGCGCCTGCAAATGCTCATAACAATGATGATGTGTAGGTGTCATAAGTACCGGTACGGTATCGTAGTACGGTTCTAGAGTATACATCTCATAAGTTGAAATGATGAAGTCATTTTGTTGAAGTGCCAAAATCTTTAATTTCAAAAATGCGAAAACATTAAGAGGCGGCGGGTGTTCAACGCATGAAAAGGTCAGACATTGGTTGTATCCGATCACGCTCGCGGAGTAACAGCGGTTAGGTCCGCACAAAGATGTGTATACTTACAGTGATGCCTAAACGGTCGAATGCAATCGCAATTTTTATGGCCTTAATACGTATCGGGCCAAAAGGTCAAATTTAGATAAGCCAGGCATTTGGCGTCAATGTGATTTGCCATAAAGAAACCAAATCCCATCAGACAAAACGGTCATATTCCTGGCGTGATTGACGTGATGAATTCCGAGATTCTTGGAAATTCCCGGTTTTATTTTTCTCCCTGGAATATTGATTTCCTGGTTGTCGTTGCTTTTTTCTATTTGTTCGCAGCAGAAGGACCATGGGGAGAAGAAGGAAAAATGGGCTTCATAGGAAACATCGGGTGATCGCAAGTGCTGTAATGGTTCCGTTTGTTCCGTGGACTCAACTAGATCAATTGGGTAAAATTGAGACCTGGCAAATGAAAGGGTCGCGATAATGAAAAAAAATTCGGTTCACGGTGTGACGTGAAAACCCCGTCCGCGTGAGCGGCACCAAAAAGAATGATAGCGAAATTTCCCCCACAATTTACAGATTTTCGAAACCATTTTCTTCTTTGTTTTGACAGTAATCAATACTCACACCAAGTAGATGAAAAAAAAAACCTTATCTTATTGTCCTCTATTTTTCCCCCTTTTCTGCTTCTGAACGAGATTTTTTCTTTTTCCGGGCTTGCCGCTCATTACATGATGATGCTCATTATCTGGTGGGAAAAGAAAAAGACGTCAATGATTGGTTCAGTTTCAAAAGAAATCCATCTGAGCCGCTGTGACAAGAATGAAACCGTTCCTCCGGAAGATTGACCGGGGCTTGGAAATCAAAGAAAAATAAAAAAAAAATAACGCAAGTGCACACGGAACTAAACATTTTTTAAGAAAAAGGAGCCACGTTGAAAGAAAAACAGAAGGGGAAAATAAAAAGGAACGAATGTTATTACAGAAACAGGAACACCGCGCTGTGAAAAATATCAGCGAGCTATTGTTTATATCGACAAAAATGTATAGAACAAAAAAGTAAAAAAACACAAAACTTGGAGAATGGGTGAAGAAAAAAAAAAGGGGGGTGGGGGAGAGGGGCGGCTTTCCGGGACAACCGAGACCGAGACTTTGGTTTTGTTTTGTTTTGTTTTATCTTTTACGCTTTTTGATGGGTTGCAGCGTATATTCTTCATTGTCGGATGACGATTTACAAGAGTTGGAGGGCGGGTTCTTATACGAAGAAGGATACAGTGAATAATCATGAAGGGCGAGCGGAGGTAAATCATGATGTTCATGTTTGGCAGGCAGCTGATGGTGAGATGGGTGAGGGTGGTGCTGCTGATGATGATAGGCCGAAGGGCCCGAGAGATCGTGAATTGAAGGAAGTTTCAAGTCATGAGGCGTGGAAGGCCTGATCAAAGCCGTCGGTTGTGGCGGGGAAGGGATGGATGAAGACACGGTAGGTGAACCCGGTCGATCTTTATTCAGAAAGTTGTTGACAGCCATAGGATCGAGATCACCGAGAGGTAAATGCGCCTGCAAGATGGTCTTTAACATATCTTCAATCGTCTTGAGTCGCTCCTCAATCGCCTCCAGGGCGGCTTTGCTCGGAGCGTTGCGACGATCATCGGCATGGCTTGTGGAAGGATACACACATGGGACGGACGATTTCTGGCAGTTACGACAAGGTTGCTCGCCGTTACATTTCGTCTTTTTACGTCGACACTCGCTGCAAGCACTAACGATCTTGGCGCGCTTTCTTCTCGTTTCTACAGGTTCGTCAGCAGGCATCATAGGGGATGAATAAGGGATCGATGACACAATAGAATCGGTGGTTCGAGGGAAGAATCAGTGGATTGGATTTTTGAAGGTAACAAAAAAAAAATCCAAATACACAATAACAAAGGTAATCAGTAAAAAGAAAGAAGGGAAAGGAAAGTATAAAAAAGGAAAGGCAACGATTGACGGTAAGGATGTATCTTACGTTGATACGGTGGAGAGAGAAAAGAAAAGAGAGAAAGTGATGTATAGTTCAAATCCGTTGAAATGAAATTGAAAGCGAAAATTTGGGGGGTGAAGGGGGAGGAAGTTTAAAGAGGGAAGGAATAAAAATCAAGGAAAAAGATGGAGAAGGATGAATAAGGGAATGGGAAAGAGAAAGAGGAACAAGAAGAAAAAGGAAAACGGAAAATACTCTGGTCAACCAGTCGGCTGCCATCTGATTGGCCGATCACTCCGGACGCGACACGGCACACACCGACCGCTCCATTTTGAGGAGGCGCACGTTCCCAATGGCTGGTTTTTTCAAAGGGCGAAAAAAAATATACATTATCATGTTCGGCAAGTCAGGACCGCTAGGACCGAAATTTTTTTTAGATATCTCGTCCAATTGAATGAAATAGTCTGTCAATGTACATGTTCATCATTTCATTAAAAAGCATGCAAGGCATCTTGAACGGGCCATTTTTCATGATCCAGGTCAGCATGGTGACCACGAGCCGTATTACGCCATTTTGTGTTCCTGTAATCAACGTTGCCCCACCGGCCATGGTTTCAGAAAAGCATCGCCATTTACTCTTTTTTTTTTTTAGAACGAATGCCGGCATCATGCAATATCATACCTACTGCATGGGTAAAAATGTGGCTATGCTTTACAGTTTTCATCCTGCATAGTTCAATAGCAAGTACATAAACCTAGCACTATCGAAAAACTTTGAGCTGCTTCGTCATTCCAAACATATTATATATCATTTTTGTTCGATGAAAATGAGGTCTCGTTAGGACAATGAGAGAAGCGCCGTGTGTGATCTACCTAATGTTGTGTTGTGTTCCATCTATTTTGACGGGTACCTGCCTTGGTTATCATACATTGCATTTCTCAAAACCCGCTGTCTAAGAAATGGTGCTATGCAACTGTGATTGTCTGAATCGTGCTATTTTTTTTTTTATTTTTTTGTTTTTTTGGCGGGGAGGGTATCCGATTCCTTTTTTTCATAGGCATCCTCGCGTCAAAACCTCCACCTACCCATCTCCGCTTCGCTCCGCCGCCCTACGCCGTGCACCCCGGAACAAATGAAAATATGCAGTTGTCGCCAAAATACAGAAACCATCAACATTGCTGCATGGTGACAAAATGATAACCCAAAAGTTCGGCTATGAATTCATTGTGCAAAATGAAGAAAAAGTTATTTAAAGTACATGCGACGGCTTTGTCGCCCAATACGGCTGTCGCTCCAGCTTCCCAACACTGATGTTTAGGTCGGTAAGGGCTCTGTATCAAGTATTCGAAAAATACATTCAACACTGACAGCAAGAGACATGGTTCGTTCCAATTGCCCGGCAAGATACTCACTGGCATTACATGGTAGTAAGAAGAGCGTTCTTCTTGTCAAGGATGATTTATAACAGTGTGGTTTTGTGCGCGCCACCGTGGGTGGGAATTGGACCGGAGTTCTACAACGATTTTGCATAAGTGTTTTTCCCATGTCCTCTTTTCGACCTGAGGTTCAAACCCGTCGATTTGTTTCATATCACTGTTAACTGTAAAAGGTCTCTACTGAGAATTCATCGTTAACGATGATGCTGTTATTGCTAAATTATACATGAAAAGGTTACAACCAACATAAAGTTTGACTTTACACGCTGACGGCGATCGTAGACGGGATATCAAAAACATAGTTTTGTGACACGGCGGATGGATTATTCTTTTTTTTTTTTTTCATCGAGACGATCAAACGATCAACGAAGGAAAAAGAAGACGATGGTTCCTTCCGGAAAAAGGAATGATTGTTAAATGAACCGGTTGATATCAATTGTGGATAAAAATGGCGTAGATAAAATTTTCACACCTCTGAGCGGGATATAACTCATCTTGGGCTGAGTGAATTTGTGTGGATTTTTTTTTCTTTTTGTACTTGATGAGCAAGGATATAGTTAAAGACCCGTGTACGTTGCCTCGCAACTCTAACCAACGTAATCGCTCATCGAATCGACCTCATCGCGCCAATAAGGATCGGTTTTCAGTTTTCCAACAGCAACCGCATCATACCTATGATCTGTCCATGGCCATGAATCCTCCCATTCACTCATTAGCCATGCACGCCACGGCGTTTTCATACCACGACGCATCCAAGCCCACCATGGGAAACGAGGCTAATACGGCATCTTCTCTTGTCGCCAATACAATGGCCACGCCATTACCCTATTTTATCTATGATTACTCATCCCAGTCCGGAAGCTATCATCCTCAAAATATCTGTGAAAATAATCCTGCCGAACAATCCTCCCGTTGGTCCTCCGGAGCCCACGATCAATCCCAATTCATCACAATAGCGTTTGAAAACCCCGTGGTCGCCAGTAAGTGCTGATTTCGTTGTTGCTTAAATTCCCGAGAAAATTGCTCAGTCCAAAATCTTTGTTATGATCCGTAAAATCCCATCACAGAATCGATTCTGTTTGGAAAATTTCATCGAGGTAAACCCCGTCGTTCCTTGTGTGCATAATCTGGATATTTCACATAATGAAAATGAAAAATTAAATATGGAATGGTCGCGTTACAGGTCACGTATGCAATCTTAAAGAGTTTAAAATCTTTGGCGGGCTTGATCCAGACAATATGACCGAACTGCTGCATCACGGGCTTCGTAACGATACCCAACCCGAAACCTTTTCCCTCAAATATTCACATAAGAACCTCGTACGCACACCACCATCCGCGCAACCTCCTCCCTATGCTGAAACGAAAAAAAAAATCACTCATATTTTTTTTCTTGTGCTTGTAGGTTTTTCCCATTCAGTATATTAAGATTGTACCACTGGCCACGTTTGGACCCAACTTTAACTACAGTATATGGTATATCGAAGTCCACGGGATAGCCGATACCTACATTATGCGCAGAGTATTCTCGGAATACGAAAATGTAACTGATCCCTCTATTTATGAAATTCTGTAAGACCATCCATTGATCATCCTTGTTGCTATGTTTGACAGTTCCAGCAAAACGAAACGACACGACTATGTTTAAAGTATTTCCGACAGCGCAATATGATGGACGTCTTTCACGTTTTAAAGAATCGGACCGGGATTCAATTGGAGCATCCTTTATTGACGGAACTGCATGACACATTGATCCATGGTGATTTCGATACAAGCGAAAAACTGCTTCATCAAGCGTACGAGCACGATATTTTTTTACCTTACGCCAATGAAGCACAGTATACAGCAATATGGAAAAAAATCTCGCCCGTGAACGAAGGTAAGTCAAACAATCACCCTGTACGGATCATTCACGATTGAACGAAAAAACATTTTGGGCTTCTGTGACAGATGGGGACGCTCCTTGTGCTCGAGGAGGCCATCAAATGTGTATTGATATCGATGACCGGAAAATTTACTTGCTGGGAGGATGGAATGGTAAAAGGGACTTGGCCGACTTTTGGTGCTACAACATTAGCGAGCAACGATGGCGTCTGTTAAGTTCAGACACCCGAGAGTAAGTATCCTATTAACCCTCTCTTGTTTTTATCCGAGACGAAACAGAGATTGCTTACCATAAAATTGGATTAGGAAAGGCGGGCCAACTCCTCGGTCTTGTCACAAAATATGCTTTGATCCGGTCAGCCGATCCATCTTTGTGCTGGGTCGGTACGTGGAATCACTCGCTATTTCCGACACTGCCCTGGAATCCGATTTTTATCGTTATTATGTCGACTTTGACCAGTGGACCAAGATTAGTCACAATACGGCGGTAAGTTGCCCTGGATCTCCCGGATCAGTCCTTCCAATTGGAAGTTTAACCAGTGCTTTTTATTTATGACAGCAAGAAGGAGGCCCAGAGTTAATCTTTGATCATCAGATGTGTGTTGATTCGAAAGAAGAAACATTGTACATCTTTGGTGGTCGAATCGTGTGTCCCGATCCCAATGTTCACAGTTACAGCGGGCTGTATGCATACCATATTGGGACCAATACGTGGAAATTAATCAGGTAAAAAGCGATCACCGTCACACACGGTTGAAGCAAGTTTATTGACTCGGTTCACTTCAGGAACGAGGAAGCGTTAAGTTCAGGGATGTCGTCGCCGGCATCCTCGGCCAGTTCCACGGCAGGCCCTATCCTTAAATCCCGCGTGGGGCACTCGATGCTGTTTGATCATATTTCTCGGGATCTGTACATATTTGCTGGTCAGCGTGTTAAGGATTACTTGGCCGATCTGTATCGCTACTCGGTCGACACAGATACATTGTACGAAGTCACACAAGATTATTCCAAAGATACCGGCCCCGATGCAGGATTTACACAGCGTGCCACCATGGACGTCGACCAGCGGGAATTTCATGTGTTGTCAGGTTACATGCGCAATCAAGGCTGCGATGTCGTCAAGAACGCTTTCTGGATATACAACCTCGATAACAACCGATGGAAGAAGATTTATCAAAACGAAAACAAAGATCCCGAATACTGGCAACGCATGGATCAGGTTGAACCTCGGCCACGATTCGCGCATCAGATGGTGTATGATCCAAAGACACGAACTCAATACCTTTTCGGTGGCAACCCAGGTGATCATTCCGAAACGAGCAAACGCTTGGACGATTTCTGGGAATTATCGCTGGTCAAGTAAGCAGAGGATGATGATATATACACACACACATAAAAGAAAATAAGGATTAACCAATGGGAAAATACTCACCACCACCGCCACGTCTCAAAACAGACCTGATCCGAAATCCATTCTCCGGCGATGTCGGTACCTTTTAAGAATGCAAAAACTACGAGAAATGAGCCGTTCGGCGCGGTTGCAACAGTCCACCACCGCGTATGGTGATGATGACGTGAGTCAAGCCACATTGAATGCCCTCCAGTATCTACGCACCCATGTGGCACCTTTGGTCAATCACGAGCGGGAGGATGAAACCCTCGAATTCCGCCAAATGTGTGCGCAACTGTGTCTTCCTGATATCGTTATGCAAGACTCGGATTACACAGATTATGTCGGTACGTCTCTTGCCACCGCACATAAAGGTAAAAAACAAGAAAAAGCTGCAGCAAACTAATGGACGATAACGTGAACGATGGCGAGGGTGATGGCGTGATGATAGAATAAGGCTGACAATATAACTTTTTTTTTGTTGGCGTTAGACGTACTCTATGGTGAGCGGACGCGATTATTTGAGAATCTACTGGAATACATTCCTGAGGACATGAAAGAACCCACGGGACAATTGGTCAATGCTGTAAAGCTAGTTTAGGATGGAATAAACATTGACAAAAACTATAAACGGAGAATTGATCCGATGTTTCCGAGATCTTCTTTCCTTTTGACTTTTTTTTTATTACTATTTTGTTTTCTTCGGTCATTTTTTGCACCGAGATAGAAAGAAAGTTAATTTTTCTTCAAAGAAAAGAGTGAAACAAAGAAAACGACAAGATGCCGACGAGGGCAATCAAAGATAGCCTTTTTGTAGGCCATGCAACCTTGATGACATTTGTTTGGCTAGTGGCTGTCCCACTGGGGGTGGCGGTGGCGATGTTTGGACGACAGCATAATTGGCCTTGGTGGCCGAAAGCGCACATGTTTATTATGATCACTATGGTGATTCTGCCATTGACCGCCGCCGCCATTTGTGGCTTTACCTCTGCCGGCACCATCAAAGTCAAACCTCATTCGGTAAATGCATAATCATGTGAATACATAAAAGAAAAGGAAAAAGAGGAGGTGGATGGGGGGCGGGGAATCGCTGGAAAAAAAAAAAGATATTGACACATTCGTAGTTGACGGGAACCGTGCTTGTATTGTTGGCTTTTTGTCAGATCCTACTGGGCCTTGGCAACCATGCGTTGTTCCGATATCGACAAAAACGGAACACGGTGCCTAAGCATCGACCGTGGCACAATACAGTGCATATTTGGCTTGGTCGATTGGTGCTGACATTGGCCGTTATTAATATGCCGTTGGGCATGCGTATCAAACGCGCGGGATTGGGCTTGTATATCGGGTACGCCGTGGTGGTCCTGTTCTGGGCCATCGTCTTCCTGGGACTGGTCTGGACTAGCACGCGCAAAAAGGTTCTCAAAGCGACCGAAAACGAAAAACCACCCATTCAACATGAAGCCACCCTCAAAGAACAGCCCACCGAACCGAAATAGCAATCGTCAATACAAAAAATAGAAACGGGCCCTATTCGGACATTCAAAATTCCAAATATAACAAAAAAAATTAAAAAAAAAAGTGGGATTGCATGTGTTGCTTTTTTTTGTATTGAACCGTGCCTATGAGTGACGTTTGTTGGTACTTTGTTTGATATTTTTACTTTGCTTTATGACTTATTCTGCCCCATCATGACCACCACATCTACCCTTATAACGGCGCATTCTCGTCGCACTTCTCTTCAACTGTTGTCCAGTCCAGACGATATCTCCTCTGTCTCTCATTCGGCTCCATCGCTTCTGACTTCTTCTCCCATCATAAATACCTACACACAACATCGTTCGTCTATTTCTCAACGGACACTGGCCCATCATTTATCATTGCCTCTGAAAACAGTAACAACAGCAGCCAGCGACTTGCTTTGTTATGTGACTCTTTACGCCATTCACTTTATCTATCTGATCTACATTGTCCTCACCGTCCCAAAGTCACTATTCACACAGACCCTGAATCATTACCATAACAACGACGTATCGACAGCAGCAAGGATAGCACGTGATAAATCTCATCTGACCAAACTTCCGTCTCACCTGTCGATTGTAGTGTCGCAGGAACTGATGCATGAACGAACGAGCGACGACTGGGATACCATTATCGACGATCTGTGTCTTGCTTCTTGCTGGGCTTGGCAGTTTGGCATCCAAGAGATGTCGGTATTTGATGCTTCAGGTAAATGGAGAGAGGGGTGTGTGAACTGAGGACTTTGAACAGAAGCCAGTTTCCATGGATTCATGTTGTTGCGTTGATGGATGAAACGGGGTAATTGACGCAAGATGAATATGAAATAAATTAGGGGTCCTGAAATCAATGACCGTGGAAATCCAGAAACGGCAATCGTGTGCATTGCACAATTGGATGAAATCGTCCAATCAACCACGACCAGGTACGATTGACCTTGGACAAAAAAGTGGACTTGATCCGAAAAGATGAACTTTTTGCACTAACCTTTGCTCAGCCATCACTTTTTCCGTTCTGTCAGGACAGGACGGCGTTGCTTCGATTGCGCAAAAGGCACAACAGCTCGTGGACGAACCATTGAACGCCATTGACATTAATATGATTGATCGAAAGCTACATGACGGAACCTTCTCCGATCCGGATCTCATGATCATCTACGATGGCTTACCGCACCACTACATTTGCATAGATGGGTTTCCACCATGGCATATCCGATTGACAGAAATTGTGTAAGTGTTTCACCAATGTCCCCCCTTTTCATACTCCGGCAATTCTGATCCAACCATTTGTTTCCAACGTTGCCTTTTTTTCTCAACAGGAATCGATCAAATCATCATCGTTTAGACTATAACATGTTTTCAAGCTGTTTATATCAATTCTCCAAAGTAGAGCAACGTTTTGGTCGATAGGGCGCGAAAAAAAAAGAAAAAAAAAGAGTCTGCTTTTTTCTCTATTTCTTTTTTTTAATGTTCCCTTTTCAGGCCGAATAAACAAAATTGTATCCATACCATTTATTGCCACCGCACACGGTTCCATTCCCGCTTCTTTTTTATTCTCAAATCATTTATGGAAACAGAATTATGCCTATTAAGGAATTCCACATGATTATCACGTGCTCATCATTTGCTTGGCAGGCACCCCTTGGCACCATTATAAAAAAAAAGTAGTACGTAGCCGGCACAGCGCATCACTCGTCAAGCGTAGTACCGGGCTGAGTATGCTGTAACTTATCACCATTGTGTCATTGCAAGATTCAGCTTCTTAAAAGGCTCAGCTCAGCAGAGGTTACGTTGATGCCAATATGTAAACTGGTACTGCTCTGTAATGAACCTATTTTTCTGAAGGAATTCAAGGGCTCATTCAGTATACCAGCAGCAGTCTTTTCACCTTATTAACATGATCCGAAGAATAGATGAATTGTCACATTAAAATGTTTATTTGAAGCATCCATTGAATCGATTGTTTATAGTATTTCTAAAGTTTAGGGCCGGGTGCCAGCAATCGAAAGAATCCTTCTAGTGGATTGACCTCAATACTCCTCGGCGCAACAATTCGTACTTGACATGCGATGTTGGACATGTTATCTTTGCTGTAACTGTGAAAACTGACGAGCCTTGCAAGTTACGGCTTGTACGTGTTATTACGGCAACCGAGATATTGAATGACAAGTGGGGAAATAGAGAGCAAATCAAGCACAGACCTGTATGATGGAGATTCTATGTAATTGCTTGTACCATGCCACCGAGACTTTTGTTTTTGGTATCAAACAAGTTTGCTATATTGCTTGTAACTCCCATCATCCATTCACTTCTTGCCAATTGACTTGATCCTTGAACCAAATGGAGTCTCTTGCCCCCTTTCTCTTCCTTCCCAATCCGATCATGCTTGATGCCGTCTTCGTTGCTGACGAGTTTTCTTTGGAGGCGCAGCCCCAAAAAGCCATGGTTTCAAAACATGGAGGCTCTGACTAAGCTTACTGTGACCAAGAAACGGAAATTACTGGTATAATGAGCGCATTTTCCTTTAAAGAGAGGTTCCATAACTGCACGAGACTTGCTTTCCTTGAGCCACGGTTGAACGATAAAACGGTAAAGGATGTCGTCTTTTACAAGATTGCCGATCCGCCAAACGACGTTTTCTAGCTTATTTATATGACAAAAAGAAGCAAAAAGTAGAGTATGTTAAGCGATGCTGAGGTGTTTTATAGTGATAACAAAAATTTCCCAATCTTGATAAGATGCCGGCGGTTATATGCCAATAAACTTCCAACTGGCCCAGTACATGCCCTTTTTCAATAAATAGTAGTACCATCGTCGGCGTCGGTGGGATAGGTAAGTGCATGATTTCAGGTAGTGATCAAAATTGTCCGGGGTCATATTTTCGATATCATGACGTACGTGTTGTACCAAGGTGTCGATGAAATCACCTACCACGCCATTGACGCCCCATACCACGCAATTATGCATTTGGCCAATGTCGTTGATTGTCCAGCAATACACCCGTTTCCCCAAGGCTTGGGCTTCCTTGATGAACGCTTGACCGTCCTCATCGACCAACGTCGCAAACGGCATACTCAATTGATCGACTTCGTGGAGAAAGTGTTTCCGCGCCGCTTCCAGTGAAAGGCCAATGAAGCATAGTGCATACTCTGGGAACAGTTCTTTGGCCCGTTTTAGAAAATCCGGATGCCACACGCCAAAGACGACTTGTTTTTCCAAAAACGCCCGATCCTCTTGATTATAACTGTGAACCAACAAATGCACCGCATCCAAAATTTCCAGCGGATTATCAAACTAATTCATGGAAAAAAGAAAAAAAAGGGAAGAGTTGACATGAAAAAAAGGACATTGCATGTTAAACACCAAACACACTTTACCTTGATATCGATGATCATGTAAACGCTCTTGTTGGGTATCCGTAGCAGCATATTGAATACGTCTTGTAACCTTGGAATCGGCTGTTGTCCCGCTTTGGTAACCAAGCCGTCAATGTAACCATGCCAAAGACAGTCATTCACGGCCCCGGTGCCTGTGGTGGTTCGTTGCAATGACAAGTCATGCATCATGATGACTTCGCCATCTTTACTAATGCGTATATCTATTATACACACACAAGTCAATGGAAAAAAGTCCCATGGCTGGATAAAAGAAATAACCAGTGCCACATTCTGGGCCATCATGTTTCTTAATAACTTACCGCCTTCAAGTGCAGTGGTACCAGCTTCGACTGCTTTTTCGTACGACTGGATTGTATTTTCGGGATATTTGCCGGAAAAACCACGATGGGCAATCACATCAGGGATGTCTGTTTAGCATTCGTGATGAGCTTTTTTTTTACAGTTCTCGGACATGTGTTGCAACCCCTTCTACAGCCTACTTCTGCTGGTTGCCTTCGCTGTTTCGTCTAGAGTCATGGTCATATTTTTGAATGTTTTTACAAGGTCCTATCCTGTGCGGTAATGTCCGCTATTTATATTAAGTTCAGGGCGGACATAGAAGATCACATCTTTTTAAGGTTAGGATAATTACTATTTTAGTCCATTTTCGGGGGAGCAAATTTTCCCACCTCCTCCATCTCAAGTCGCTGTATTTATTTTTCCATCGTTGTCCTTTTTACTTTTTTTTTTCAATCATGAGCGTTCCTTATGATCCAGTCAACTGAGCACCATAATCACGAACCCTCGCGATGAGTCACAGACCACATCAGTATAGGTTGATGACAACCCACTTACGAAAGCCAATCACTGATTTGAATTCGCTAAAACCATGCGATCTCTCTATCTGTCTGCTACAAACGGGTTCAATGTTTTTGTTTGGCATTCAAATACAATACAAAATTATGCTAGCACATTTTTTATTACACAGAAAGTCTAGGCATTGAAAGTGTGGTTATCAAGCTGATAGGTCACATGTGATAAACACAAAGCAGACTTTTCGTTTTTTTCTCACTTGCCATAATATCAAAATGCGTGACGCGAGCCAATGTGTAAGAAAAAAATTATACAACAACGACCTCGATAAGTAATTTAACATTTGTTCTCGAGAAAGCAAGGTGATATGTTTAACCTATGAGAGAAATTTGAATAATGTACCAACGTTTGGTATCAACGGCTCAGTTTGATATGCACATGTTCAATGACCTTTGAAGTGATTTGCCGAGATAGGCGATCAGGCAAATTTAATTTATTCATGATTTTCGCATTGCAACTGGCAGCCATCCACGGTCAGAATTAAATCCATGAATGACTGATTTACAACTACCTGCTTGCTTGTTTTTTATAAAAAAAAAATGATGACATGATGTTGATTTATTTACATACTTCTAGTTTACAGAAAGAGAAAAGGGGGTTGGTGGAAAGCAATGAGAAATGAAATCGCTAACTTCGCCAATCATCGTCGGAAGCGTAGGATGACGAGGTAGCCGAAGAAGCGGTGGCTGAAGAAGGGGTGGCGGGAAAAGAGTATGGAAGCAATCCATACGTGGGATTGATAAGAGAGGTAAAGTTTCTTGCCGGGGAGCCGTTGGCGGAAGGATTGCTTTCAAAGAGACGGTTACCGTGATGGAGGAGACAGCCAGCGCAATTACACGTGTTGCCGCGATAACAGGTTACGACATGAACTTTGGATCTTGGACGCCCGTTGGATCCGGGATGAAGCGGGGTGATGGTCACCAAGGCCGATTCGCCCGCTTCGTCTACGAACCGGCCTTCATGATCTGCGAGAGGAAGAGACGGGTAATCCGCACCAGGTGGTGGTAGGAATAATTCGGTTATTTCCTGTTGTGTGTCAGCACTGTTGATGCCATTGAAGCTATTGGCGCTATTGGCGCTAATATCAGACGGATAAGGGCCATGATTTGGCCATGAAGTCACTGGGACTCCATTTGGAAAATTTTGCAACAGGGTTGCATTGTCGGATGGAGCGGAATTAGCGCAAAAATTGTTTCTGCGCGCACCATCGGATGACAGGGTCGAGGATGGACCAGAACATAACATGGAGGAGCTAGACACCATAGGGTTGACTGTGGCTATGCAAGCGTTGTTGGGAAGCACATCAGTATTCTGCAAGGTTATTCCAGCTTTGGCTGGGATGGCAGAATCTATGCAACCGGAAGAGGGTTCAGCAGTGGCAAGGAGCGGAATAGGCGAGCCCACTAGCCCGTGATACGGGGAAATGTCGTTTTCGTCATTGTGCGAGGTCGACGACCACGAGTCGACGACCGATTCAGGATTAAAAAACCCAATGGACGGGATCTGAACTAGCGAGCTGAAATTATTATTGCTGTGGCATGGAATCGAAGTCAGCCTCGATGATTCCAAAACCGACGTGGCGTGAGTGGCTTGTCGCGGGTCTGTCGATCCCGCTTGACATTCGGGAGAAGAATAATCCGTCGTAGGATCATGACCCGTTAGCACTGTTTCTCCGTGGCAATGGCAAGCACCATTGGCTATGAAACGCCCAGACGAGGTGCCAGCAACTAGGTAGGAAAATAAAAAAGAATGGACAAAAAAAGACGTAAGAATTTCCATCTCTATATGGCTGTGTTGTTAAGCGTGTTGCTAAGAGTGCCTATACCTGATTTAGGACTACGCGGACGTTTGCAGTACTGGCAATGCGTAACAGGACGACCTTTTTTCCTGATTTGCACCAGAGGACGATCGGTATGCTTGCAGTGAGATGATCGATGGCCCTGTCATTCAAGCTTATTAACAAAAAAAGCAGGAAAAAAAGTTCCAGATATATTGAATAATTTACCTTGATGCAGGTGGCACATGCGTATTTCACACCATCAATCATCATACCTTTATACGTGGTTTCGTGAATGATAAAAGAAGTATAAATGAATAAGATCAAAAATGAATGAGTGACAAGGAGAAGAAGAAGGAAAAGAAGATGAAGAAGCAGTTTAATGCCGCAAAGGCGATCCTAAGAAAAAGATGAAAGATAAAAGAAAAAGATATTTAGAAGATAAAGCGCAGATGTGACAAATGCATACAGAAGATTCGTTCAGGCAGAAAAGAAAAAAGATACTACAAAAGGAAATAAAAAGAAAACAAAGGTTTAAAAGAATTCTATAGTTTAAATAAAAAGAAAAATCAAAGAATAAGAATAAGAAGGGGCAAAAACGATCGATGGCCTCTATTTCTTTTCGATTTTAAATTACTGAAGGATCGACGAAGAAACAGAAACCTAATACTATTGAATGTATGGCTGCCATTAGAAAAAACCCAAAAAAGAGGGTTCAGCTGCCGCTTTTTGTATTACCGCGTTAATTTGGCCAATGGCTTGCACGGCAATATCAGCGCAGCCTGATATTTTCCAAAACCGGGGCAACTTTAAAAAAATCTTGTGGCAGGCACCACCCAGGCCAAGCCAAGAGCCCCACCCAACCTATGTCTTATTAAAATTTCGTTCTAGATAGAATACTCTACCAAACCTGCCAACTATACGCATTTACCCATATCGAAATAACCGCTAATAAAAAATTCCACTTAGGGACCAAGCATTACAAAAACCTTACAATGGGGACTGTGGGCTTTTTGAAAAAGTACTCAAATAACAAAAACGTTGATGTGCCTGCAAAGTCTCGAGTACATGTTGGTTCGAAACAACAAAGGAGAGGTGGGATGCTTAGTATAGTAAGCTCCCATCCAACACAGTTGGCCAATGTCTTAAAAAAATCGTATCATTTTTTTTTTCTTGTGATAACCTGCCTTCGGGCTCTCCACTTTGCGCACGTTGCCAACCTAATGTAATATTACGACAACGTCATTGGCTCCTGATAAGGCATGGCTTTTTAATGGCCCTTTATCTATTACTTTATCACCGCCATAACATACAGCTTTTTGAAGTTAATTTGTATGAAAAGAAAGGGAAAAAAAAAGATGGCTTGGATCATTATTTTCTTTTACAAACGGTTGGTTGTCATTGGCTCATTCAGGTTTATCATAGTTACGCTGTAGAATAGCAAATTCCACCGTTGTTAGAGTTTTTTCTTTTGGTCATTTATCGCAAGAGTCAAACAGGGTCACCAGGCCAGAAATGGAAAATCTTCCTCCGATAACTCCCCGTCCAACAAAAATGGGCCCTAGCATTTTCCAGAAACTGAACGAATGGTTTCGTTTTCAGCATGAATTTTCTGAAACTCGAATAAAAAAAGGCACACATTTTACGATTTTCGAGTGCAATGTCATCAGAATGACTTGATTGGTTCATTTTTTAGTAGACGTCATGTGTGACTGTTCATACGCGGGGATGGCGGGTGTGTTCTTTTCGTTCTGGTGGCAGGTGGGGCCTTATGTTGTCGTTTCCGAAAGTGGGACACTTTTGGGAGTGATTGTTGCCTAACACATTTTTTTTTTATCTTTTTTTTTTTATTCTTATTTTCTGAATTCTTCTTGTTGGTGTAGTCTTTGTTTTCCCTTTTTTAAAGGCTATCACTTCTTACCGCATCCTTTCCTTTCCTTACAAACTCCAAAAAAAAAGAAAGAAATTTCAACCGTTCACGTTCGGCATGGAGCTGACCTCAGAGAACCTCCAATCCTTATTAACCGATCTATCCTGGTTTATTCAGCTTGTGCTGGCGGTTATTGGCAGTCTGCTGATTCTTTTACCGTTGGTTTACACGTTGGTACTGCATCACGATTGGCATTTTCCGTTGATTTCGGTGTCTCGAAAACTCGTTCGTGGTTGTTCGTCCGCCCTACGATGGACATGGATCGGTCACGGCACTTTTTATGCAGTCGCTCCGCTCATAAGACCCGTCAGCTCTATTCTTGGCTTATTATGGCAACTTGTTTTTACAGTCACTGGCATGTCATTGCTGTCATCTCGAGATGCTGGTCAGCACCCCAATAGATTCAAGTCCTCGATCTCAAATTCCAAGGCTTCTCCGACGGTCAATGTTTGTCTGTCAAATATCGATCCCAAAGCAACTCTGATCACCGGGCTTGTAAATACGGGCAATTCTTGCTTTCTAAATTCGGTGCTCCAGGTACTTATGCGCGATTCGAGTTAATTTCAGGGAACCGCACGCGTGGGACCGACGAAAAAAGGAGGCGGGAGAGAGAGAGAGAGAAAAAAAGCCAATCCTCCCCATTTTCATTGTATCCTTTTTTTTTTTTTCTATTTGACACAAATGCTCACCCTATCCAATAGGCTTTGTCAAGCTTGCCACGATTGCAATCTTATCTCGACTTTGTCACGCAAAATAATGTTCAATCTCTACCCCTGACACGTTCGCTATTAAAAACGCTACGTCTACTTACCGTCCCTGTTCGCCAACAATCGTCTTTTCGACCAACCGAGATCGTCAATGTCATGGCCTCTTCCAATACTCGAGTGGTGAACCAAGAACAGCAGGATGCTCAAGAACTTTTCCAGCTCATCTCCAGTTCTTTGGACGCTGAAACCCAGACCGTGGAACAGACAGGGCTGGCCGGCGATGGTCTCAAGGACGTGCTTCGGTGGTCATCTTTTCAGAAGATCGTGTATCCTCACCCAGGGGGCCGACCGACGGTTTCCCATGCAAACTCCTTCTCATTCTTCAAGGGCCATCTGAATATCCTCGCTGAAAATCCTTTTACGGGTTTGCTTGCCAATCGACTGTCATGCATGCAATGTGGTTATACAGTACGTTTTTCATTGGATGCATGCAAGCGCACTGGTTCTGACTGTGTCCTTTTTTTAAAATTTACAGGAGGCCATTCGCCATTTTTCTTTTAATAACGTGCAGCTGACCTTGCCTCAAAAGGTTCGTCATTGTTGTTGACAAACTTTTTGTCATTACCTGAAAAAAATGCTGACTGTTCTCTCTCTCTCTCTCTCTCTCTCTCTCTCTCATAGTCCTCCACCACATTGGATGAATGTTTGGAGCAATTGACGGCGATGGAATATCTCAACGATGCTACCTGTCGAAAATGTTCACTGATTGATACGGTGCGGGATTTGTGCTCGGAAGTGGAAGCGTTAAAGGATCAAGCGTCGCGTTGCAAAGATACAAAGACGAAGCGATCGTTGCTCACGAAAATGGTGCAAAAGGACAAGATTCGTCGAGAGATTGAACACCGACTCAACGTCGGCCGGATCGAGGAAGAAGAAAACGAACCTTTTGGCAAAGACAAGGCCATTATGCTTCGTACTGTAAGCCGAATGTCCAGTAAACAGGTCATGTTCGCCAAACCACCCAAGATCCTGTGCCTTCACATTTCCCGATCGGCATTTCATACTTCCGGTGTCATTTATAAAAATCAGTGTCACATCTCGTTCCCGGAATACTTGGATATGTCGCCCTATTGTACGGACGGAACGCTCAATACACAGCCGCACATGCCGATTTCCACGCTGACATCGAAAAATGCGGCCAAGTATAAGCTTATGAGTACAGTGGTGCACTTTGGAAGTCACAACTTTGGCCATTTCATTGCCTACAAACGACGCATGATGCCCAGTCACTGTTCATGCCGTCAGTGCAGTTCTTCCAACGAACCGCCGGAACTCAACACCCACGACTCCTGGTATCGTATCTCGGACGAAGAAGTGGACGTTTGTAGTTTGGACGATGTCTTGCGCGCCAATCCATACATGCTGTTGTATGAACTCGTGGAGGACACGGCGATGGCGGTGGACGAAACATCCACTCAAGCGCTGGCCGTCGCTGCATCGTTAAAAGAAGCAAATCCGCACACTGTATTGTCGGGCGTGGACGCTGTTGACGATTTTCAGGCCATGTGCGATGTGACTGAAGAAATTGCTGAGCTGCAGGCAGTTCAACGTCGACGATCGCTCTATGATCATGACCAGTGCGACCCCTGGATCGCCAAGTGCCATCATCCGGGGCGAAGAACCAGTTTGTCGTCCCACGACTGGATGGCCAAACAATCCCAAGTCACACCCTTGGCCATTTACTAGATCCAGCATATCGAACGACCGTTCTTCAACCCCTTTTACTCATCCAACAACTCGATCACCGTATATTCTTTCTTTCCGTTTATCATTCTTTCTTCTTATCATCCATCCTAGAAACCCTTACTTAATGCTGTATTATCGAAAGTATCTTTCCTTTATTCTATATCCTGCATGTATATGCTTTGTTGTTTTTATTCTTTCCCTTTTTATTTCCTTTGTTCTTTTCGTTTTATTTAACGACCACTTTTTCATGATTGCATTGATATTTGATTTATCACTAACCTCCATTTCTTGCGTTGTATTCATACATTTATATTTTGCTAGATGCTTTTGCATAAAAAAAAAGTTAGAAATTCCATTATTGAACAGGAGAAAAAAAAATTTCAATCGTGAGAATGGTGAAATAGCATGTGCTTGGTAAATTTTTTGGTTGGGGCGGGTGTGGTTGTTTATCGAAAAAAAAGGGATTCCAAAATAGGAAGAATGCGGACTTGTCATCCTAGTTTTCAAAGCTTAAATAGTCTTCACGGTGTACCAGCGTTTACTCTTTTGTTTTCTTTGCTGTCTTTTACCACGATCAAATAAACATGCCGCAAGGTTACAAAGTGGATGTTGAAAAGGCAGTGGGCCACCAATTTGAACCCGTTTACGTAAGTGGGTCAAAAGAATCAGTCACTGGGGGTGCGCGAACCACTTAATTGACCAACTTTTCTTCCTAGGTAAGCTGCAATCGCCGCGATTTTTTGCTCTATGCCTTGTCCGTGGGAGTACCTGATGACGATTTACGGTGGCTATACGAATTGGACGCTAACTTTGCTCCGTTACCGACGTATCCCTTAAGTCTGTTGCTCAAGGGCGATGATGGGGACGTGAACTCTTTTGTTGAGCGGTGGCAAATCGGCGGTTCCCTTCCTGGCGTGCCTCACTATGATCCCAATAAGATCGTTCACGGTGAACAAAGCTTAAAAGTGATCCGTCCGTTCCCGATTGAAGGAGGACGGTTCAAATCCGTACGTACCTGTACGGGAGTGTACGATAAAGGCTCCGGCATGGTCATTGAGTCGGTGGTTGATCTTTACGGTGACACAGACGGGCTGCATTACTGCAGTATGGGTACAAAGATGTTTGTTCGTGGTTACGGCGGATGGAATGTAAGTAATCGCTTTTTTTTCTTTGTTCAATAGTCTCTGTGGTTTGAAAATAACCTGTGAATTGAGGCAGGGACCCAAAGGCCCGAAAGCAGTGCAATACCTTCCACCGAAACGAGCCCCTGATGTGATTGAACACTTTCACACCGCACGAAACCAAGCACTGCTGTATCGTTTATCCGGGTAATTAGAGCGACCTCTTGAATTTCGCGACTGTAAATTTTTAATCGTGTACTCATGCCGAATTTGACTGGCGTTTTAGTGATTTCAATCCATTGCATGCGGATCCTGAGCTGGCTCCACGAGTAGGGTTCCCACGACCCATTTTGCACGGTCTGTGTTCGTATGGCCGCTGCGGACATGCTATCGTTAAGCATTTTGGTGATAATGATTACGCTCGTTTCCGGTCCATCGAAGCCCGGTTTGCTCTTCCCGTATTCCCCGGCGAAACCGTCGAAGTATTGATGTGGAAAGTCGACAGTCCTGATCCCACTTTTGACGCCGTCATCTTTGCCGCCAGAGTCAAAGAACGCGATGCTATCGTCTTAAGCCACGGTTATGCTACTCTTCATAAAAAGTCACCCACTTCATCCAAATTGTAAAAAAAGAAAGAAAAAAGACGCTCTTTTTACAACTAAATAACTCGAAAGTCATTTTTTCTTGAGAAAAATCCGCCCCAACCAATTAAGCGCTGGGCTACGATATAAGAAAAATGATTATTTATCTTCTTCCTATCCCTTGTCGATCAAACAATACGTATATATAAATGATCTTGATAACGAGCGAGTCAATATGAAGAAACTGACTGTGCAGTGGTGTGTATTTGATGCAGATGGGAGGTGGGGAGAATGGGGACGCGAGCGAGGGCTGTCCAAGCCACCCGAAGCGTTGGAGCTGTGTCGGGAGAGGTGGCAAAAATTTAACGGTCACGGTGTCAACTTTCAAAAGGATGGCGTTGAAAAGGGCGGCAACCAGGGTTCCTTTACAACAAAAAAAGAGTGGACCATGCATCGTTTCAAGGCTCAGGGTGTGAGCACTCGCGTATTCTCCAAACCACAATGGGTGCATCCCAAAGACAGACTTAAGCAGTGGACCATTCTTACCGGCGACAAGGTACTGATTTAAGCATTGAGATTAACAGTATCCACTCAAATTTAACCACGGACGACTAAACAACAAAAACCTTGTTACTTTCAGGTGGCGATTATTGCGGGTAGAGATAAAGACACTATTGGCGAGATTAAATCTGTCAATCGTCAGACCAACACGGTCATTGTCGAAGGCAAGAAATTGGTACGTTTTTTTCGCCATCTTTATTGTGGAGTATAGTTACAAATCGCTTAACTGTGATTGCCGTGATTTAGGCAAAGAAACATGTCCCTATGCAACCGGGAGCCCCCGAAGGTATCATGCGAAAAGAATTACCCATTCACGTATCCAATGTCATGCTTCTTCATCCTGATACACAGTACGTTGTCGAACCATCGAATGAACACTCACATTCGGTCACACTCGTCGCTGATGGCATCTAATTTCGATTTTACTTTTTTATTCCAGAGTTCCTACTCGTATCGAGCGACGTCAGATTGAAACCACTTTAGACAATGGTCAAGTTAAGAAGCGTTGGGCTCGATTTGTCAAGGGCACGGAAATTGAGATTCCTAAACCGGAACGAAAATACAACGATCGAAGTGGAGGTAAGCTCGGACACTGGAAAGAAGAGAAGGGAGAGAGACTGATTGCATTTCAATCTAGACGAGCAATTTTCTACGGCACCAGAAGATGTGCTGGCTGTGACTTATACACCTTCCAACGAACCTCCTGTCCCTGCTGACCTCGTTCGGGAACTGAGAAACCCTTACAAGCGACGTACCGTATAATAGATATAGACCCCATTTCTTTCATGTACAATATTTACTCTCGTTTTTCTACTCATTTTTTTTTGTGACCCTGTGGAGCATCGCCATGAATAAAATGGATGATCTACAAACCCAAGTGCATTTGGCTCATGATTGCTGTGATGGCAGGAAAAATAAGGGAAAAAAAGACCGATCGGATTTCCAAATTGAGACGCTTTAAATTGCAGACCGTGAAAAAGCCTTTGGACCAGCCCTTCATTGCACCATTCACATACATGTCTAGCAAAGCAGTCAAACCGAACAAACTCGTATTCAAAGGCGATAAAGATAAAAAGTACAACGAACAGAGCTAATCGAGATTGTCATGGCGCCTTTTAATAACTGAGCAATACGTTAGGAAGAAAAAGAGAAAACATCATCACGATAGTGACGCTCGCAATGACGCCGACGCCCTTAACAACGAAGGCAAGTTTTTGTTGACACGACTGTGCAACGGAAAAAGAGAGAAAAAACAAGGCTAAACTTGGAAATAGGATGGGTGAGAGCGGATTCACTGGACGATCTGGTAGGACCTTTATTCATTACCCATCCGAGTGATCCACCTATTTGTATAACAACGGACAAAGAGAACCGATTGCTGGCCTACCCATTACCAGAACTCGCCGAAAACACGAAACCCGAACCAGTGATTGTGGAGCAGGTTATTGTAGGTGCCCGACTGGTGGGGACTACCAATTCGTTCACGTTCAAATCGTGCACTGGCAAGTATCTCGGCAGCGACAAGTTTGGCGTAGTGACGTGCGATAGCGAAGCGATCAGTGGACAAGAAGAATGGAATCCCGCCATCACCGAAGCAGGCATTGCTTTCCAGAATGTCCATGGAAAATATCTGATGGTGGATGAAATCGCCAACGGAGGTAAAAAAAAAAAAAAAAAAAAAAAAAAAAAAAAGGAGAGCTCGCTGCACCTGCGCAAAACGTCGATCGACTCACCTACGAATTGTCTTTATTATGCCTAGGCTTCAAAATTCGAGCAGATGCCGAAGAAGTCGGGTTCTGTGAAGCCTTTCGCGTGTATTGCCAAGCACGATTTAAGCATAAAAATAAGAGCGAAAAGAAGAAGGCGCTGCCGGCGGGGGCGGCCGAGATCGATAATATGTAAGTCTCTCTCTCTTCCACATCAGGAGATTTTGTTATGCTGGCTTGACTGATTTTTTCTCTGTGTATAATGTTAGACGAAAATATCAATCATGGGGTGCAGGACGGATTCACACTACCAAAGAAGACGAGCGTGAACTGAAAAGGGCAAGGCAAGAAGGCCGCGCCGCAGAAGCCATGCTTGATCGTCGTGCAAAGGTGAAGGCTGATCGATACTGTAAATAAAATTTTGAAACAAGACATGTACATCACACATCATGTTGATCTGTATACAAAACTTGTTTATTTCTTTTTGATCCACACCCCCTGCTCATCCACAAATCGGGCCAGACCCGTGGCAATACTGGAGGTTTTGTTCCATGAATTATCCAGCAAATCCTGGGCTTTGGTAACGCTGCGCAAAGCCAAGATGGCGTTGGCATCACGGGAGGATAGGATGTTGTCAATGCACACATCCCACGGCAATATTGAAGAGTCAGCTACATCACAAGAAGGAGAAGGAGGAGGAGGAGGAGTGGGACGTTCTTGCAAGAGATAGATGCATAATGTCACCAGAAATTGCAGCTGCAACAGCTGGTTGACGTCTCCTTGGTATTCCTTCAAAGTTTGAATTGCTAGGCAAGATTCGACCAGTTGGCCGTCGTTGAGATGATAATCGAGTGTCTGGTGACTTGAGGGTTGCATCAAACAAAGAGCCAAAGAACACAGATCACGGATGTCGTATGGATGTTTGGCGGCTTCGGCGACATAGATTTGGAGCAGTTCTTTCTTGCTTTTCAAAAGGATCTTGAGTGCTTCGTCAAATGTATCGTACCCATCAATGCGACCGGAAAACCGGGGATCCGCCTGCACCAGATCAAACAGGATATTGGGTAGATGGTCATCTTTATACGCTTGCAAAGGCGACAAGCGATCATCGAGCCAGTCACTGACATCAATATAGGAGCTTGCAAGGTGAGCTAATCCCTGAATGACAAGCTCCGGAAACCCGCGTTGAATCCCAAACACCGTGTGGACGAGGGGCTGAAGTTGGCCGCCTATGGACTGTTGCAACCTTTGATGGTAAAAGTACTCTTCCAGTACCGCGTTCAAGCCCACACGACCTGCTTCGTTTTCAAAAAACAAAAGATACGATCGGTACTGTTTAGATTGACCAAGGTAGTCTTGCCAGTTGTCTCGGTGAATTACATTCTCAATCATTGGTGTGTATAGGATCGGTTCCGTCGTATGATAAAGGTGTTCAAACATATGCAAAAGGTCTTGCGTCTTGGCTGAGGGGCCACCCATAAAAATATAGAAGCAAGATTAATTAGTGGATTTGTGTGAAAATATCAAATCTTGTATAACGTACCACCCAATTCATGCATGCTCATCAAGACACGAGCAAAATTGGTCGGTCGACCTTGTTGACTGATGTGGTTCAACGTGTTTTCCAGCCGGACGATCAACGCGATCGTGTCATCCGGTGACTCTACTGAAGGTTGGTGCTTGGTGGCGCGCTTGTGCACCAAGGATGGCCGTTCACAAAAACTGGATGACGGACTGTTCAATTGGATACCATGTATCTGCGACATTGATCGTCACGTAAAAAATATCTCAACAAGAAAAAAAAACAGCGATCAACACAAACAAACAGTGAAAGGAAAATCCATTTATTTCGTTTCTTTCTGGGGTAAGAGTGAGTCTTTTTTTTAGGTGATTGAGGAGAAAAAAGTAGGTCATTATTTTCGCCTCGGTGAATAATAAAAAAGTTGAGGGGCCACATATGGTAGATTTTTTTTTTCTACGATGCTGTTTCAGTGGCGGTGTTGGCTGGCAATGGGGTGGTGACAGAAGGGTTCGGGGCTGGAGAAGCATGGGCTGCTGGGGGGAGAGAGGAAGAGGGAGGGACAGAAGGCGTGGAAGCAGCCGTGGGGGTTGGTGCTGTGGAATTTTCTTTGAACGGTTTGATCCAACCACTCTCAATGAAAAAGTCATAGATCCGACTGGTCTTGTTCACATCAATCTTGATCAATGCTCGCGCTTGTCGTCGTTTCAGATATCCTTGCTTTGCATACTCTTTCAGAATGGTGTCTTTGATGACGAGGTAAGGTCGCGGCATAATACGTAGGGTCGAGCACAGCACTTGCTCTTCTTCCGTCAGCAGATGGATACCATCGGCATCCCGGATATTCAAGGGATTCGCCGGTTTTCGTCCACCGGCCGGCGCCGCCGCACCGGCTGTGGAAGCAGTATTGACGTGATTCTGTTGCGCCACCTTGTCTCTGTAGTAGCTCGCACCATTGGTGGCCGCCAGGGCGGCCATCTGCGCACGATAGCTGTTGCGATGGTTGGCGCCGGCAAGATTAGATCGTTCGTTGGACAGGGAAGCCAAGGCCTTGAGATGGGCTAATCGTTGCTGTTTATCGCGTTCGTACTGTTCTCCTTGACGGAACGTGGTCAGGCCCGCCTGACGCCATTCTTGAAGGGTCATGATCCGATCGCGCAGCTGCTGTTCTTTAATAAGGCCTTGCACAAAGGTTTCGTAATCCGAGGCCGTTTGTAATCGACAAAAGACTCGTGTCTTGTTGTAGATTTCCCGTTCTTCTCGATGCCGTTTCCTCTCTATGGCTTGCTGCTTTTTGAACTCGAGCCATCCTCGTTCAAAAATCATCTTTTTACGTTCCATGCGTCGATCGAGCCGTGAATTATAAATGTCCAAAACCATGATTTTTAGATTCACTTCTTCTTGGGTATCATCGTCATTAAAGATCATATTTTTCACGTATTGTTCCGCTTCGTTTTCGTGTTCGGTCTCAAATTCGAACCGTCGCGGCATGTAACCTTGAATCTCATGGTAAGCCGGTCCACTCGTAATGGGCTTGCTGCTCACAGGCGCCGCGGCCGGTTTTCGTGGTCCTAAACCTCGAGATTGCTGTAATCGTACTCGTTTGCGTTCTCTGCATTCGCTTTCGCTCGTTTCAAAGGTCAAGTTCATTCGTGGCAGTGGCCAATCGGGACTGGAAACGTACACTTCCAGATAGTGTTGTTCGCATTCTTGTTTACTTCGTGTACCCACGTAATCGGCAATAGCTTGCCAATTGCCCATGCCATTCTTTTCCGTGGCCTCGATTAACAACAGTTCTTCTTCCGCATCCCAGTCTTCGCTAAAGATGGGGAAATTGTGGGGTTTCACAACACGATAATCGTGCCACGATTTATGCTTGACCGGTTCGGCCGCATTGCAGAAGCAAGTGACGCACAAGTCAAAGTCAGGGCAATCTTTATCTGCACAGCGAATGCGGACTGTATTGGTGACATCGTTGCTGCAAGCGTCACAGTGGTATTTAGGAGGCTCTTTATCGTCCACTTGCGAATCGTTGGCAGAACTCGCACTCAACGCATTTCCACTCGGTTTCTGTCGATGCGTGATCGTCATGGGCAAAAGCAACAACAATCAAGGCCAACGATAATAAAGATATATAAGAATAAGAATAAAATCGAATGAAAAAGCCAAGCGGGAGAACAAAAAAGAGTGGCCTTGTGCTGCTCTTGACGAAAAATTGCTAGTCACACCCACGGCACCCACGGGCAAGGCCTTCCATAATAAGGGGTTGTTTGAAAAAAGAAAAAATTTACATGGCTACAACGTTCAACAGTAGCTTTATTAATAGCATTATCAAGATGGTTGACTGTATTGAAAAGTGAAGCACTGGTTTCGCACTGGTTATTGTATTAACCCATCGTTGACTTTTTTTACGGCTTTGGCGTCCTGTTATTTTGTTCCTGTCAGCTCAGTTGGCAGTTTCGCTCGATGGCTATCTTGTAGAATCAACACTTACGTAACAACCATACTCTATAGTGACATCTTGGACATGCTTGAATGGACGAAGTGTGCAAAAAAGGGGGAAGGCGAATGGGTATTGGATAAAACAGCTGTCGAGGGTCGGGGCGCAAAGACGGCAACCTTTGCGTCGTCCGCACACGATGAATATGCTCTGTCGAAGGCGGAGTCGGTAAGCCAGAACCACAGTTCATCATTTGGCAAAAGAAAACAATATCAGTAAAAAATGTCAGCATACTTAGACTTATATATATTCATTTAGTGTCTGAACAATGAATGGGCATACGCACATGTATCAATCGATATCACGATTGCGTCTGTCCTCATACCTGTGGCATAGGATTCATCTGCCCCTTTGTTTTCGATCGGCGGGAACCCAACCATAAGATCATTGTAAAAGAAACGAGATCATTGTCATCATTTTATTACAAAACCAAAATCGCTAATGAAAATGTAAACAAAAACATTAAACTATGTAGATGAAAGGATAAATTCTTCCGGAAAAAAAGAGAAATATATGGTACAAGAGATGGGATATGTATATCGATGCATTGAAGAGACGTTGACGTCTCATGGAGTTCATTTTGCAGGTAATGTTTGCCTTGCTTTCTCGCGTCCAAGCTTGGTCTGGAAAATTGCATGTCCACCACTTATTGCAAGTCCAGGATTTTTAGTCGCGTAGGCTTGATTGCATCATACTACTGGATGTCATAGCCAATACGTTGTGCTTCAGCCGACGCTACCCGAAACAGATTCGCCACCACCTTGAATCGTAAATTTGCTACGCAAAACGATTGGATTTCGATAAAGTATTCGGCAATTGGCATCAGCTGTTTCTGCAAAAGCGACTGCACTAATTTCGTCACCTAGAATATCCTCATGTTAACGCACTCAATCCGCCATCGTTTTTGCTGAGAAACCGAGCTTACCAGCTTCACTTGCCGATCTTGCGCGACGCCTTCATCCAACAACTCGCACGATCGAATACATTTTGACACATAAGCATGCAAAAATTCGCTGGGAATCTCGCTCAACGATCCGCACGTGAGCACATGATGAATGACATCCACAGAATTTGGAGTCACCGGCACCTCTGCCAACGCATACAAAAATCTAATCCAAGCAGCAACTCAGTCCCATTGTCCCCCCCCCCTCCCTATTCCACGTCAACAAGTTATCTTACTCTTTGCGGTCAGACGTTTTGATAAGGATCGGCACAATGTCCAGTGCAATAAAGTGATTGAACTCCAGAAAGCTCGGGAATAAACATTCATCAGGTGATAATCCACATTTCTCCACAAACCCATCATACTGGAATGCTTTGACCAAAACCTGAGGACAAGAAAAACCGTATTCAATACGTCTATGAGTTTCCCCCGCCCCAAACTTTTCACCATACTGAAATTTACCTGACCTTCCGGAATCGTCATTGTGCGCACACACGCTTCTCTCATCAACGACGTGATGTACTCTATGATGCCTTGATCAAGCGGCGATCCATTGTGTAACTGTAAAGGTATGCTCCAACGTCAATACTCCATCTTGTAAGAGCCCACTTTTTCTGACAAAAATCACCTTGGCTGCAACTGTATCCAAAGAATAAATCTCATTCTCCGTCTCCATCACTGTATCGCTAAGCAAAGAGTAAGCGTGAGTGAGTGGTTGCCATGCAAGATTCAAATATCGACCATGGAGGGCTTACGGATCATCGATGAGACGAGCCACCGTCTTTCGTAAATGAACGAGATGGGTCTCTTCCCGCTGAATAGGTGGAAGCCGTGAAGGATCGTCGCATATTTCTTGAGGCTTCAGGTCGCTGATCTGCGCACGGTTTATATACAAGTTAAGCAATGGCATGCGGAGCAGCCCCAGAGCTGAACTTTTCCTTACTTGAGTAACGGACCCTCCTAATATGCAATACACAAAGTGCTGCTCGATATCGTTATTGGCTGTTTCCAGGCGTTCCAGGAAAAAGGTTAGAAAAGGATTGCATTCCAGTGAAGCGTCTGCATAGAGAGCGTAAAGAATGTAAAGAATGGTCAAGCGTACGGGCGTGTGCTGTGTAAAGAGAGGTTAGTCGTGGGGGAAAAAAAGCCGAGTGTGAGTTGCTCCATGGACTAGGGTGTTTCTTGACTTGCCTGAGACGATTCAAAGGCGAGGAAAGCGTAACATGCTGCAGTGAATAAGGTCTCTTTTGAAAGCCTTTGGTGGAACAACTCATATGCTGCAGCAAAACTGAGGAGTTCGGTATCTGCAAGCATAATCCAAAAGAAACCCTCCAAAAAAATGCAATCCACACCCAGAAAAAAAATTGCCACGCCAGCGGACTTTCTTCACTCCCCTCACTGCGGAAATGAAAATTAAACCTATCCGTGGGCCCCAGCTCTCTTGCATAATCCCCTGAACCCGCCAGCCGACGGTACCGCAAGACTCATCACCCTGTACGTCTCACTTATTGCCCAGCCAACTCACATTCTCCTTTTTTTGCACATACACCTGCTGTATTTTTGTTTAATCATCTTCCTTTATATCGCTTGGACCGTCAGTGACTTGCGGTATCTGGAGCTTACCTTTTCTTTATATTTATCATTACGTGCGTTTACTTTCTTTTTCTATTCTTCTCCTTTTTCCGGAATGATGGATTCTAATTGTTTTCTTTATTCCGTATCGCAAGTGTACGGAAGGGAAAGGCTCAGTGAGATCCTCCCCACAGTCTCTTTCTCCGTTCCTTGTGCTTCGTTGGTTCCGTGCTGTTTCTTGTCTGTTTGCGTGTCTTTGCCGGTTGCCGGTTGAAAAGCTGATATGCGCGCAGTTACACTGAAACCTCCTCCACTGTATCTTCTTGGGATTTCGCTTCCATTTCTAACCAGCACCGTCTTTTACTCGAACTATATTAATGATGAGCATGCAATTGGGAAAAAAAAGGTTAATTGGCTTACCTTTTCCGTTAACCCATCGTATTTCTTTATGCTGTTATTTTAGCGCAACGGTTTCACCGTAGGATAGCGCTGTGCAGCTTGTTGCTGCACACTGGATTGACTCGCGGGCTGCACGGAGCGTCGCCCTGTTGTTGCGCGGAGTGCTGAGCTTCCTCGCGCGTGGCTCCGCAGATTTTTCGGCATCTCATGGGCTTTCGAGCATTAGGAACGACAGGGTCTGACCCTCCGATGCAAAGTCAGGGAATTGACTGAGGATCAGACCTGGCAGACGGGTATTTAAAATTTCGTTGTTAGATGAAATGGCTTTCATTCTTATTCCTAATCTTCTTTACTTTCCTTTCTTCGGTTACGTTTTCCGAGTATGGAACTTCTCTGGGCTCCGTGAGAACCATCATAGCTTCAACCTAGCGTTGGTCGTCTTCTTCGTGGCTTTTCTCTCGGATTGGAGGAACAAATTGTTCCACCAATACAATAAAACAATTCTTTATTAGATAAACCACTTCCACTTACGTTCTTCCATCACCACAATCCTTAGCTGAAATGCATCGATGTCGAAGCGGGTGTCTTTGCGGTGCTGATTTATGTCTGCGTGACCCACGTTCGGGAGGTCGAGTTCGCGAAGCAATTCTTTGAAGAGTTCTTCAGCCTTTTCATAGTTGAGTCGTTGAATGACCTCCCATAAGTTAAAATTCGACAGTTCTGAAGCTCGCGAAGAGCTATTACCACTCACAATTGGATCTGTAGGATTGCTGCCACGATTCATAAAGCGAATTAAATTCAACGATAATGCGTCAAAAAAAATCAGTTCTTTGCTTGTCGTTGCACCATGGCTTGAACCGGCCAGCCTGGCAACACACAGGCCTCTCCTACTTCACGGCCACACAACGTCAAGGGTTAAAACAAACTTACGGTGAGACGGTCTTAATACAGTAATCAGTAAGGAAAAAAAAAAAGGGGATCCGCAAGCGTCCTTTTTAATTTATTTACAATTTGACACGTCGAGCGTGACGCGTTTCGCGATTGCGTGGCAGACCTACAATTTATTGCTATGCTTTTACAGCGAAATCCATTTATATGGAGTGCACCCACCTCTTTACTTCAATATGCATTGATCTGTCACCCAAAATGCGTGTTACGCTGCCCTTGGCATTTTGTATCACTTCTGAGTTATCATTACACAGGCGACAGGAACCCCGAACACGCGATCATGCTTGCATTCGATCGAGAAAAGCTAAACTTCAGTAAGCATAAAGACGATGTTACTTTTTGTCCATCTAAACATTTATGGCTAATAGATTGTTGCAAATAGCAAGTAGATCATTGCTTCGTTTGCCTTTGCTCATCTTTGCTGGAAACATATTCCCAATTCATGTATCATAATGTCACAGATATCCCTGGCGATATTGCTCAAAAGAATGGTTTCAAATTTTAATGAAAAATGCAAGAGTGGCAAACCGCAGGTTACCAGGAAACAGATCAAATGTGTGATTGGGGTTTTCACAAAGCTGCGTCAAATTGATGTCTGGGCCCATCGTCGAGTGAATCTGGCGCAAAGGGCATGAGCGGACTTGCGCTGCTTACGATGCCCCTTTCCAATACCGCGGCTCCCAGATACTGCTCCCTAGGATGTTTATGAACATTTCTTTAGCAATCGCTTATAACGCTACATCCCATTTTATACCGACGTATTCGAAAACAACATTAGGTTTATTCAGCCATCGACCAAGGCGCGTTTGTCACTTACTCATTGATCCCTTATGACATGTGCATTTGATGATTCTTCAAACGCAATGCTGCAGCACATTAGATCTAGCTAGTCAGCTGTGTTTTCATTCCATTTACAATAGCACAATGCGACCATCAGAAGCAGTGGCTAAGCATTGGCAGATTCGTGAAGATTAAACCTCATCGCACAAGGATTCTGCCTCCAAAAAAAAAAAAAATGGCAGCCACCGTGAGGACAACCGCCAGAGGCTACTTTTGAAGCACTGATGGAGCGCCGTCAACATAGTAAACTCGTTTCCCGGTCCACCATTTCTGACCGCAACAGGATGACATAATGACACCATAAAAAAACGAACGGCCAGCAAAATGTATTTTGACTTGAAACGGAGACGAGTGGGGGTGGGGTGGCACAGTTGAAATGAGTCGCGGCAGGCAAAACACTTGAATAAAGAGGACGATTTTTGACAAGAGTTTATTGGCGTCTTTATTGAAGAGATAACAGATGAGCGACAAACAAAGGAAAAAGGTCTATCCTGTTGTATGTCTTTCTAGGCTAAGCTAGTTTCTTTTTCATTTTCATCTATCTGCTTTTTTTTTTTGGCCGGTCCATTTTGTTCTTAAACAAACCGCTTTGAACGTCGCTTTGGGCATCAAATGAAAATGACCGTAATATAAAGGAGAATTAAGGTGTTTTTCATTTATTTTTCTTTCTCTATGAAGTGGCGTGTGATCGTCCACAGGACGTTAAGCCCACTTTTTATTTTATTATTCAACCCACAAAGGGCTGAGAAAAAGAATAATAAAGGCAAAAAGCCTTTTTTATTTTTCATTTACCTTTGTTGCGATTAAAAAGCAAACCCACCGACATACCTTCCACAATGACCGCGCTGATGACTAGTCAGGCGCCCAAAGGGAAGAGCCGACGGGAACGAAAACAATCTTCTTCAGAGGATGGCCAATCCTATCATTAGAGGATGGTTTTCGGATTTTTCGCCATACCCCGAATGCTTTACCAAAAACCGGAGCGTTCATCATTACCAGTAACCACCAGCCTAGCAGCCCCTGATTCCGAACTGGCGCACAAAAGAAAAAAAGAGATGAGAAGAAACGCCCCCTTTTTATATCTTTTTCAAAAATCGTTCGAGGACCTTCGATGTGACCTTGCTTTATGACCGCGAATGCACCTCATTGGCTCGATTCCCGCAACAAAACTCGCGAAATTCAGCGCCTCACTCTTCTTTCGCGTAAGGAATGCAAAGAGGAGCTGCGCCATGTTACTCATGCTGCCATGAGCAACCCATGTGCACTACAGTCACTCTATAACTTTCAATAAAGCTTGTGTTCGAACGCTGATGCAACATGCTTCAGGCTTTACGCACTTTTTTTGATCTTGTTGTATGCTAGGATGTTTCCCTACCTTGCCCTGTCCCTGTGTATCAATTTAGTTCTTGAAACCATGTCTTCAATATTACTGTGACAATAAATGATCATGTATTACTCCAGGAACTAGAGTGTTAGTTTCAGTGCGCCATGTGCAATGGTGACAGAACGCGAAGAGCGCAATGACCAAGGCCGATGCGAATGTGGGCGTGTCCGCAAGATATTCTTGCCTGCGTTGAAAGTGTTCTTACGGATTGCAAACAATTGAAACACGCATGAAGGCAAAACAGCACCTGAACTTGTGTTCTCCATCTGCGCTGTGCCATAATTTTCGCATGACTGATTGATTTGCAGGATTGGTGTGATCTCCACTTAAAAAATCGAGTTTCCCTTCTCCGCTTCCCCAGAGTATCTCCTTTTGTAAATCACTGAGTCTATTATGTCTATTTTATTTTCTTCTGTACAAGAGGAACCGTTCTATATTCCATCTTTGGTGATAAGGGCGATAATGGCTTGGGTCACCTCGCTCTTGGAAGCTACAGGTCATCATCATCATCAGTTGGAAGCAGTCGAATGACTATAAAAATTCAAATCTTACCATCTTCATTGGGATTTTGTATTTTCAGTTCCAATTCTGCAGAGAGTAATCGCTTCAGTTGGTTGACGAGGACACCAATACGTGCCCATGCACGGAATTTGATCCATCCATCGTCACCTACGACGACACCGCGACCCATATGATCGACATCCACACGACCTCCAAAAAATAATACAGCGTAGGATGGTACTTCGGTTCCATCTCGAATAAATATTTTGGAAGTGGATACGCGAGAATAATACGTCAGGAATGAAGCGCCAAAATTGTTGCTGCTGAACAGTGTTGATGATGGATGCAGAAAGACGCGACCTATCGAATTTGGCAAACAATTTCCCATGAGTTCCTGTGACGGAAACAGAAAACATCCAAGTCAGGTTCCTAACATACCGTCGTCTTTGGTATAAAATTTGATTTCTCGAGCTTCTTTTTCACGCTCAACGGCACCGGCGAGTACGCGATCATACTTTGTTTCGGGCATGCGGATCTTGGCCAAGTTCGGGTTAAGACCGGCAAAAATAATACTTTTCAACAAATTGCTATTGCCAGCATTCACATTGTATTCTTCCTTGTTTTTGCGATGGTAGAACCCAATATCCTCTACCGCATCCAGGTATTGACGCTTTAATGACTGGATTTCCACCATTGTGGGGAACGACAAGAAATTCTCTTCACAGAATAATCGTGCTTCCCGCATGCCTTTGGATTTAATCGTGGTTTCCCACGCCTTGAAGGCGGTCATGCTCGTAAGCCAATCGCTCTTGCCATACAAAAACTGTTGCTTCGCTCTACAAGGGAATTCCGTTAACTCTCGCTTTCAACTTTTCCTATCCCTGTTGGATGCTTACTCGTTGGCTTCATCTCGACGATCAATAGGTGACGTGAACGGGCTCTTGAGCGACATGATGGCAGCAACAATAGATATGGGTTCAAGACATTTGAAAATGGAACCAAAAATCAACATCTTGCTGATACGTAGATCAGCAGGAATCGAAGCCTATTTTACGCATCAATATTCCCGTCGTCTCGAAAGTATCTTTTTTCATGCACGTACCATGTGATGCCCCAAAGGTGTGAGATTACCCCGTTCGGTCTGGTCAATTGCTTCAACCACCTGTAGCGCATGCACAGCGCTGTTAAGAGCTTGAATGGATGGGGGATCGATGGCTTTGCGAAGGAAGGATTTCACATCGTGTTCTCCCATGGACTTGACTTGCAGACACAGTTGTTCCAAAGGTGTGCGCAAAATTTCAGGCACTTGTTGGGCCCGCATTTTTTTGGCTTCCAGATCCCTCGTAAACAGCTTGAAACATTTACCAGGTCGTGTACGACCGGCACGACCACGTCGCTGTTTGCAAGATGCTCGGGAAGCCCACGTCTCCACAAGATGCATCATACTGCTGGCCGCCTCGAATTGGGTCTCTTTGACCCGTCCCGCATCGATGACATACACAACACCTTCAATAGTGATGGAGGTTTCCGCAACGTTGGTGGCTACCACAATTTTCCGTACAGAGGGCGGTACCTGTTGGAACACGCGTGTTTGTTCCTGAGGGGAAAGGTTGGCATGTAAAGGCAAAATGGCATACGAACCCGAGGATGGTAACGTTGCTTCCAAAGCTTCAATACACCGCTTAATCTCCATTGCACCAGGCATGAAAATAAGCACAGCCGGTTCGGCATTGCCATCGATCTTGGCAGTCTCATTATCCACGATATGTTTCACAGTGTGTGCCACCAGATCATAATCAATCTTTTCTTGATTCCGATACCGTGTCAATATCTTCACCGTGCGCTCGTCGTAGCCTTCGTTTAGCAAATCCAATTGCCAATTTGCCCATTGACTATCCTTGGAAACCGCATCTTCTTCCTTTTGCTTTGGTGTTGGCATTTTGGACATGAAATTTGTCATGTTGATAATATCCTCAAGATAGCTGCGGATAAAAATTGTTCGCTAAGTACACAGACCGTCGAAGCAGATGGGGTTGGAAAAAAAAGAGAAAACATACAAATCTTCCACGGGGTGTGTAAAGCCAGGAATGGATAGAAAAGGTGCGCCATGGAAATAGTTGGAGAACAATTCCTGATTGACGGTAGCACTCATGAGAATCACTTTGAGATCTTTTCGCTTCTCTAGCACTTGACGTAAAATGATCAGGAGAAAATCACTGTCGACTACAGGAGAAAAAGGATCAGCATCTAAAAAGTTTTTCTATATTGATAGTCGCTTTTAATACCTGAGCGTTCGTGGACTTCATCAATAATGACATGACTGATACCGGTCAAAGTCGGATCGCTTTGCAACCGTCGAAGTAACACACCAGTGGTGCAGAATTGCAGCCGGGTCTCGGCAGATACCTTGAATACTGTAAGTCAAGAGGACTGATAATGTTTCATCCATTCATTATCTTACCTTGGTTTCACCACGAACGGCATAACCTACGGATAAACCGACCTTTTCGCATCGTTCAGCAGCCACTCGCTCTATTGATACACAAGATAAGGGCGGGTAAGAAACGATATATTTACCGAGAACCAATCAAAAAGAGAAAAAATAAAGGCACTTGCCTGCGACGCCAATGGCAGAAATTTTTCTGGGCTGGGTACAGATAATGTTGCATAAACCTCCTCGAAGTCGAGTGATTTCTTCATCCATGATAAATTGAGGCACTTGGGTTGTTTTACCACAACCGGTTTCACCACTGACAATGGTAACCTGGTGCTGCAACACCATTTGCACAATCTGCTTCTTGAACTGGTCCGCAGGTAACTTGGCCCGTACTTGACCAAGTATCGCATATTCGGAGGAAGTATGCATGGCCTCCAAATTTGACTTGAGTTGTTTAGATACGTTGCCGTTGGGATCTTCAAGCGCTTTGGCTCGAGGACCGGATTTCTTTAACGTACGCAGCATTTTTCTTTTGGGTTTACGGTGATGTAAAGTGGTCATATTTTTGGTCACGGCTCGAAGTTTGGGAGGATTGGCAATGATTTCATCGACGTGATCTTGCAACCACTCGGCGCACATATACACCAAAGGCGATCCGAGGTTGTTTTCGCCTTCTTCGACCAGCCCCTTGATGATGGCTAGTTTCAGGTAGGACGGCAAGTCTTCGCATTCGACAGTAAAGATAGGAAGGGTATATGGATACAGCGAACGTTCATGGACCATGATCTCAAGGATCAGAGGTTGACGTTGTTTTGTCGAGCTGGATGTCCGTGCCGTCATGCGAATTCGGTAATACACACGATTGCCTTTTTCTTCCGTTTCGAACCGCTTTTCGTAAATGGAGGCAAGCACCACCGCTTCATCCTGTCGCAAGGTCTTTAATTCCTCCTCGTTATCACCGTCCATCGTCTCAGGCACAGGCAGCGGTTCATCTCCGTGCAACAATCGCCATTGCAAGATTTCCAACGCTTTACCGTCATCATCATTCGTTTCTTGCATTGCTTCTTCACATATATCCATGGGATATCCCATTGCTGTCATTCGTTTGATAAGCCAGTCGCGTCCCAAGGACTGTGTTGTGTGCGACACCGTGGTCATGGTTGGATTATAATTGGCATTCATAAAGGTAGGTGGTAGATCTACGAATCTCCTGGTTAATAAAACTATGGAAAACCTTTATAATTGTTTTTTTTTCGGGCTCACCATCCTCAGGTACATGCAAACCTATCAACAAAAATAAGAATCAAGAAATTCATCGAACTTGGTCGGTCAATTGGATCCCCACTTACATAACCAATCCAATGCAGATGAAGTGTCACTGCAATATTCAAGTGCTTCTTCAGCATGGGATCTTCGGAAACCCATATGTACCAGGGTATCAATAATCTTTCGTTGAGTATCAGTGGACAAAGGTTCGGTAGGCTTCATTGATACGATGAAACAAAAGTAGAGAAAAAAATCAGCCATGTCATGTTCTGGTGAACCGAAATATAAAAAGAAGCTTACGGTTTGATACACCAAATTGGATCGTTTGATCACTCTTTCGACAAAATCTCTGTTTTCTTGCGTCATGTGAACGGCGGGCAGACTTCGCCAATATTGTTCCATTTTCTCGCTCATGACAGGATGAGGCTGTTTGCGCTTCGTTTCTGACATTTCCTTCATGGTGTGGGACATACTTTTTTGCGGCTGTTCGGGCATAGGAACCGCAGCACTGGCATGCTCTTTCACAGGTCGTCTATCCACGGCGGGTTTCGTTTGAGCGGGTGGAGGACGAGCGGTAAACGGATCGGGCGAATATTGCCATTGATTATTTTTGGTTTTGAACTGTTCAAAATGCTGCCAATAGTCGCGATGGTCGGGAGGAAGAACACGATGCATGGGCATGTGAGAGTTGATACGGTGAAGACAATAGGTTGCAGCAAGATGACGGGCTTCGACGGACGTCGGCAGATAAGGATCGGGTGGACTCAATGTCACTGTCTGAATCTCCCCCGTCTTCTTGTTGCGTTTGCCAAGTTTGACAGCGCCAATGAAACCTTCTTTCCGTTTCATCATGTCAAAAATGGGCTTTTCCCATCCTTGTTTCTGGCAATGTTCGTGCAGAAGCGATACAGGCGTTTTGCCTGTCCAATTACCAAAGATGGATTTTTTTTCGGTTGCAGGTGCATCATCGGTCGTCGTCGATTTACTGCTATTGCCAGCATTGCCGCTTCGCACAATGTGACGTTTGCCCTGCGGCTTCTTGTCGGGAGTCGTCGATGGACTACTGGAAGAGCTGGCAGTCGTAGCCTTGCTCTTTGATTTCTTACCCGACATGATCGGTTTTCTGATCAGCAACCCGCTGGGCCAATGTATTTTTTTTTGTTCGCTGCGTCAAAGTTGCCTTTCTTGGTGTGACTGGCGGCGCATCGATCCGAAACCGATCGTTCGTTACCACGGCATTGACACAGTTGTTCTCAAAGACATATAATATGTTTACGTCTCAACTTTCGCACATTGGATGATACGTTATATGAACACCTGTGGATACGGTGTGTTAAATTATAGTTGGGAACATCACTTTATAACTCGTCTGAAACGACGAATTCCTGCACTCAAAAATAAAACATCAAAAAAAAGCAAGCAACTCATTGCAAAAAAAAAGTCCAGTTTATCAAGCAAGATGAAAGCAAGGTGTAGCGTGGGTGATCTGAAATGGTATAACAGGAAAACGTCAAAAATGAATTATATACAGTAGAGAGGGAAGACGGGGGTATAGTGCAACGGATTTGGGGGGAGTGGGTTCACGGAGCTTCTGCAGTGGCCGCCGCTACCGCTGCTTGAATTTGTTGCATTGCATCGCCGGGTGTATCTTCATGATTGATATAGGTAGCCGAGCCACGGACACAAACAACCGTTTTGGCCGTCGGTTCTTTTGATTGTTCCAGGCACGTCATCCAGCATCGGGTTGAGCAGAATCGGACTCGACGTACAACGGCCGGATGGCCTTTGTAGCTCTTCACTTGAACGGAAGCCACCCATTCATTCACAAATGCCCCTTGACAGGCTGCACAAATGCGACAGTTCTTGGAAAGATCTTCTGCTAAATGCGCCGGTAACCAGTCAAACGGGACCTTCATATTTCGCCGAAGAATAACACGGGTTGCCAATTCTCGCAGGGAATGGATAAGGTTGGCAGAGCCAGATAATTGCGTTGATTCATTCAACAGTACGCATTGGGCCTCCAAGACTGGATGGTCGACGGACACGGTCCCAGCCAAGTGAGGCCCATCATTCGGTCGCGCTCCACGAATGTTTAATTGACGTGCATGAAACGACAGTTCACGATCAATGGCGGCATCATCGTCTTCGCAGTGACGTCGTACCACGGCCAGATGGTGTGGGGGAGGAGACGAGGAGGAAGGTGAAGTAGAAACAGGGGAGGTAGTTGGCGTGGTCGATTCCGGTGACGGGACTTCGTCTGCGTTGAGACATCCCATGCCTTGCGGTCCGCATCGATCACGGTAGGAACCCGACGAGGGTACCATAGGAACTGCACGCTGGGTCATCTGTCTCAGGATGCGTGCATAAGCATCGGCACTCCCCAGATCGCAGTGACCAGGTCGAGTCAGAGGATTGCCGGTGATGAGTAAAGTGGTCCGCATCCGTTCCAGAATGTCAGCTGGCATGATGCATAAAAGATTTTCACTGATATCGAACAATTCCAGTCGGCGTAATTCGACGAGATCAGCTGGTAATGTCGTCAGATGATTTTTAGAAACGTTCAAAGTTCTCAACATATGACATTGGGCGATCGATTTGGGTATAGCGTCGAGTTGATTGTTGCTGACATTCAGGTGGATCAGATGGGGTATAAACATATTGTAGGGAAGGTTCAGCAATTGGTTGTGGGAAACATCCAAATCTTCCAATGCAGACATGTCGACGATGCCATCGGGTAACGAACTAAGTCGATTGCCACCATACACCGAGCCTAATTGTAAATGTCGCATTTTGCGCCATAATCGGATATTTGATGGTAACGATTGGATATGATTGGCAGCTACGCGCAGCGTAACTAATTGAGGTAGTTGCATTGGCATTTCTTCTGGAATTGACGTCAACTGGTTTTGGTTCAGAATGAGGACTTCCAACTGGGTGAGCTGATACAACTCCTTGGGAATACTGGTCAGCAAGTTGGAGGACGCATTGAGAATTTTCAGTTGACTCAACAAGGTGATGTTGCTCGATAAAGACGTTAGACGATTGCGAGAAATATCCAATTCGACCAAATCTTGATACCGTGCATCGGATTGCAAAAAAGGAGCCAAGGGTGGCAACAGAGCGTCCAAGTGTTGGGCCAATTCTTCCGTTCGCAGGCCCCTTCGTCGAAGCATCAATGAACCGTCTGTGCGAACTTCTTTCTTTGGAACTTCCTTTTGAATATGAACCTCGCCTTGGTCATTGGAATGACGAGATTTACGTTGTCGCGCAGTAACGTGACGTCCCAATGGGGCCAGACTGGGATCGTCGATGCAAGATTCAATATCAAGGAGTGACTGATCACGACCGTTGGATGAGGTCGATGGCAAGTAGGGCTTGGAAATAGGTTGCTTCTCTGGAGGAAGGACACCCGTAAGGGTCTTTCCGCCCAGAAGGCAGGGTATGAAGCTGGTCATCGCAACACAACAGAAAATGAAAGCAATAAAGAAAAAAAACAGAAAACGGAAAAGGGTGTGCGGAATCTGCAATTTGTTTTGTTTATCAACATCAGATAAATCCAGCCAATATACAGCCGCTATTGTAAAATTCGGGGTTATTGACTTATCAGATGGTCAAAATCCCAGCCAATGAAATTTCTCCATTAAATCACTGAAAGACATCCGTTTTTTTTCATGGGGGCCTGTTGAGCCACAACCCCCTTTCTTTCCTTTCTTTCTCGCGATATTCGCAGCATTCGTTGACAATAATCACTTGATTGACTTATTTTGAATCTTTTTATAAGAGTATTGCTATATTACTTTACAATAATGACTCTTGTAGTACAAAAAAATCGCGCAAATAAACGGTATTTTGTCTTGCAGAGCTTTGGAAAAAAAAAGCTGGAGGAATTTTTTAAAATCAGCGCGTACTATAAAAAACCTACCCAATTGCAGTTTTTGTCAAATTTCCCCATTCTAGCATGACGAACCGTGACTGTGAAATCGAACAAAATCAGTTTTAATAGCTACTCTGTCAACATCGCTTTCGACATTTGTTCCCAAAAGATTCAATATACAGAGCCATACCAACTTGGGGTGTCTGATCCTTCGACGATTCAAGCTGTGGACGCTAGCAGACAACTCTTCTCTACTACGCCTGTTGCTTCCCAGACGATTCGGGACTTTTTGCAGGCCAACAATTACAAGTTGATGCATAAGCGTGACACCTTGCCTTTGACCCCTCCAGGAAGAACGCTTCCCTTGCCCTTGCAAAGAGACAGCGTACTTGGACTGTTGAGGACTGGAACAGAGTGGTATTATCTGATGAAACAAAAATCAATCGTTTGGGATCAGATGATGGTAAGTAATGGACCTGGCAAAAAATCGTTACTCTAAAACAGTAAAAGATGCAACAAACTTATGTCGCCATCCTAGACACCAGTATGCTCCTCTTATCATTCGAGACAGAAAAAACACAGTGAAATGCCAGCAATACCTCCTGGCAAAAGGCACTTTGACACAGGCGAATACGTTTTTGCGAAATTCACGGGATATTCGTCGCATGACGACTTGAAACACCACTTTGCCTGTCCGTCTTGCCTTGAGCATTTTGGTGCAAAGCACACGACTACATTCAGCATGTTGAGGCAACCCATTTGCCTTCGGAAGCAACATGACTCTTTCCGATCAAGATCAGAACCGGTCACCCTCCGAGGAGACCCATCTTCCCCCTTAGGCTCAATAGCTTCACAACATGCTACTCCCTCAGCACACGAACAAAGCCACGATCCCCGGCTTCGGAAGCAACGGAAGCTCATGAAACAACTGACACCAATCCAGCAACATGAGCGGCAGATTAACTCCGACTCTGTCAGGAAACGATCGCTGCCATCAACCGTGGGTGTGTCGACAAGCAAATGCATAGTTACGTTTTCGTCCACGAACTATCTTCATGCGCCTAACACTCCCAAGTGTCATGAGCACATGGTCAACGCACTTGAACCAATTGTACGCAAGTTGGTTGAAGCATTCGTCAAGAACTCGGCTATTGTCGATGCTGTACGATCAGCGAAGCGGCCCACGCTCATCCATCAGTCGCAAATCGATTTCTTCAGTGTCCAGTCCTGAGCGGATGGAAAGTGTGGATTTCGGGCGATCGAAAATGTTTTAAAATCAGATAATTCAAACATATCTGAAGATGATGGAAATTATAGAAAATGAAAAAAATGATGAAAAATTTAATTATTGGTATAAAATCTATTCTTTGCGCAATTTCCACTGCGTTTCTTCAGTGGCTGTAGGCTTTCGAGGGATAGGAACGTCCATTTCCTAGTGGAGTAAGGAGACAAGGCATTAGAGATGGGTTGCAAAATAACGGGTTGCTACTTGCTACCGGCCAAGGCAACCACGAAAACAGAAACGTATAATTTGTAAATCACATGACTTCCACACTAAGCTATCAGAACCTTTTTTTGTGCCTTCTCTCTTCAGAACCTCTTATTATTCTTTCTTTTTTTTTTGTGCCTTCTTTTCTTCTACAACTACACTGAGCTATCAGAACCTCTTAATATCTTTTTGCAATACACCAAGTCATTAGAATCTCAATTCTTTCGATTGGTGCCTTTTTCTTCTTTGAACCATGCCTCGCTGCCCATCTTGCAACGGCAACAATCACCAGCGCTCTACCAATCGTCGTTGCCCAAATTTCTCTCCACGAAACACTACTATAAATAATGGGCGAAACAATGAGCAGAAAAATGCGGTTTGCACCAGTTGTGGTCAAACAGGACATCGTCGTCGCTCAAACCGCCATTATCCCCTTCATAATCAAGACGGAAATACAGAAAATTTCAATTCTAGGCCCAATGTGGCTCGCGATCCCAATGTCTCGATGCCAAATCTTCATGATGTAGGAGCCATGAATGTCATCTGCAGCCACTGTCAGGCACGAATGTGGAGTGGAGAAAAAATTGCTGGAAGTACTATGAATGATCCTAAGTTTCAGCTCTGTTGTGGAAATGGTCAATTTGTACTTTCTCCTCTCAAACCCACCCCTCCTTTGATTGCCTCGCTTTTGACAGGGACTGGGGCGCAAGCAAAAGATTTCCGGCTCAAGATCAGAGCTTATTGTAGTGCTCTCAGTTTTACTTCTCTTGGTGTAAATTTAGACGAAAGTGTAATGAATGGCAGACGGGGCGCTTACTGCTTCCGTATTCATGGAAGTGTTTACCACTTGATGGGATCGCTACTTCCTGCTAATGGCCAACGACCTGCATTTGCACAAATATACGTCCATGATACTGACAACGAAAATATCAAATCGACATGCAATTGCAAGCCATCTCGCGCGAGACACCTTGGAAGTACTTCAGCAATTAATGCATGAAACCAATCCTTTCGTCCATCTTTTCAAGACAATGGCCCAATACATAGAAGATAATGGTGGTGCTTCCAACATCAGAATGATTATTCGAGCTGACGATGCCCCAGATCCACGACGCTATAATGCACCAAATGCTTCTGAAATTGGTGCCATTATCGGTGAAAACGCGGAGTCCTCTGGAAGGGATATTGTGATCTGTACGCGTAGTGACCAACTGACATCAATCAGTGAGATGCATTGCCTGTATTACCCACTCCATTACGTGCTGATGTTTCCTGAAGGCGACCCTGGGTGGAACATTGAAACTCGATCGACCAGAAACGACAGAGTCACCGTGATGAACTACTACAGTTTCACATTGATGTATCGAAATGATGGACACCACTTGCACCTCTTTGGCCGACTCTTTTAGCAGTATATCGTAGATATGTATGCCAAGATGGAACAAAACCGCCTCAATTACCTTCGCCTCAACCAGTCCCGACTGCGTGCTGATGTGTATTCAGGCGTACAAGATGCTCTCCAACTTGACGACAACAATATGAATATAAATTCCATCGGTCAGCCTGTCATCCTTCCGTCGTCATTCATTGGCAGCCCTCGAAACATGCAACAGCTGTACCAAGGTGCAATGAGTATCGTCAGATGTTTCGGAAAGCCTGACCTCTTCATTACAGTCACGTGTAATCCAAAATGGCCAGAAACCCGGAATGAGCTTCTTGCTTCACAGACAGTATCTGATCGGCCAGATTTGACAGCACGAGTTCAACCTCAAGCTCAGAGCTCTTTTGAAGGATCTAACAAAAAACCATACACTTGGAAAAGTAATTGGCTACGTTTATACCGTCGAGTTCCAGAAAAGAGGATTGCCTCATGCGCATATTCTACTCATTTTAAAAGAAGCCGATAAACCTGTGACGCCAGAGCACTACGATTCTATCGTATCGGCGGAGATACCTGATCCACAGCAGTTCAAACGAAAATTTCACCAAAAATATAGTTACCCTGAAGTCTACCAATAAATATCCCCAATTGTGATCTTGAAGATCACGGGCTCCACCTATCTCTACATAATTAAAATCTTTGGGAAATTAGCGATTTGTAAATCACATATCTACACTAAGTTATCAGGACCTGTTAAACCTTTTTTTTTTATCTTTGAAACATGCCTCGCTGCCCACTTCCACGATAATAGGCGAAACAATCAGCAGCAAGATGCCGTTTGCACCAGTTGTGGTCAAACAGAGCATCGTTCGTTGTCCAAATAAAATGTGGGTAGAGCACCTTTTTGAAGAAAGGCTGTTGTCGATGTCGATCTGGGTGTTCTGTAGCATCATTTAGTTTGGTTTTTCTGTCAATTATACTGTATATGTCCTTTCATTGTCTTTCAAGTTTCAATGAATCGAATAATACATATGCAGACGTGCTTCGATCTATGAGTTCATGCATCAGTGGGGTGACTATTCTTTCATCCATGGAAAATCATATATTTGGTGTTCAATTTTAGCTTGATTCTCTCTCTCTCTTTCTGTTTGCTTGATAAACCCTCACTATCATTGTATCAAGATCCCATCCGCATCCGTCATCCAGACCATTCTTATCCCGTGTAGCTAACTTGGTTAAATCGACCACCATCCTCAAAAAGGTAAGCGTCGAGTGGTCTACCATCGATTTTGCTCCGGCAAAACAGACTTACCTCTCCTTTACTTCCATCCTTCTTCCAGCTTCCGGTTTCCGGTTTCTTTTCGCCTGACAAGTTCTGGATACTACAAGTTGACTTTCTCTCGCCATCCATCCATCCATCCATCCATCTGGCGAAATCGGATGACGTCAAAGGCCATCGTCGGTGGTGTGCTCTTTTTAATCAGCAACGCTTACGTGTCCTCTTCATGTTCCTCTCCTTTGGATTGCTTCTCATCATATGGTATTCGAGATGTCTTCCCGATTATTTATTTTGTAGTTTATAGTTTGTATTTTGTATTTTATATTTCATGTACATATTCTTTTCGCAGTCTTTTCCTCTTTTTTTCCCACAGGGTTTTTTATGAGGTTTTTACTGACGCGAGCATTGTTTTTTTATCATCATGTACTTTATTTGTTTCTTTCTTTTTATTCGGGGGACTCTCGATATCTGGAATCCAACTCGAAGTTACCGTCACTTCTGGCCACGTCAATATTTTTTGCCTGCTCAAGCTGACACCACCGATCCATCGCTTAACTGTCCCTGGAAGCAATTTTATTTTCCGCATCGAAGAAGAAGCTTACCTGGCGGTCCGTATCATCTTTTTTTTTGTCCGGTTCACCATCTGGTTCAAAGGCAAGTCCAATTTCTTCCTTTGCTATAATGTAATGAACGTATACTAATTCAAATTTTTTCAATGTCATATAATCCAAGTCATGTCAAGCGATCAATGGCTATTGCAAACTCAAATAACAAAGGTAAAATATCTTGACGAAAATTTAAATCAATCAAAGAGCTTACTAACTCATTTTTTTAAATACCCAACATACCCACACATCTTTCTAGATCTATCATAGCCTGGGCGGGATGGAACTAAGGGGGGGGGGGGGAACCAGTGCTGCCCTGCGCGTGTTCAGAAACAAATCACGTTGCAACGTATGCCATAAGGTTGTCATTAATATACCGAAGTTCCGTCAAGAGTTCTCGCCCAGGTTATGCCGTGTATGCGTTAGGCTTTTTGTCTGACGAAAGTCGCTCAATGTAAGAGGGCGGCCTCCGGTGGCAGGCGGCATCCATTGCACAGCGGGTGTACGGCTTGTTATTGGTATAAAACTTATATTATTATTTTTTTATTTACTGGAAAAATATCTATCAATCAAAATGTGCATAAAATGTTTTTAACATTTTTATTTTACTTATTATAAAACTTTTATATATGGACATCAAAACTTTCCACAAATATTATTGAAGTATAAAATATTTTATACTTTTTACATAGTTTCTAAAATGTGGCGATTATAACGAGATAATGAAAAATATTGATGATGGAAAAGAAAATAACATCGAAAATAGTCCTAACATAAATGGCACACAGTTTAAAGGCAACGAATAGGGGTGGCAGCTGGTCAAATCAGATATGCTAGATTATCTGAAGGATAAATTGTGCTTTTATATCAGTACTCTTGGCAACGACGCTGTCGAAATACTTTTTACAACACTGAACAGCACTTATGCACCTCAACGCCTTAAGCTTTGTGGTTTACGATTCCTGACGGCGCTATGATCGCATGCAACACCTATAACATTGCTACTGCCACTTATAGTGAGCAGCAAAGCATCTTATTTGTACCTTTTTTCTCTCTTCCTTCGTCCGCTCGTCCGCCCATACTCCAGCTAACTTCCAATCACTTTTATCTGGTGATTATAAAAAGATACATCATTCTTGCCTCTAGCACAAGCACGCCTCAGTTTGCACCCGCAGCTCGCTTCTTCCCTCAGTGGTATGCGTGGCTGTTGATTCTCTCAATAAATTCTCTTGGAGGCTTCCTCCGCCCTCTAAAAAAAATTACAGAATCAAGCTTCCGACACTATTCATTGCTCACGAGGCCATATGCAAAACTATGGTCTAACCGATTATAAGTTTCTTTTCATATATTTTGTAAGTGTTGCCCACTTCAATCAATCTATAACCTCTCGACTAACGTCATGTATCATAGCCGTCTTTGAGAATAAATATTCAAAGTAATACTATCACTGTCGGGTCTCATTTTGTGCAATCCCTATGAATTTAGCAAATCCCGAATTTGGAGTGAATTCTGGATGTATCAAGTGTTGGCCAAAAAAAAAAGCCCACGTAAATAGCATGCCCTTGCAGATGATCTATGGATGAAGATCTCATCGGGACCATCTTTAGACCATCCGTAGATCATCCGCAGACCATCCGCAGGCCATCACAGACCATCTTCAGGCCATCTTCGGACCAGCCGCAGGCTATCTTCAGACCATCCGCAGCCCATCCGCAGACCATCCGAAGGCCATCCGCAGGTCATCCGCAGGTCATCCGCAGGTCATCCGCAGACCATCTCCAGGCCATCTTCAGACCATCCGCAGGCCATCCGCAGGCCATCGTTTAATATAACTCGATAAACCACGCACCGACTATTCTTACAGAAACCAGTATGTATAAAATTCTTTTTATTCGTTTAATCATCGTTATTGCATGTCAGACAAATCAGGGCAGAGCTTTACTCGAACTTTGTCTTCATTTTCCACGTTGATTTTTTCCTTCCTGTTCGTCATCCAACATGGCCAAATTGTTAACCTGTGTTTCCATTGCAACCAACAAATACGCAACCATGTTGAAGACCCCGAGCCATTTGTTTCGTTCTTGGTGACAAGTTGGGATGGTTGCTGTCACGACTTGCCTGTGGATGTATTTTCCTCGGTGGTTTACCTGTATCTCAGATAAAGTAACTGTCGCTCTGATCGATTGAATGCCATAGACCTTGGTTTGGAGAAACGTGTGAAAGCTTGAATTCAAATGCGTATTAGCGATTCCCTTGAGCATATTGAGCATGTTGTGGATCTGTTTGACGCTGTCATCAATCGTCTTGGGTATTCTTTCCTTGCGCTGCCCCGAGGAGCCTTCCATTACCAACCGTTCCATACCGGTCCAATCGTAACCAAGACCATCGGCGAACCAAGGTCTTCCTTTTTGCCAGCACTCGGGATCCATGTTTGCCAGTGCGTGATGCCGCACTTCACACTCGCACCAGTCGAACGAGAGTAAGCCAGTTTGGTTGGCAAATGTCTGAAATACTGGAACAACTCGGCGCACCCACCATGTTCTTTCGTAGTCGTTTCCTACATGCGCTATTGCAGCTGAACCTGATCCAAATGAGGTCTCAGTACAATTGTCCGCAAAGCTGGTCAATGAAAAGCAAATAATTTTCCACAGCTTTCGTTCTTGGTTGCTCAGTTCCGCGGGGGGTGTTTGTTGCCATAGCCATTTTGGTAAATCTTGCAATTCTTGATCCAAGGCGGCCAAAAGAAACCGATGTGCATATTTAAAAAATTTTAGGTTCTCCAACGTCGATTGCGGTAAACCTGCAGAATGAATGCGTACAATTGGTTCAAGTGCATTAGCCACGCGTTCGGGAATCTTAGGAGTGTTGGGCGCATTAAGATAGCTTATGGACGAAAACGTAACTATGCGTTTGTTTGTGGATACACCCACGGTTGTTGGCAGCGATCTTTTTCTACCAGAGTCGGAGTTGCTTGCAGTTGAGGCTTCTGCCACTGGATTAGTGTCAGTTGTTTTATGCGCTTCCGGAGGCAAATGGGTTGCCTCAACATGCTGAATGTACTCGCGCTTTTCACCAAAATGCTCAAGACAAGACGGACAGGCAAAGCGGTGTTTCACGTCGTCATGCGATGAATATCCCGTGAATTTCACAAAAACGTATTCGCCTGTGTCAAAGCGTCTTTTGCCATGAGGTATTGATGGTAAATGCCGTTGGTGGACATTAAGTAAATGGCGACGTAAGTTTATGGCATCTTTAACTCTTTTAGAGCACACATAGCAGCAGTGTTGCAATTCAACAAGCACCGGTCTTGATGGTTCTGTGGACTGAGTATTCTGTGAAGAGATTGTCGAACGCGATGTTGTCATCCCCAAGTGTTGAAACTGATTTTGTTGCAGGATTTTCAGGGGAAAAAAAGGTAAAAGATAACAATGAAAAACGACTGTGCAGGTCAATCAAATGTTTTTATTTCGACAAAGCTTGCTAATTTCAGTAAACTTGCTTGATTTCGTGTCAGTGTGCGTGATTAAAGATTGGTTGATCCAACCTGTTCAATCCTTGCCAACTTCCACAAATCTCACTCTTAGACTTACTTATTTTGTACCTACAGCAATTTGCGATAACATGCGCTTTTTTGTCTCGGTATTTATCTAACACTTGTAAAAATGCGAAATAGAGACCTTTGAAGTGACTTTTCTCTACAGTTTTTGCAGGCTTGTGTTATTTTTTTTTCATAAAGTGTTATTCTTTCAAGGCTATGACGTTTAATCTATGGGACTAAGCTCAGGAGAATTAGTACGAAGGCAAACAGATCTGTATCCTCGATATCCAATATCCTCGTAGTAGGTCCGGTAACAATGGGACACGTACCTTTTTGGGACAAGCCCTGGAGCGTTTTTATATTGATATTAACCGCAGGTTCTTCAAGAAACACATAATTCGTCAGACATTTACGAACCCAACCGTATCGCTCCTCAATCTTTGCTGACTGCTTCTTTCGATAGTCAAAGTCGGCTGTCGTCAACGAAACGTTGCATTTACTCCTCATAAAATTATAAACCGTGCTATGTGAAACTTTAAGGTCATTGACGCACTTCAACAACGGAAGTCGAAGAAGTAGCATCAATGAACCTACGACGCAAACTGAAATATTTCGGGCCGCCCCTCGCCGGACGCGATGCTGATGGCAATTTTCATGCAAAAACTTACCCTGAAGGCGCCAAATAGCGAAGAGTAAAACAGTGCCAGATGGAGCAGAAACCATCAATGTTTTGACAACAGTCTTTGAAGTGCACTGGAAAAAAAAAAAGCAAGTCATGTTCTTTTATGTTATTAGCATGAATTTTATTTCCTCTCTTTATTTCCGTATTCTTATTTTACCATTCGTCATTACGTTATCATGCACATCACAGATCCAACGTCAAGCAAACGCTACCAAGGCTTAACAGCTCAAGAAATAATATCGTTAAAAAAGCAAAGAAAACAGCGATCCTGGGAGGAGCAGCGTGTACGCGAGGAGATGGAGAAACAGGAGCAATGTATACATAATAAAACGCTCAGAGATAAAGCGACACGATTCACAGATCATCGGTAGTTTGCAAATGATGTGGAGCTCAAGGGCATAAAGATGCACGAAGTCGGGAGTGCCCCTACAACAGTAAGTGGATATCAAATTTGATCTATGTACTATGCCATTCATCCTCATGTCATACAAAAGAAAGCAAGAAACGTACCAAGGAAGACGCGAAAAGAAAAGAGACGCCAAAAAAAGACGCAAACTGGAAGCACAAGGGCGAAAAATCGACCCGTGCAAGAAATTCATTGACGAAGGGATTTACGACCCTGAGGGCAATCCTCACGCCTCCAGTCGAAAACCAAGTTGTCCATTCCATGAAATCTTACTCAAAGAGCATCTTTCCCAGAAGCTTCGAGGACAACACAGGCGATGTGTTGTCAAGATCAGCCTTGCAAAAGCACTGAATTTGCCGCCAGATTCGGCAGCACGATTCACTTCCGAACTTGAACGGATAGTTGACGTTGTGCGAGAAGTGGCCGTAAAATCCATGCTATTCGCGAATTTTTTCCTTTTGTACCTGTTGGACAATCCCATGAACGAGTTACCGATCATTTTTTTCTCGCAACAATTTTTTTATGCATGCCAACAGCTCGTCCTCGGAAAGCCAGTGACTAACACCAACTTACCTATTTGCCCAAATGACCCGCATTTTTGAAGAACTTTCGACAACCATTCCTTGCATGAAAATTTCTCCACGTTCTGCAAATCAAAGCATCATATACGCAAACGTACTTGCTTATCAGGCACAACAGTCAGCGACAATTTTTATCAACTACATTGTTGAGCCTTTTGCGAACAGGGCAAAACGTTATTTTTTCGTCAAAATCCGAATGCTATTACCGGTAAGTGGGGAAATCGGTGAAACATTGATCCACCACTTATTTTGAATGAGATAGGATCTCTGTGAGCGCCAAGCATGGCGTTTTGCCGCATACATATACAGTTGCATCACCCCAAATCCTACCGATTGGCCTGAAGGTGTGGATCATACCGCCGACTTAGACGTCATGGTTGGCGAGATTCTCGAAAGCACAGAACTTCCCCTCTCCCTCATGGTCACAGAAGAAAACCTCACGCGCAACCCTGGCCCGTTTTTCAAGTTCCTTCATTTTGCGCTATCAGTCATCGAACTGTACAACGATCAAAAATTCTATGCTGCTTGTGAACCACAGTCAGAAGCCACGCTTCGTTGGTTATATACCACCATTTTCAATACTTGTGAAGAACTTCAGCGCACCCGCAAATCACGACGAAGGAAGTTCGCTTTAGCCATTTGCAACTCGATTAATAAGAACGAATCGCCGCGATTACGCGATCTTTCGGAGGCAACAATGGCAGAGATTCAAGTGTTCATTTCTCATACACGCACACTGATCGCGACGAACAATTTCTATCCGCCTGTGGAGACAATTCTCAATACCATCCGCTAACCCCTCTTGTCCCACGTTTGAGTTTCATTCGACCACACGTGATGATAGACCACGCTGCAGGCAATTTTGCGACGATCTGACAACCGAGAGTTTTTGATGAAAATTGCACCAAACCATCATCACAACAAACATGATTTAATGACGCTCCAATTTGCACGAGTTTTCGATTTGGCGAAAATACGTTATAGACCAACAGATACCCATAGAGCATTTACCAACCATCTTGCCACAGACGGCCAGGCAGCATCTTTCATTTTTGCAAAGGCAGTATCAACTCACGAACGGCTACCCGATCTAGACATTAACGATTTTGACGAAGAAGACTTGCAGGATCGTTTTAAGTTGTGGGGTCTGGATCCAGGTCATAGACAAGTGTTTGTCGCCAGTAACGGTCACGGCATTCAATCTCATCAGTGCGATCTTTAACAAAAGCCGAATATCATGAAAAATCCGGCATCAACAAGACGAACAAGAAAATGGAGAACATGAGGAAGGCCGACCACTCAACCTCCGATTCCGCAGCATCTATCGAATCCCTGGAGCAGCAACTTTTATCGCTCAAGACATCGAGCTTGCAAGTATATCATCTGGGTTTATTCTCATCAACGGCGTATTGCATCAACTTTTGGAATTGTACGATACCCAATTCAACGAGCTGCGATTTTTGAATTACAAAGGACGACAGCAGTTGCAAGCTGAAATGGTGAACATTTTTGTCAACGGCGGCCGCAAATACGACAAGCGAAAAGCAAGAAAGCGCAAGAAGTACAGGAAGGAGCAGAAGGGGAAGAAGCGCAAAGGGAAGAAAAAGGAAAGGTAAGTATAGGCCATTGAGATCACTAGAAGCAATTGAATACTCACACTCGTCCTTCTCCCAGTTTTAGGAAGCCGGGAAAGTGGAAAGCCGCCGATGTTGAACAATCCCAAAAGATACCCTTGATCGCATTTGTTAGTGGCAGCTGGGGAGCCTTCAAAGGTGGCTTGCCCGGAATCTCGAGCATGTGCCGATCAGTGCTGAAGAAAGCCGAGAAACGAGGCCTGCTTGTTGTTGTGGCCCTAGATAAGGGATATACCTCAAAAGTAAGTTTGGCTTAATCCACTAATGAGCCATCCACCTAACTCTTTCCCGTTCAAAGGTGTGCCACAAATGCCAGGAGAGAACGTTGAAGCCCATTCATGATGACGAAAATAAGGAACTGCACTCCATCTTGGCCTGCAACGAGGTACATTGCAAGACGGTGTGGAACCGCAACGTCGTCGCCAGTAAGAACATTCATCAAATTGCCGCCAGCATCGCGTCCGGGGAGGGCGGCCCGAAATATTTCAGTTTGCATCGTAGTAAAGACGACTGCTGTTTACGGTAAGATCACATCAATGTTTGCTCTCATGCTGATGAACTGATTTGACGTTTTTATTGAATCCACACCTGCCTCAAAAAAAACCGTGCTTTGTCTGTCAAAAGTAAGTTTAGTAAAAATTGGATTCAAGAAGCGCTATTTACTGATTGCCTTCTTTTTAGTTCGTGAACATTACGCAAAATTAGGGAAAAAATCCGTACCAATTTTATGAAACCATGTAAAAGCAAAGAGCCGGGGAACGCGTGTTTGGTGGAAATAGTGGAATCGGTGCAATTGCCAATGATTCATCAGGTCCAAGTTCATCGGTTTGGTATAAAAAGACAGCCTGCGTTCATGAACTTGAAGCTTCGGTAGAGGTTGTGGAGCATGCCTGAAAACTCTTAATGTGGACCACCCGTTCTATCAGCGTTGTTGCCTCTTCCTATCGACCGAACATCAGTCCCAAGAAGTCGCAAGCAACGTCGCTGATATATGACTCAGATAAATCTGCTTGTTCTATCAGTCATATTCGAATAATAATTATATGATACCGAAAAGCTTACATGGAAGGTCTTTGTTATATGCCATTCGTCATTTTGCGATTTGTCATTGGTTAGTTTTTCAACTATAGTGACCATAATGAAAAAGAGCAAGGTGATGATGACCCCAAATTGCATAAAATCTCGGAGTTCGCTTGGTGCGAAAGCAACTGTAATACATGTGCATTTTAAGCTTTTTGTGCAACCAGAACAACCTGTTTACAAAGCCATGTTATGATGCTGCATTTGTCTGCTCTTGTTCGAGATGACATGAACAAAGATTTGCTGCTTTTCTCAGTTCTATCAATTTTGGCTCACCATGAATGTATGTCGGCGATCAAAAGAAAAAAAGAGATCAGGATCTCGTCATGACGGGTTTCGCGTCGGACAAAAAAACTGGGGGATTGCCCCATCTTGCCTCCTTGATCTGTTGCTTGATCACGCAGAATGGTCTGCATTCTATTTTCGTGGATAAGGCAAAATGATAATCAGTGCAGTAGACTACATACCATGCACACTCGATATAAGAATAACTCGGACAGGGAGCCATGTTTTTGGCGCTCTCTGAAATAATGTTCCAATCAAGTGATGCCTTTTTTACTATTTTATCTGCTGGGCCGCGTTCCTTGTACAATATATTCGTTCCATGAACTTTGTTACAGTTTATTCAACTTTTGAAGTCACAAAAAAATCGGTGTCATGAAGAAATGTGGAACAGTAAGTTCTTGGAAACTCGCATCAACCGATGTATTTGATGAGAACCCATCTTGGCACGCCTAAAGAAATATCATAAGCTAGACGAAAGTCTTTTTTTTTGGCCTTGGTTTTTTTTCTCTCTCTCTCAAGATGCTGTTGCATGGTATGTAGGACGAAGGAAAAAATGACGAGCGAGCCAATCAAATGAGCTGTAAACGATCTTGTCAGAAGAGGTCAGAAGGACCAGTACGATACGTCCATGCATTCAGCGTGGGAAAGACCACCCCACAACGAAAAAAACAAATGGGAAACAAAGAACCAAAAAATCTCCTTTTTTCTTATTTTCATTTAATTTTTTTTTGGAGCAACTGGGCTGGATGTTGGTAATCTGACAAACAGCCCACGGGAGAAACCGAAAAATAAAACTTGCAAACACATGGACGACGTAAACTTCTTTTTGACAGCAGCCAATCCTTCAGGCAAAACATCCGAAGAGAGACTCAACGATATCATCAACACCAAATACCAACTCGGCTTGTTAAAGCCTTACAATTATGTGAACGGATACGCGCGGCTACAGCGCTTCATCGATAATGAGTACGACTACATTATCCACATTCTTTCTTTTTTTGAATACAATTAATCGTAAAAACTCATTTGCAACAGTATGTCTCTGGAAAACCGGCAACGGATATTGAACGTGATGGGAATATTCCGTCCTGCTTTCCAAAACGTAGCGCAAGCACTGTCGGATATTGATCTCATCATGGTAGAAGAAGGCTTTGAGCGGTTACTGTTGGTGAGTTGTTCCACATGCTGTGTACACCATGAATAGCTATTCCTGAGCCAACGGGATAGGATTACGATCGATTGTTTAGTGCCATGGCCGTTCCCGCCTGCCTTTGGAGAAGAACAGGTGAAATATTCAAAAGCAACAAGGAGTTTGCATCTTTGGTGGGCGTCCCGGAGGAACAACTACAACACGTAATTAAAAAAAAAGAAACATGTGTGCAAAGAATGACCGGATGACTGAAAGAGGATGTTGTTAATGGAATGTAGGGACAGACATGCATCTATGAAATCATGACAGAAGATTCGGTGGTTAATTATTGGGAGGTAAAAACTTGCTTTTTTCTCATGGTGTAAAAAAAAGGAACGACGCTAAAGCCGGGATGAGTAGAAATATGCGGACATTGCGTTTGACGCCGGGCAAAAGGCCGTGCTTGCAACTTGTGTTTTGAAAACAAGAGGTGGCACTGTGATGACATGCTGCTTTTCGTTTACTATTCGGAGAGACCGATTCAACATGTAAGCTGAGTTGACACCTGAACTCTTTTCCCTTTTTAATTCATGATGATCTTGTAGACCGGTAAGAACATGCATTTTTTTAAAAAAAGGGTTTTTTCTTCTCAAGACCGTGCAATACTCAATCTAGCTAGTCGGCAATTATTGGTAATTTTATGCCTATTCCTCCTCTTCTGGATACACCGCCGCAATATAATTAAGCAAGCACGGCGTCCTTGATTCCACATAAAAGGGCGGCGAGTCCCCATGCGCCAGCATCGGGAACGTTGGCAGACTCGACTTGTTCTGTAGTCAAGTACGAGGTACGACCCAATTTGGCTGGCATGGTTCGAGTAGCTTCGGCGCCTCGGTAAGCAGCCTCCACCGCGGCTCTAAGCGACTCTTGGTTTTCCGAAAGCGTTTCCACAAAGGGAACCAAGGCGTCCATGAGGGTACGATCACCTGGTCGTGCATGTGTATATTTTTTCAACGAAGCGAGAGCCTGTTTGGCCGCTATATGAAACCCAACGTCCATCCCTGTCAATAAATGATTTTGTTTTGTGTCTGAATCGCATTATTTACCTTGCGACCAAATGACTTGATCCACAAGGTGAGGTTGCTGTTGCATCATTGCCGCAGCCATGGCATTGAAAAAGATGCAATATAGAGCCGAAGATGTACCGCCAACGGATTTATCAATGACATCTGCAATATCATACAGTGTTTGTGGGACTGACTGGGTACGCATGTGAGGAAGCTCTTTCAATACAGCTATGGGACAACCAAATCATGAGGGTGAGACAAAATCATCCTAAACCTTGCACAGCAACAAGGGAATTACAGTAAAAGTAGGGTTCACAACATTACCATTAGCAGCTGTTTTCATAGTGTGACCACAGTCGCCATCACCGAGAAGCGTATCAAACGATGTCACTTGCGGTTCCACATCAATGGCCGCCTTGGCTGCAGCACGTATCACCTTTTCGAACAACGTCGTATCCGATGCTGCGAAGACCAAACAAGTCTGTCTGTTAACAAATGCTGGAACATGTTAAAAAAAAAACCAGCGGCAGCTTACGTTTATGGATATTTTGGGAATCTACGGTGGGATGGACAAGTTTGTTGTCCATGGTCTGTGATATGGAAGGCGAAAATGATTTCGCAGCACCGAGTGGCCAACCGGCCACATGAACTGGAGCATCCAATAGAGAAAGTGTAGTATCATCGTTATCATCCAGGGTTAACAAGGACAATGAGAATCCGGGCATGTTCAGGCTAGTAACAAAAGGACCGGCTATAACACGTTCCAGATACAGATGGTTTGTGGCGAGAACGGCTTCCACCGCTTCCTTCACTACCAGATTGAATTCCAACATGGCGGTGCCCCCAAGATTATTGACAAAAAGAATAACGCGGGTCTTTTTGTCCTTGGGTAATGTTAAGTAAGCGCGATCCTTGTCATCTTGATCAATGAGCATGCCCATCATGGTGCGCACCAATGGCTTGGCGGACATCAGGTTTGTTTTTGTAAAACCGGGTTCATTGTGGACCCCCATGCCCAACTCGATCTCGTTGGGTCCGAGTTTCAGCAAACTGGAAGATCCTGGAACGTGGCAATGATCCAGACCCACGGCCAAAGTAGCTGCTTGATTGACAAGTCGTTCACCTAAAGCGCGTACTTCCTCCAAGGAACCACTGAACCAGATGGATAAGATACCTTTTTCGCTTTGCGTTTTTTCTTTTTGAACAGTTATTGATCTACAACCCACTTACCCTCTGGCAGCAAGACCGCCAAGGATCTTGATAATGAGTGTGGTGGCAGCCATGCCACGTCTTCCTACTTTTTCACCTTTGGCACGACCAACCGAGATATCGTCGCCAATCACTACCATTTCTACCTTGATGCCATGGGCTTTGGCGCGTTCAACGGCTAAACCAAAATTGATACAATCGCCTGTGTAATTCTTGACGATGACCAAGGTACCGTGAGGTGACTGGATGCGTTCAATTGCTGCGAGCACCTGGCCGGCGGATGGTGAAGCGAATACCTGACCGCACACGGCTGCTGTCAGCATACCGTCCCCCACGCTACCAGCATGTGCAGGCTCATGGCCTGATCCTCCACCGGCCACCAGGGTCACTTGTTTCGCCGCTACTTCATCCACATTGGCGCTGTACACAACTGACATGGTTGAAAAATAGCAGGTTATTGGCTATTACCTCGGTCGGTTCCTGTATTCATCATTTTCTTTTTTTGGTACCCACCTTTTTCCTTTTCGAGATATCGCAAGTGAGGATAGGCATAACACAAGCCTTGGATGCTTTCTTCGACGAGCTGTAACGTTGCGAGGATTCATAGAATGACGGGGCAGGTTCAATAAATAGACGAGGCCCAGGTTCGCGACATAAAGCCTCTTACCGTATCCGCGTCGTTGATAATGTGTTTGGCTATTCAAAGAGCACAGTATTAACTAAGACGATAAGAATAACAGGTCAAAACGGCGTACCCAAGGGCGCATCTGGCGTGCAAGTCATGATTTTTTGGGAAAGAAGGAAAAATAGAACCGGAGAGAAAAAAGCGTGTTTTAGGAGTCAAGGATTGAGGATGTCGCACAAAAAGAAACAACCAATGAATTGCCAACCAAATGCATTGAACTGCATACGCTGTGCAAAAAAGCGGAACCGGTCACTCTTGAAAAAGCAGTTTCTCAGATTCAGTGCCATGTCGCTTTCATATTATTTTATGGTGTGATGCCAATATCATGAACAAAAAAGTGGCTTGCAAGGATATCGAATGTGTTGACCTCAGTGATTCAGTATCAAATGATGTGGGTCACCAATCTGGGAATTACGTGAGTTCCTCGTTTGTGCTACAGTAGAACAACGTTTCCAGGTGTTATCGAGAAAAAATAACTGCAGAAAAACAAGCATCACCGATAAAAAAGAGGGAATACTAAGAAGGATGTTATGGATAGATATTCATGGGCAAAAGAGGATGGATAAAGTAGACAAAAACAGAGTAGATAAGATGGGGTGAACCGAAAAAAGACAAAGTCTAAGGGAGAGGAAGGAGGAGTTTGAAATTATGTCATTCAATTAACGACTTTTTGTGGGTGTTGTTGCGCAGCAAAAGAGTTTTCAAAAAAAAAAAGTGGGCAGGTGATGGGTGACTCGGGATGAATTCCAAGCCACTTACGGAGGTATAAAAGGTAATTTCAAAACCCACTTTTCTTTTTTCGAATTCCCTTTTTCTCCTTTCTCTAATTTTTGGGTCCTTTTATTTCCCTTGTTTTTTGCACTTCTTGCTTTTGGTTTCTCGCCGTTCTCTTAAACACCGTATTTTTCTAAGTAAACCCCGTTTTGTATATCTTTTTTTTTCTTTGACTCTTTCTATTATCTAACACTTCTTCTTTAACCTTCTTTTTTTTCTCTCTTTTGCCTATATGTATTCCTCAACTTTCGTTCTTGTCCAATAAGACACTCTCTTTTTTTCTTTTTTTTATTCGCCTTCATCCTTTCCCGCTGACTTTTGTGTTTTTTTATTATATTCTTTCTCTCTGTTATCTTTTCTCTTTTGCACTTCTTTTACTCTTTTCTGACCTGCCAATGAGATTGTCCAAAGAGGACTAATTACCAGAAAAACACAGAATTTGAACGTTTGATAACCCGATGACCACATCCGATGAACGCCTTTCCAGCAGAATGGGCGCAGCACCCCCGGGCACACACGCTGCGCCTGAAAAACAGCCTATTGCCCTTTACCACCCATGTAACCCAACCTTTGACCGACCCCACTTGAATTCGACCGACCCCAACCATCTTCATTCTCTCAATAATCCAAACACTTATAATTCGGTTGTACCTAATTCGGTTCACGAAGCTACTTGTATATATTTACCTCCTACAATGTCGTCATCGCCGCCATCATCGCCATCAGAAGCCTCGTCTTGCTCGTCGACCCAAAGTTCCGGTATTTGCGAATGGTCGCAATCATCCCAACAATCCCAATTCTCGCAATCAACGCTTTCTTCTCAGAATTCAGACTATACGCAAACAGGTGTTCTTCCTGCCCATCCCTCAGAGTCGACGTGTCCTGCTTACTTACCGTGCAACGACGCACCCCGTACATGTCGAGACACGGCACGCCAGGAGCGCTCCATTCTTATCGAAAAACTAGTGGGTACGTAAAACCAAGAAAAAGAGAGAAAGGAGGGGATTCTTTTTTTTTCCAACATGATAGGCAAGAAAAGCAAAACCCATGGTCAGAACCGTCCAAAAAAAAATAGGAATAAGAGATTCATTTTATGTGTGCGCTGCTGCGAACAGAAGAAGGAAAGAAAAACATGTTGATGTTTTTTCTTATTTTTTTCCAGCCGACTCTGCTCCGGATCTTTTTTCCCAGCTTCGTGCATATCATGGCTGCTGATGATGCTGATGATGATCTTTGTCTTCCTCCTTGCTTTTCTTACCTTTCGGTCTCTCTTTTTCTCTGGATGTTTGACGCTTGTGCCGCAGCAACTGACTGGAATTTTTGTTTTTGTTTCCCGCTCTTATTAGATACGTCGGCCGAAATTATCGATTCTATCTGGCAACCACGATTTTTAGTCACCCGACACAAAGCCAGGGTGATGTCAACACGAGGGTTTATTCACGAAATCCTGAAACGATCAAAAACATCCTATTCAACGCTACAGATCAGTTTATTTTATCTTTTTCGAGTCAAGCGACATGTCCATGAACGGCTGCGTCAACGTTACAGTCAACCATCTCAATGTCCGCCACCCCAGCCACTTCACGTCTCTGAACGACTGGATGACCTCATGTGCTGCGGTCGACGTATGTTTCTTGCCTCTCTTATGGTGGCTTCGAAATTCCTTCATGACAAGAACTACCGCAACTGTGCTTGGGCGAAAATCAGTGGTCTCGATATTGCTGAAATCAACGCATCCGAAATGGCGTTTTTAAAATTGATCGATTACCGACTTTATGTGAGTAAAACCAGCTTTGACAAATGGTATGCGCTTCTGCATGGCTACATCCAGAAGAATCAAAAGTATACGTCTCGTTCACCTGCCACTACCGCCCCTTACCCTCCAAGGCTGCTCCATGCATTTTCTATATAGAGAGAGGAGTCCCATTGTATCATCATTTGATAGGCTTCGGTAGAATGGTTGTTGATGGGATGAGCGATGAAATAAATTGGAACAGTTTCATACCCTTTAGCAAAATTGTTCATCATTTTGTTGGTTGGAGGTTACTGTATCAAAACAGGACCCTTGTTTCGTATTACCCAAGGGGGCCAAGGGGAAAGAACCAATCATTCCTACACTGGATTAACATATTTTCATCTTGTAGACTTGATTCCGAAAGAAAAAGTTACTCCGTTATGATCGGTAAGTGAAAGAAAAAGGAAATCCAGAGAAAGATCTAGAATACTCTTTAGTCTTTGATACTCTCTCACCCGCAGCTACAGTATACCTGTCATCTGTACACAACAAACCGTCCGGTGGAATGGTCTTGCGCTGCAAAATTGGTATGACCTTGATCCCAGTATGGCATAAATTATCGTATGGAAAACCAAGACGCAATCTTGAGGGTGCACTCAAATTGTATAAACCTTGATATCAGTTATCCAACTTGAAGGGCTCTTCCATTAGGCTGCGCTATTCATACAATTTGCTGTTACCCATGCTATCAGACGGTAAATGGACCTTCCGTTTTGTGGCTTCAGATAGGATCGATGTTTGTTGCGTTCGCTGTTGTTTCCTTTCCGTTTTCTCTCTGTGAGAAATTGGAAACATCAAAATAGTGCGAAAAAATGATGATCGATGTTCGAGTTCTGTACGATAACGACTATGCCCGTCGGCAGTTCCATAGCTTGGATATTCCGTTGGATATTCCGTAGAAAAGGTCCAGTAACTGAAGCCGGTGCCGCAGTTGGTATAATCTAATGCATGCTTTTTCGCCATGTTTTACGTCAGTCCACATTTCTCATAATAAAAACGTTGATATGACAGGTACTATGATTATTAACTATGCTTATCACTGCTGAATACTTCAATCGGATGCACCATTTTAACTGCTCCTGCGTGTTACTACATGGTATTGTATGTTGTTTTTCGTCACGAGTAGGGTGTGAGAATGCTTCGGCTCGATACGCACAAGCAAGGTCATTCTAGATGCTGACACACGCTTACATAAAGTTACACAACAGGACTGTCGTGAGAGATTAGCATACCATTGTCGTCTCTCAACAGCATTTGAAACTTTAACGGGACATCGCACCGTTCCCTTGAGCATGTGCAGCCATCTGGAGAGTAAACCTGAGTGTTCCATGAAAACAATGCAGGCAAACACCGTCAAAAACTTTTTATTTTCTGCGGCGATTTGTCAAATGCAGAATAAGATATGATATTACACGGACGTGCTAGTCATGATTTTGCATTTCATTGTCCTTAGTTTTATTTCGCGCCGTAATTGACATCTTCCGAGCTCCGATTAATGCAGTCTGACGGGCTATTGGGGATCAGCTGTTTTATTTTGCAATCTGGCAATGCTTGAAGTCGCAAAACAACAATGTAATTGATTGGCATCCATTCCATGTTGGCCAGATCCACAGGAGCGCTGAATAGGGATTTAATGCAATGTAATAGAGTAGAGTGCACGCTGTATGAGCCTTGCACTGTGGGCGAAATAACCAAATTATCTAACCCGACAATTGAAATGTGTTTATATCGACATGCCATCGGTTGAAAATGAAAAATATACACGATATGACAGCGTTTTAAATTTATGGGCATGAATCACTGCATCAATCCGCGCAAATATAAAAACGGGCAAGTTCTATGACAACGACTTCATAGTTATTTTAAAGATTGACAGGCTTGATACGATTACGCATTTTATATCGCGATAAAAGGGTTTGCACGTCAGAGATAACAGAAACTTATGCTCAAGTTGACGTTCGTCGATAATTTCAAATGTGGCCGTTCCAAGGGTTGCGTTCAGGAACCAAAAGAGCATGGAAAATCCATCTATTTTTTTTTTGCTGTGATGTCACGTTTGAAAATCCGCCAATGTCAGCTGACTGGGAACATGGAAAAACTTCCCATTTACAAAGTTGGCGGGCTCAGCAAAAAAGAGCTTGAGGCTGTACTTTATGCAATCATGAACGAGGGCTTGCTGTCGCGGCAATCACCTCTTAGTGCTGGTATATACACAACGGTCTAATATATTCATCGGTCATGGACTAACCCCTAAAATGGCTATTTTAGGTGCTCTACCGGCTTCTGCCGAAGAACTCGCGGAAAAGCATCACAAACTATTCCAGGAATATGCACGGTAAAATTGCACCGCTCACCACAATTTCATAATTTCACTCATGCCGCGCGATTTATTACAGTCTTAAAGCACAGCATACTGTCCTTAAGAAAGCAATCATCAAAGTAAGCTTACCCCCCTCCCCCTCTTCACCCTTGAGCATCACAATGTTCATCGCTTGTGACTAGGAACAAGCTACCAATGCGTCGTTGCAAAACAACGTAAAGGAACGAGAAAAGCAATTACGAAAAGTAAGCAAAAAGAGGAATGGAATAAACAGTCAAGCTGGGTTCGCTAAAGGTCCGGTCATTTGCTAGCTCCACGAACAGCTTGATTTATTGGCATTCCACAATGAGCGGTTGACCAAACGTATTGAGGCCGTGCAGGATAGCGATACTGTAAGTTCAATACCGAAAGAGGGAAGGAAAACGCGACAGACAGCATAGACTTAGCATCCCGTTAAAGAAAGGATCTCACTTTTCTTTGTTGGGAGGCGCCGTGAAGAAAGAATTGGAGAAAAGCACTCAGGCACTGGATGCCGCCAACCTGGATTTGGCCAAGAAAATTGAGGAAAATGGTAAAATAATTGCTTACACTGTAACGGACGATTTGGGGATGTATGGTACTGATAATGATGTTCGCAGAGGCCCTTCACGAAGAATTGTCGGAAGTCAATCATATTTACACTGAGCATGTAAACGGCCTGCACACTCAAATCGCTCAATTCGAAAAACGCATAGAGGAGATGGAAGATGAACGATCATCATGGCAATCAGAACAACGCGATCATACAAAGCAGAGGGAAACGTTGAAAAACGAGATAGAAACATTGCGATCTGCTGTGGCAGAGTAAGTGAATCCATGGCCGTCGACCTTTCTTTGAAAGAGACAGAGAGACTTAACGCAAGTTTTCCAGCAAAACTCGGCTATTGAATGAAAATGAACATCGCATGAAAGAAAGCGACATTGGGTTAAAGTCCGAAGTAGAGAGTCTGCGAGCCATCTTGCTTGCAAAAATTGGCGAGCTGACGGATTCCAAAGGAAACACTGCTTTGGTAAGTAAAAGTATTCAAACTATGGAGCCAGCGATGGGAATCATTTATTCTCGTTTGTACAGCCATCCTTGGACGCTATCATCCCAGCCTGTGACGCTTTGCAAATCATGAAGCAACAAGCAAAGAATTATATCAACAGTCTCCGAGAACAGGTAACCCTCCCAACTTCGTGTGTTCATGGGACAGCGCGTTTGCATAACACTCATCATCCATGTGTCAATCCAGGATTCAAAAATAGAAATGCCACATGAATTGGCCGAAAAGCTCAAGTTATCACACGAGAGTTGGTCTAAGGAATTGCAGATTCTTGCAAACAAGATGAACGATATAGAAAGTGAGTTGGACTCGGGTGGTGGCTCACCGTCCCCATTGTGCTCAATATTTGGTGATTGCTTCATTAGACAAAGCCGCAGAATTGTCAAGGAATTGGCAAGTCAGCGACGAACATAACCGGGAAAAAGAAGAAAAAATTGCGGAACTAGAGAAAACAATTGAAAATATTCAGCAACAGCTGTCGCGCGAAGAAGAACGTGATAAAATCAACAGTCTACAAATGACAAATCAGGAATTGGAAGGGAAAATCAAGCAGAAAGTAAGCTGACAGAAATTCCGTATATGCTTAAGGGCATCGAACTGATTCACATTATCCAGGAAAATGAACTCCGAATAGCATTGGAGGAGGTAGAAAAAATGAAGCAACAGCAAGCAGAAAAAGAGCAGCAACAAGAACAGCAGCGAAAGGAGGAACAGGAAAAGCGGCAGCGAGAGCAACAGAGGCAACAGCAACAGCAAGAGCAACAACATAATATCGTATCACGCAACTTTGAAGAAGCATCGCCAGTCCAGCCCTTCCATGAAACGCCGAAAGAGACGGTAGATGAAGCAATACAGACCGATGAATTACCAAGTGCAAAAGAATCGATTACTGCGAATGAGGTTTCCCCCGACCCCGCCGCGTTAAACGACGATGAAGATGATGAGGAAGATGAAGTTTTTGTATACCCCCATCCTTCCGATAAGGAGGGTCAGTCAATATCTCCACAAAGGCATATGAATGAATCCGAGGAAGAATCTGAAGATGAACAAGTGTTTGTCTATCGAGGTCAGGATGCCATGGAAATTGAAAAAGATTCCGGTCTATTACCGATATCCGAGTCCCAGGCTCCCACGGTTTCACCAACATCTGGCGTGAGCTTGCAACCTATTTCGTTGACAAAACAAGCAAAGGTGGATGAGGCGGCGTCTGAAGAACCGGCGGATACCGATTCGAACGACACCAAGAACAGTATGGCGCACCGTGAAGCCGCATTGACGCAATATTACGAAAGCAATATAGAGCAGCTTACCGACAAGGTATTAAAAAAAAAAAAAAAAAAAACAGATCCATCTATGCTGTTATCACTCACACGATGGTGTTATAGTTACAAATGGCCGATAGCAAAGCACTGCGTTACTCGAAATTGGCCGAATCCTTTAAAACAAAATGGACCGCCGCAGAAACAGAGAAACAAAGTTTATTGGATGAAGTGGACCGACTCAAAAAGGAGGTCGCCAAAGTCGAGGTAAATGATCCCTCATGTGAGACAAAGATGGCTTTTTCCTTTTCTGATGTCATGTGTGTCTTTTTATAATGATTAGGAATTATTACGTACCACCGAGTCTAATTATCAAGGCCAAGTAGATATGATGACTGAATACATTAGTTCCTTTCAGCGAAATCAAGAAAGCGAAGGAGCACGATAATTATGGTTCAAGATCCTGATATGATAAAATAATTTTTTGTAATTTGCCTCCTATAAAGTTAATCTGAACGTATATAATCGCACCTTTAGCATTTACAATGTGGAGCACAGTCGTGAATCATAATGTTGAGCTCGAGCATTGTCTGGCGACATCGTCAAGACGGGCAAGAGCGAGACACTGGTGAGTCTGGAGTTGTGATGCATGTTGCTATTGAAAAATACAAGGTACAAAATGAAATGTTTCGGTTTACAGTTCTACATCAAATGAAAGTGTATCGATCATAATTTTCTGAATTTTCCTTGAAGCCATCTGCGATACATTTTGAGCTCTTTGCGACGGTTGACAATGAGTCTCTGATCCACTGCATTCTGCTCAATTTCGAATCGGGGTGTGCCCGAGTCTGGCGAGCTTGAGGTGAACAGAGACGCGATTTCCTCCGAAGTAAAGAAATACACGCGTGTCCCGTCGCCTCGAATGTAAAAGTTCTCCTTCAATAATCGGTTTTGCTTGAAGCGTAATTGAGCTAAATCATAACGTCCATAGTCGCGGAACAGAACGCGGCCTCCTGTTTTGAGCATCTGAGTGTTGTATTTTTGCAAGGTCAGTATAATGCATATGATTCGTTACTCGGATAAAAAGAAAAGAAGATTACCTTGTGCACATTGGAGATGGCATTTTCCCATTGTTCAGGTGTGAGCGCTGATAAGACAAAAATCAAGACAATGATGTCGAGCGAGCCCGGTTCGATTTGTTCAGGAATGGAATCACTGGCCAAATCCCAGACAAAGGCCAACGATCGAGTGGTATCATAGTTGGGGTTACTTTGTACAACTTGCACGGCTGTTGAGGAGTAATCGGCTGCATATACGAAAAGGTCCGGATTGGCGCTTTGAGCTAGCAAGGGGAACATGGTATTGCCTGCACCACAGCCAATCTCAAATACTCTTTTTTTGCCAGCCTAACCACACACGGTTTCCATGCCATTGAGTACGAGGCTTCTATCAATCCATTTATATACGTAGTTTTTACCTCTGCATCAGCGGTTTGGAACAATTCAGGAAACTCGATCTTCAGCCAGTTTCTATCCTTGAAAAATCGGTTTTCGTTCTTTTGATAAAATTTGTTCCAATAGTCAGCGGGATCAGCATAATAACGCTCTGTGGTGTGTGACATTTTTTTTTTAATTTTTCCAGTTCATTAAGCCGTTTGTGCACATAAAGCATAAAAAGATACCTTGCTCCTCTTCAGGAACCGGTGAATCCAAATGGCGTTGAATCTGCGCCTGCGCATATTCCTCTTGTTCTTCAGTCCATTCGACATGATCCCTTTTTGACAAAATAGCGACATGTCAATATGCATAGTGATGGGGGACAGCTGATCTTTATCTCGACTCGTACCAGGCATTATGGCTGAACACAGCGTCATCGTCGACTAAAAGACGAGAACCAAAAGTAGCATTCTCGGGGGAATCGCTACTCACATCGAGTGCTGAAGAACTCTGTTTTTTGCTGGTCATGAAGTATAAAGAATCAAAGGCCCGACTATCGGGGATGTGCTCGGCTTTTGCTGAAATCGCCACTGCCCGCGAGGAGAAGCAGTCACGGGGCTTTGCTCCTTAGCTGAACAACCATCCTATTCTCCAGGCTGCATGAAACGTAAAATCAAGAGTGAAAGCAAACAAAGAGACATTGCCATTTGCCCCAGTTTTTTACTATGCTACTGTAGGCGTTATTGAACCGGGATAACTCTCTAGAAGGGCAAGGTGCACAGTACTGAATATGAAAGAACATAAGAATTGCAACCTCCTTGAAAAATAAAATAAAGATTGTTGCCGGAAATATCGGAACAGACCATGAAGCTCTGCAGGCCATATTCCGGTCAAGTTGTTAAATATAGAAGGTTTTATTGTACTTTTTTTTTTCTTCTCAGTGAGGGAGAAGGATAACGGAGAACTAGACTAAATTAAAAAAAAAAAAAAAGGCAAGTGGTGATGGGGTCACACTGAAGCTGTCCGCTCTTTGAACAAATTAGGGACTTCCGAGGTTGCACAGAGGAGTCAGCGTTTGGTGTAACCGTGAGAGCAAAGACCAGCTGATTTGTTAATCTACTGCTTTAAGTTTTCTGGGGTACCACAACTTGTGAAGCATTCTTCTCGCAGGCACTATTTATCTAGTGAGGGTATCAAGAGAAAAACCTAAGATAAAATACTCGTGCGATGGTTTCCCATATTAGCCTTTGTCCTCAAGCGTGGATCCGCTTGGCCTATGGGAGGGGGATCAAGACCATACTGCCTGATCACGAAACAAACTGCTGTTTCAACTCGCTATTTTGGGAAGGTCGTCCGAGGGATCACCATTCTAGACTGGTAATGCGTCAACCATGCGGTTGTGCCACCCTTCTTGTACCGCCATACAATCATCCAAATAGCTGCTATTTCTGCACTATTTGCTTTCTGATGCTTTATCACGACATCTCGTAAAACCCAACTGAGCCGTTTCCCTTTATCTCAATCCAACAATCTCGTTCATTTGGTTAATGAGTTATTTCTATGCATCCATTAACGCGGCAGACACCCTTTGCGAAAATTCTTTGTTTTTTTTTTTTTTTTATAAATAATGTCTCATCATGCGTACGGCCAAACGAGTTAAATCGATGAACATCTAAAAAACTTTAATTGGTTCGATATATCGTCTTATTTACATGAGGTCGAAGTTTGTAGAAAAATAATAAAATAAAGCTTTTTTAGCTTTGTGAATTCTTACAAAGAAGCAGGATATTTCCCAGGATCAAAAACTTTTCATGCCCATCTATATTTTGATGGTTCAAAGGATGTTGTAAGGAACAGCATATGTCAAACGGGCTCACGGGGGGGAGCAATATTGGCCTTGGAGGCATTTTCCGTGAGTGAGTGCCGTGCTGTTTAATCTTAACGCGGTTGTTTAATTACTATATCGGTTCTGGTACTACTCAGGAAGCGGATAGACGACGGAATACCCTGGGCCGATGGTGGTACGTACAAAAAAAAAACACTTTGAGTGAAGCATCAGTTTTTATCCTTTGTACCATAATGTCATCCCTTTTTCAAAACCTTGTCGGATGAAGTGTGGTTTCAATTAGGCAAAAACAACAAAAAAGGCCATCAATTTGTAAGATCCGATACCATGCGATAAATAAGAAGCTTATCTCCATTTGGGACGCCTATCATCTTGTGCATTTAAATCGAGTGAGAAATACTAAAGAAACAAGTATACATCGTTGAATCTCCATCTTTACCTACAAGCTTAATACGATTCTGAAGGAATAACCCCCCCCACTGCTTAGCATTTACAGGAAGCTATCGGGTCAGTCGATAAAAATCACGGAATGAATAAAATGGTCCTACGTTGCGATGAAAGATGTCAAGCTTGTGTCACCATCTCAATAGGCAAAGTTACATGATGATCTAAAATAACCGTGGACGAATTGATAGATCCAACTTTAGCCTCAGCACAGGGCTTTTTTTTTCATATGATAGTTTCTGTATCCGTGATGGAAATCCATTTTGTTTTATCACTATAAGTAACAGGATGCGGTTCATGTCGTGGGTGCCCAAAAAAAAAAAAAAAAAACGCCCTAAATGAGGCTTGAAAAAAAAAATTACGCCAGAACATGGGAATTTCCGAGTTGCATGCAAGTTTGTTTGTACATTGTTCCTTGGACTTGTCCGACGAGATCTCTTCCGAAGATCCAGTCCCCGAAAAGGAGGTGCATCTTTCTCAGCAATAAGCAACAGCTGCATAAAAGATCACGCTGTAACCAAACTTTTGCAGACGCTCTCCATCGTCATATCAAAACTTATGAACCTAGGATAAAAAGTACCATGGGAACATATTTGACACATATTCGTACACTGGATCATCGATAAGTCATGCACCATATAGGATACCGATTCTTTTTTTTTTTTCTGGTCTTTAAAGTAAGACGAGAGAAAATACCGTCAGTTTAAAAAAGGCAACAGTAACAGAATCGAGTGTTTGCACAAGAACGGATAGACGCGCCAGCCGTGCCCCTTTTTTATGTGTCACCATAGTGCTAAAACCTTGTTTCCCAAAAGGAAGAACCAAGTAATTGTTTACACACTGCGGTGCCATAGTTTGGTTTTTTTTTTTTTTTCGCTCCTGTGGTGAAGCACAAAAGAGAAAAACAAAAGTTTATAGCTTTTAGGTGGATCTTTTTTCTTACGGCCCTCTTCCTTCTTTCTTTCCACCATCTCTTTTAATTCGTATCCTTCTTGTTTCGCTACTCTTCTTTTTTCCTTGTTCCGTTCCATCATCGCATTATCAATGCAGCAGTTACGTCGCGCTTTTCGCGTGTCTCCATGTGCTTACACGTCGGCTCCAGTGTCTTCATCTCTCTTGTCCTCCTTCGAAAGTGATAGCTTATTCTTATCGTCGTCATCCGGGGTTACCAAGGATATACCGTACAGCCAGATTGGCATGCTTCTCAGTCCCTTGGATCCCACCGGACAGACCTACTGGGATGCGCTCTTGGCATCTTATCCAACCGATATCTGTATCCAGCAAGCCACACAAAGAGCCATGAAACTCACTGACAGTGCTGGTCTGTTCCTTGGCTCCGCTTCCCCCAAGGTTGATGTAGCGCCAGATTACCGTGACGGATTAACATCCCACACCCGTGACCAGGAGGATGCACTTGCCCCACCGACATCTGTGTTGAATCAGCTGGAACAGACGCATGCGAATCCACCTTATCCTTCCGAAACCCTATTACATAGCTCGCTGTTTGATACGCCATCTGAGGCCCTATATTTTGATGCAGCGGAAAATATGTATGATGCATCTCCGACATTACATACTGCAGGTGGCCATCAGGTTCGAGATGCTACGGCGAATCGGTCGCACCATGAGGGGGAACAATCACCTACGGTAAAGGATCAGCCAGTTCAATTTGACTACCACATCCTTCAGCAACAATACCACAATGACCATCGACCCATGTATCCCCTCTCTATGTCAAGTAGCCATCCCTGTCTGCAAACAGGATCCTGTGACTCCGCATCGGATGAATGCCGAGCAGCTGATGACCTGTCTGTCATTGCGCCGGTCCATCCGTATTACTACAACCAACATGCCGATCCCACGTTCCACGATCATGTTCGTCGACTTCAGCTGCTTCACTCATGTAACTTGGAAGGAACAACACAGATAATGGATAAAGAATGGTATCAAGGCACCCTCTCTTTGCTGGACGGTGATTATGGCCAGATTCTGAACCACCCCGGCAAGAACGATATGGGCCATGCGGGATTCTCGGACATCACTTGCGCCCACATTTTACAAAAGGAAACCTCCATTTTTAGTGATGGCATGTCCATCAACCCAAGCATACACATGTCAGCACTGGATAATACGTACTGCAACAAAGAGGCTCATAGCACGGAGTCAATGTCTCCTGCTTCATCACCCAACTCGTTCTGGTCCTCCTTGGATTCCGACTGCTCCGATCGACACAGCGGCGGTTCCCTTTCCAAGTCCAACTCGCCGTGCGCTGAATCGGTCCACAGCGATTACGAAGACTCCAACCACGCCTCGTATTCCGAAAACGAAGACATTGGAGCGGAACTGACGCCGTCAAGGGAAGATCGGGAAGATTCACTGTTACCTGAGTTGGGAGATGAGCTGAGTGATGCCGGCGAGGAATCCGATGAGTTTGACGATGATTACGAAGCTCATTCGTCATCATCGTATGTTTCCCATTCAGCATCTGCATGCTCCACCAGAAAAACTCGAAAAAACTATTCGCGCGATACAACCACCGTGCTCATGGACTGGTACTTAACGCACGACGGACGAACACCCGATCCAGAGAACAAAGTACGATTGGCCGGCCGAACCAAACTGTCCTCTGTTCAGAGTAAGTCCTGCTTTATTGATCATGTGAAACCATTTGCATAAAAGCCTAACGAGAACATGTTTCTAGTTTCTACTTGGTTCCAAAACGCACGTCGACGACAGCAAAAGAAACTGGAAGAATTCACAAAATTGAATGGAAAACATCCCAACGAAGTGTACGACTATCATTCCTATATGAAATTCCTACGACGTCGCCAAAGCGAACCCATCGCACCCGCAAAATCATCTTCCAAAAGAAGAGCCTCTGCGCCATCCTCATCCTCATGTACAAAAAAGCGTCGCAAGTAAAAAAGAAAAGAACAACAACAAACACAAAACAAAAACTGGGTATTCCACATGTATAAACCTCACAGAGTCCAAAAATGACATTTCTTATTCTCCACATTATTCGCACTTTTTTTCAATTCTGTATTTTCTCTTATTTTTTTTTTCTTTTCCTTAGTTTCCATCAGGTATGGCCACTGTTTTGTATATGCTACTTGGCTCATTATATAGTTGCCCATATATTCACGGGCGTTGTGATAATAAATTGACCGTCTGCCACATTAAAATTACTGCCTTGATGTCATAGTGACATTCAATTTAGCCTTGACATCATATTAATTTTTTGTTACAAGGTGTGTCATACTACACGAGCAATGGGGTGTTATTGTAGGAGGAAACCACTTTGATAATTTATTGTATTTCTTTTGGATAAAAGCTTATAGGAAAACCATCTGGCTGCTATATAATCGTATCGTTTATACGAAATTCGATTGGAATGGGGTTTAAACCTCGTCAGGAGAAAGGCAGACACCGCTCCAAGAGTTCAGAAGGACCACAGGTCTTCCGCCAGCAGACGCAATGCCAGGACCAAAGCCACTGCAGACTAATCCAGCACCGCATTTGGTAATTGATGTCACACCGTCAGTGTCGCTTCGGACCACACTGCATGATCTTCCGCGAGGAACAGTCGAAGGAGTAGGTGCGCTAGCTGCGGTGGTAGTAGTAGTAGTAGTAGTAGTGGTGGTGGTGGTGGTGGTGGTGGTGGTGGCTGCGGCAGGAGGGTTGTCGGCAGGAGGTGCCTCGCCTTGGGCCAAGACGGCAGCGGCACCGAGGAGAACGACGAAAAGGGTTTGCTTCATGACTGTGGTGATCTCTTTTTCCTGAGAAGTGTTGTTGTTTGAAAATCTTGGTCCTTTCAAATCCACAGGCTTTTATAGCTTCTTTTCCAATGTTGATTACAGCTAGACGCGGCATCTTTCGGTTACCTACGTATTGTATGTGCCATATTCTAAAAGCGGACTAGACCGATATCTGTTAATCATGGTCCGTGTTCGTTACTGCCAGGTCCTTGTCCCTGTATCCTGATAAAACCAACCTTAAAAAGGATTTCGACAATGCCGATAATTAGACCCTTGTTATGGGTGTCAACAGACACATATCAATTATCCATCACAAAATTTTTACTTTTACGGATTTACAGCATTTCTACGTCTGATTGTTGAGAGTAAAAAATGAATCTTTTCGAAAATGACCGCTTCCAGATTGACCTTCTATGACTGGATAAAATTAGGCACACACCCACCGCATCGATTCACTATCAACGTCCATCTTTGTCTCCAGATATTAACATCTGAGAGCAACTTCAGAAATACGCACCACTTTTTTTGGTCTTTGCTGTGTTTTTCCGGTCGAATGGCCATAGTGAACTTATAAGATTGCTTTCGGCTAGTTGGCAGTTCTCAGCTATATTTCCACAGTAGATCGCTGAACTGATAACCAAGTTTTCCATAAAAGAGCCCTATCATTGCTAGGGCCTGTTGTGGAATCCAGTTCGTCATTTGCACCATGTCAGTATTATCGGCAGTTATATTTACAAAATGATAGAGATAAGAGGGTTTTCGGGAACCCCTACTGCACAGAGAGTGATCAAATAATTACCGAGTCTTTGCAGGAGTACGTCTTGTCGAAATAATACCACCTTTAAATTTTATTGTCAGCCAGTTAGAATATGCACTTTCGGCTTAACAACCCATACTCGTTGATCATCGTGCCCATTGCGAGCTTCAAAATGCTGCCGATGATCCGTTATCGCCTCATTGCCGATGAGAGTTTGCTTATCATGCTTGCACTTTGGAAGGCAATGATAATAAGATAGCAGTAAGGACTGCATGAACAAAGGAAACCACCGGCTTGGCTTTGCAATTTTCGACGATCTGTACAGCATTGTGATTTTCGTAAGCGATTCAAATATGGTATCGCATAATTCTACCGTTATAATTACATTGGCAGATCATGGCACATGGCCAAAATTTTGCTGCATGTTGCTTATTTGCTTACAAATGGCAGCTTTTAGCAATGACAGTATTTACATATCCATGAATTGCAAATGCTGTGACATTATTCAACCTTATTATGCATATACGGTCAACGTAGAATCATTCATAAGGAAATACCTCATCTTCGGCTTTACGAATCAGATGAAAAAAGAAAAAAACACCTTTATGCAGCTGCATGACTGCATCTTTCGGCATTAGATTACCGAATATTTGGCCAGGGCTCAAGCTGTGAATTGTTATTAGATTAGGACATGGGTCAAATTACTTATTTACAAATCTGCTGAATCAGATTGCAACTAGCCAGCTTCCGTCTTTCTTCGTTTGCCTCTATATTTAATTCTCAATGAAAAGGATTTCTGAAGAAAAACCAACCCGAAGCGTCTTGAGAAAAGATCGATATAATTCTCGGTCAATGAAGGATGGAATATTACGGCTATCTTAAACTGATCCGAAAAAATCGGTCAAAGTCCATATCAACGGAGCCGGAACCGAAGATACGGCGATTACATTCTGATATCAATGTCGTTGAAGTTCTTCATAGCAATGGTTTGAAAGGGAAAAGATTATCAGTTTTGTGTAGTTTTTCGAATGATTAATGATGTTCCAAGAATCAAGAATTTATGGTTGTTCGTATGGCTTCAAGCGCGCTTTGTATTTATCTCCTTGAAAGGGTGACATTGATGGAATATGAACACCGGATCAAAAGTTTGAAATTTGGACCGCCAATATTCTTTCTTATTGCAATATTGTGTAGGTCATTGTGGATCAAACAAAAGGTGTACGAGCAATTCGCGACCGAAGTTAGCCGCTGGAGATAAGCAAGGGCACGTAAGCTCACGAAAAAATGAATGGGAAAAACTAATATATAAAAGGACGTGCATTCGCATCCTGTTCAATCTTCATACAACCAGTTTTCTCAAGTAAAACATCATCATAATGCAAATCTTGTACGTTGTTCTTCTCGCTGCCGCTAGTGTCATGGCCCAAAACGATGCTACTACTACTACCACTACTACGGCTTCGGCTGCCCCTACTTCTACTCCTGGAACCGTTAAACGAGGCCAACTGTGCCGAGTTCTCCGAGACAACAATGCCCAGATTACCCACGTCGATAAATGTGCCAGTGGCTTGGTCTGTCAAGGTTTGAGTCACGCCGTCGCGTTGGCTTTGAACAACCCCGGCGGTATTCCCGATACCTTTGCTGGCATCTGCCTCCAAAGCGATGACCTCCAGAGTACCACTTCTTGAGCCCTTTTCTAGTGAATATCGCTATCTTGTGATCCAGGGATTTTATCACTCTTTTATAACTCTCGCTAAAGTATGAGCTTGGACAGTCAAAAAATATAATAAATTAAAGGAGGAACCACTTTACAAAAAATCTTTAATGTTGAAGTGTACTGCGTGCAAGTTATTGACCTTGGGAAGGTTCTGTTATTTTTTTGGGGGGGTTGGTTCATTCAAGTAACTGATCTGCGACTCAAGCATTTTGGTCCCAAGCTGTGTACAGTCCTACTTTTTGGGATTTGGTGAGGCGTCGGAGGTGAAGGTATACAATATCTAACCACCAGATCTTGTACATCCATCGTGGCTTGAAAGTCATGGGAGAAGAAAGAATTCTCGATCTATAAGACATCATAGAAAACATTTATTACCACCTAATTTTCCATTGTTTATTAAAAATAAAGCAATAAAATCATCATAATAGCGAATATAGGGTCTTATCATTTGATAAAAAAAAGGGTTTCTTCTTAAAGAAAAAGCATTAGAGATGAATCTGATTTCCACGTTCATCACGCTCTGGCGGTTCTTCAAACAGGGAATTACTGCTTGCCGTAAAAGGCAAAATCGGATCTGTCGCTGTCGTTGTTCTTGGAGAGAAAACGACTGAGATTTCACGCTAGCAACGTCAAGAAAATAACTCGTGTGCTTTGTATTCCTGTGCAGCATTTCTTCTCTCCCTCGTGCTTTTCTTTCCCATAAATCAATTCATTTCATTTCATTTTTTTTTTAATCACTCGATTTTGATACGCTTCAGAGTTTGGTTTTTTTTACTCACTGGCAGTGTTTCCTGAAATTCAATACTTTGTATTCTTTTTGCTACCACTCCTTCTTATCACAAACACAACACGCGAAGCAGCAAGTCATCGCTTTATCTACGCTCGCGGTTTAGCTCGGACGATCACTACAAGCGTCCTGATATCGATACATCGCTAAACGTCAACTTTCTACCAGACTCTTCCCCGAAATTTTTTCGATGAGTTTCACCATGCCAACGTTATCAATATCTCGCTGGTGCGTAGGATTATACCTATTGTCGAATATTATACATTCCACTCTTGCCCAAGGAGCACCAGTTGGTACGGATGCAACAGTGAAGAGATCTTTTGAAATTACTCTGTGTAACGTTATACTGATTTCATTTCCCAGTGTCCAGCAGCTGTTCGGATTACCCCGGAGGCATTTGTAGTGTAAGCATTCACGGTCCACCCATGGTCCTGTTCTAGTTCTCATCCTTTATCGCTTTGGTTGATTTGATGCATAGAATTATGTGGATTATTCCATTTTCACGGGCAATGTCGGAGTTCCGATGATCGAAAACCAACTTCATGTATTAACCAATATCTCCACTTTGCTGGGCAAAATTGATGAAGCATGTGTGGACGCATATTACCGATATGAATGTTCCGCCAGTTATCCTAGGTGTGAAATGAGTTCATCGCAAGGTATCTATCTGTATGCTTGCCAAAAAAAAAATCTAATCGTGAATTTTGTCGTCAATTGGATTACTAACATTACGAAAGAAATTAAAATATGGGTGGGCTGTACTTCCGCTTGTCAGGACGTTCATTCGAACTGCAAAAAGGTGTTTCAATTACTCGACAGGACCGACCTGTTGCCGAACTGCGATGCCGTTTCGCCCATTACACAGCAACCCCTTCAACCCGATGACAGTTGCAACCATATCCCACCCAAAGGTAAGCGTCACCACACGCTTAAAAAAAAGGGAACCGGTTTGTTCATGATATAGTTTAGTCTCCGATCAACATGGCGATTTAAACTTATCAGCTGTGCCAGAAGGGTTTGTGCTGGGGTCCTGCCCCGCTCCCTTTCTCAAAGATCCGCTTGCGAAGCAAGGCACAACAGATACGACCAATCCAACCTACTGCCGGTTTGGCTGCTGCGTTCCATGTCCCGCTCAAGAACTGGTGAGTATCCTATGGACAATGTTCAGGTCACACGACAAAAGTGAATATTCATTGTCGCTTGGTAGTTTTACAATGAAGGATGGATGGTTCACGGGTTCCTGGCAACGGATATCGTTCGCTTTATCTCGGCAGTGGCTTCCTTTGTTATTCTCGTCAGTTATCTCGTCTTGCCCGATAAACGAAGGTAAGAGGAAAACAGTACAAAAAATCGCATGATTGCCGATTATGGGATTCTAATTAACTGCACTCTATAGGCATCCGTCCTTGGCCATTTTGAATCTTTCATTGGCTATATTTCTATTCAGCATGACTGTGTTCTTCTCTATTGGTGATCCCCGACGATTGCAATGTGCTGCGGATCATATCAATCCTGGTCAGCAGGACAACAACATGCTGTGTGCAGCCCAAGGGGCGATCTTAATATTTGCCTCCCTCGCGACCTGTACCTGGTGTGCCGCGCTTATTCTGAACTTGCATTTTCACACGGTTTGGAACTCGAGTTTCTTTGCCAACCGATACTACATTCTATATGTCGTTTGTTGGGGTATCCCCACGGCTGTCATGGTCGTTGCCCTGGGTATGCATGTTATCAAGTTTGAATTCGCCAATTTATGCTTAGTATCGGTGGATCAGATATTTAATCTGTTCTTCTATCCAATGGCGGCGGTCGTTTGTCCTGCATTTCTTCTTCACATATGTACTTTCTTGTATATTGCCAAGGTAACGCGTCTTGAGAGAATGTAGGATGGATGTAACTTTTTCTGACGGGTCACTGGATATAGGTGGCTTTCCGTGAAGGCATTGAGTCGGAAATGACGCAATCGCTTTCCACAAGTTCATCAACGCAGATTCAACGCGCGGCATCGGCTCAGCGTCATAAGCACGTGGTAACGGCGGTGAAGATCCAGTGGCGTGGATTGCTCCTCGCTATCTTATCTTGTGGCACGGTGATCTTTTATTGGATATTTTATCTCACGCAAATTCATCGATTGACCGACCTTGAAGGCGACCAATCCATCACCACGCGATGGTTGCAGTGTATGCTACTTGAAGATAGCAACCAGAATGCTTGCGTAGGTATTGTGAGCCCCCATTTGCCGCCGTTCGGTCTAATGATCACCGCCGAAGCATTGGTCAGCCTTATTGGCGTTTGGTTGTTCCTAATCTTTGGCAAACGCTCGTTGTGGCGAGAGTGGAATGACATGTTGTACGATCTTCGTGTGACTCTGAGCGGTCGTGATCGTTTCGTCAAGAATGGCGAGCAATTTTACAGCCTCTAGATGGCAGCGTCTTTTTTTTCTTTTTCTCGGTTTTTGTACGAACATGCTTGTTTGATTCACCTTTAATTGTTTCTAGCCTATAACTGTTTTACCATTTCTAATTCACTTTCTTTATGATGTATTCCTTATCCTTAACTCTTTCTCATTGCACGATATAAAAATTTCAGAATTCTCCGCTAATGCCATGGCAACATTAAATGTATACCAGAAATACCGATCCAAATGACCATAAAAATAGACAAAGTAGAAGTCAAAGTACTGTAGCAAAAGGCATATTCGTTAAAGGGCAGCTCTGCTTTTAGATATCAAAACTATGCAAGATAGTCATAAAGTGTCCGTATCAGCTAAAAGAAAAGCAAGCAAATAAAAAAGGAGCTGCCTATTGGGAGCAACCCAACAAGCGCTTCGATTTTTCTTGTCTCGGAGTTTGAAACGACAAGCCTCTGTATATAAATGTATTATAAAATTTCAAGGGCCACTGAAAATTTTTCCAGACAAAAGTAATGGCTGAGCTGCACTGAGAACAGACCTTCTCTTTTGCTTTCTCATTAGCCTTGTGCAAAGTTTGACAAGTAAGGTCACCGATTTCCTCTCTTATTTTCTTTCGGAAAAAACACACACACACACCGTAGCTTTACGTTTGTGAATACGACACAGTGAGGAACGACGATTTGCCATGGCATGTCCAGGGTGGATCAGCGTTCATTGGCTTCATGGCATGTCGCATAAGCCACTCATTTGTGATGCCATCCTTACAAAGTGAATCAGTTACTGATTAATTCCTTTTCTTTTTCGTTTTACTCTATCGCTTTAGAATGCCTCACTCATTTGGTCGTAAGTATCGTGGATCCGTTCAATAATTCGAATTTCGAGTTCTTCGACATGGCCACATGAAGCGAATTGGAGGATTTTCGAGAAAATTGATTTGCTAAAAAAATATTTTTTCTCGCTTGATATAGTTCGTGCTCGCACCCGCCACATGTTCTCGCGCAAGTTCCGCGAACATGGTGCTATTCCCTTGTCGACTTACTTGAAGACCTACAAGGTCGGTGACATCGTCGACATCAAGGCCAACGCTGCTGTCCAGAAGGGCATGCCTCACAAGTTCTACCACGGTCGCACCGGTGTTGTCTACAACGTCACCAAGTCTGCTGTCGGTGTCATTGTCTACAAGCGTGTCGGCAACCGCTACATGGAAAAGCGTGTCAACCTCCGTGTTGAGCACGTCAAGCACTCCAAGTGCCGTCAGGAATTCTTGGACCGTGTCAAGGAAAACGCTCAGAAGAAGAAGGACGCCAAAGCCAAGGGTGTCCAGATCAACGTCAAGCGTATCCCTGTCCAACCCCGTGAGGCCCGCCACGTCTCCACCAAGGCTAATGTTCCCCAGACCATCACTCCCATTCCTTATGAAACTCTCTTGTAAGAGTAAGCAAATGTGGAATTTGGATGTTGTGTTTTGCATGATTTCAATTCATCAATAAATGTATTTGAGATCAACCTTACTCCCTGATCGTGTGTTTGAATTCGAGGAAGAATGGGGAAATGTAAGAGAAGAGAGAAAAAAAAAGGGGGATCAGATCCATTGGATGTCATCACACTTGGAAGTGGCTGTAAAAAAGGGCTGGTGCGCTTGGATTGTAAAAAAGAAAGCGTTGATATTGGTTTCGCCATGGTGATTCAACAAGGTGCTCCACACTTTTATCCTCTATTCTTTTGAAGAGGTGTTTATTGAAGTTGTAAACAAGACAGGTGCCATGTGACACAAACCAAACAATAAATGCGTACAGGTAAATGGATGAACGAATTGACTATATAAAAGTGCCATCCATATTGTTGCGATTGAAGGAACGATGCGATACGAAAGAAAAATCGCTCATGCCGGTCCAACTTGCAGCAGTGACAGCAGCTTTGACACGACATTGCTCGACTATCGGATACGGGTATTGCCGAGTTTGTCGCAAATTTCTTCTTCTGATGCATGCTCTTCTTCGGTATCGTCGTCGCCTAATTCATCCTCTGATGCATCGTCATCGTCATCTTCCTCTTCATCGTCATCATCATCATCATCATCATCATCATCGTATTCGCTACTGTCGTCATCAAATGCGGTGAATGCCGTTTCTCTATTTCTATTTTCTACTAATAAATCGTCCTCGTCGCTATCGAGTTCATGTTCAGCTGCTTCTCTCTTGCGGCGATCGTCTTCTTCCAAGGATGCCAAATATTCGTTTTGTACTTTGACAACGTCGGCCGAGTCTTTGCATTTCGCATAACGTGACAGTAACCCACCATTCACCTTGGCGAAAGCATGTCCCCACTTGAATTTGGATAAAAGCGCTTCACCATGTTCAGGGTATCCTATTGATCTCTATCATTAGTCGTCGTGGAGACCATGGATCAATCCACATAGCAATCGATCACTCACCTGTAATATAAAAGATGGCTGCCAAGGCTTCGGCACAGTTTAATTTCCATGGTTTTCCATAGTTCACTGGATTGGTGGCAACCAGATATGGTACTTGTTGCATGTGCGAAACAAATCACTGTGTCAACTAGGCGTTACTTTAGACCCATAGAGCCAAAACTTACACAATCGATCGGTAGGGCCACGAATTTTTGAAAAGGGAACTTCTTCCAATCTTGCCCACGAACAATCTACCACGGCCGCACCGTAAAGTTCTACAATACGTCGATCCGCTGGAGATACGGCCTTTTCACCTTCCGGACTGTAGTAACAGATCGCTTTTATCAGCTCTCCATGGCGCTTGTCTCGCACGATCATTTTATCCCTCGAGTCACTCACCTGGCAACAATGCCTCTGAATCGTTGGTTGAGCTTCAACGTCTTTAACATATTGGTACGAGCGAGCTTCACGCCCGAGCAACGTTTCGGATCGCAATGTTTAAAGTCCTGGTACGGCTTGATTAGCGATCCGCCGAGTCACTTGTCCATAGCCTGCAATAGATACAAACCCACATGGCCACAGGCATCGGGATGCCGGAATCATTACCGTCGCCTATCCGGGGGAAATGAATATCTCCCGCTGTATAATGTATAATTAGGATAGAACTTACTGTCAACAAGACCTTCCTCGCTCGGAACGTCTCTTCGTCGAGATTTACTGATTGAAACACCTATGGTTAGCGTTGAAAGAAAATTCTGTAAACTGTGACGATGCTTACTGAGCATCGGCTCGACCACCCGAGCGCGACTTTGATGTAGGACCACTTCGATGTTCACCTGAACCTTTCTTGCCCATTGCGTGAATTACTGGTGAAAAAGCGAGAATAATGCCCAAAGCGGAAAAATTCATGTGGCTTTTTCACCGCAATTTTTGACGCTTCGATACGGCGTGAACAAGCTCATCATTTACAGGAAGAAAAAAAAAAAAAGAAAAATAAGCTATTGTTGGTCACCATCACTTGTAATAGTCATTAATCAATTCGACCGGGCTTTGCCAAGACTAAAACGATGAGGAATCTAGTTATTTGTCTGAAGCACAGCCACAACATCGAAATGCTATTTACTCTATCCTCTGCCCGATACTTCATTGAAAGACCATACTGAAATATGGCCCGACATCATAAAATTAAACCATTAAAACAATCATTTCAAGCGTTAACCATGTAGGATAAACATACGAGGGACAACCATACTCGGAGGTCATTAAGTTTGTATGCAAATGATTTTCACTTCGACTTGCATTTTGACAGCCTGGTTGGCCAACACTTGAAAATCCGCTCCCCGGAAAAATACCGTACAAAGCGAACAGAGAAAAAGCGCGCGTCTTTTCTAATTGCGTTGAAAACGAAAACATACAACATGGCTAAAGGAAAGCAAGCTGCGGGTCAAAAAGCTAAAGGTGCTTCGACTGGTAAGTTTAATGCGTCAGGGTTGTCTAGGTTATGACTTGCTTAATCGCGCATTGTTGCTAGACGACAGCAAGAAAGGTGGCAAATTGAAGGCTGCCAATGCTATCAAAGTGAGTTTTGAATCACAACGGAATGGCTCGCAACGATAACTTATAATGACCCAATGCTAGGTTCGACATATTCTGTGCGAGAAACACAGCAAGGTAAATATAGCGTGTAGTTGGCGTCTTGAAAAGACTCCTTTATCGATATGCATACTGTAGATCATGGAAGCGATGGCCAAATTGAAAGAAGACAATATGCGCTTTGACAAGGTATAAGGCTGAACCAGCTACTTTTCTCTTGGAAAACAATATGATTAAATAATTTTCGTCAAGGTTGCCGAGACCTATAGCGAAGATAAGGCCAAAGCAGGAGGTAATCAAAATCCGTTCGGAATTGGGAGATGGCAGCCCAGTAGGAGGGAATTTTCAAGGAGCGGTCCATAGGAGGATGGCTTTGGAAAGTAGTCCATATTCACGTTGGTTCAAAATAGGTTCCTTGGGATGGATGTCCAGAGGTTCTATGGTCGGCACATTTCAGGATGCAGGTAATGATGACATGACTGGATAAGGCTTCAGGCAGACAAATCAGCGATGCAAACCCATGCCTCGTTACCTTGATGATTTGTTGTATCTGGATTTTATTTTATTGACAAAATGTTGAAATGTAGCATTCGCCTTGCAGCCTAGTACTTGTGGTACGTATATCTCACGCAGGAATCAACCTGCGCCTAAAAGTAACAAGGTTCATCTCTGATGGTTTCTTTTTCTGTAGATAAACCCATCTTTACTGACCCTCCTGTAAGTCCCTCTTTGCCAAAACCACGAGTAATTAAGGTTTAATCATGATATATTGATGCATTTGATTCGGAATAACTTAGGTCAAGACGAATTTCGGTTACCATATCATCATGGTGGTACGTGTCTCGTTGAAAAATATATAAGGGACCCAAGCGTAGATACTGAATTTTTATTTATGTAGGAAGATAGAAAATAAATAAGGAAAGAATAAAAATGTGTCATCATCTTTACAAAAAGTTTGTCTGGATAAATGAATCGAGTTTGATTATGGGCGCAAGCATTGAACTTACTTCTGAGCTTCTTTGTAAGTTCTGCAACGCACCTTACGAAAAAAAAAAGGGGATGTGTGGAACATAAAAATACCTATTGCACACACGTGGAGCTATTCCCTCTCCGGATCCGATGGAGACCAAGGTTCGCAGAAGCTTAAAATGAGACGTTAGATGCGGCCGGAATGATCTGAGACGATTCAAAAACGCCAAATGAAGAGAACTCGTTGATACGTTATCCTTGGTCCATATGAGACCATTTTTTTGTAATACCAGTAGCCTTGAAAATAGGTGATAAATGTGTTTTTATTTTTTATCAGATGTCATTGCGGACAACTTAATTTCAAGGGCACAAAAATGGCATAAAAGGAGAACTAGTTTATTCTGGGCGAATGAGAGTATTTCGGCTAATTACGTGCTATCACTTGTACAATACATGATCCTGTGTAACTGAATACACGTTTGGTTCATTGCGTTCGAGACGAATAAATAAAATAATAAAGAACAATGGTCTAAAGATACCGGCTATTGTGCGTGTGCATGAACTTTTCCACGGCCGGATTGAAACGCCGACGATATTCAGTTTACCACGTTCGCCCTCACATTACAGACGTGAATTACATTTTGTTGGGTTACTCGAATCGGCAGCAATCCGTGGTGGAGAATCTTGATCAACATGAGAAAAGAAAAGCAATCGCATCAAATGTGTCTTACGAAACAAGATTCGAGCAGAATTCACTACCAATGGTCAAAGAAATTGCATGTGCCGTATTTAGCAAGTTTACTGCACACTTCTGAGACGTTGCAGCAACATTCAAGGATCCATTGTGTTACAAATGCATGCAACGGTTCACCATTCAAACAACTTGCGTGATTTTCCCTGGCTGTTCCTTGACATGCACTGATCTTTTGGTCAAACATTTGGCAACAGCACAAGGGAAGATACTTATATGAATCTGTCACCTCCCATCTGAGGGAGAACAATTACGTGGCCACTGTAATTATTTTATATTCAAAATAGCACATACACGCAATATATGGGACGCACCACTAAAAATTTGGTCATGCTTCATCTTCAACATGTCGTATGTCAATTCCGTCCGTAAGGTACGTACGGAATCCTGTTATTTGCTCTCTCAATGGTGAATTGTAGCGCAAATTTAGCAATCAACAAGCTACGGAAGCAAATTTCCATTCAGAAGTTTGATTATTTTCTTGTATCTATGCAGTATGGAAACCTTTTTGCAGAAGCATTACTGAAGATACTCATCATCCTTTATGTTCTTTGTTCTTGGTACTTACGCCATTGAACACCGTACAAATGGTATGGAGAAGATCCTATAACCGGCATTAAGCATGATGGAATGTCTGGTCTGATATTCCATCACTGCGTCAACCTTTTGTGTTCTCAAGCATCGGTACAAAATATCATGATGTCTAGGAAAAAATGGACTACGGTTCCATCATTCAGCTGTAGTTAAGCGATGTGGAGGCCAATGCAGAGAGCAGTAATAAAAAGTGCATGAAGAATCTGTTGATTCTTTGCACTCTCCAGATAAGGGTGTTCTTCTCGCCTCTCCTGCAAGTCTGCACTCAAAAAAACAATGATCCAAAGCAATTTTAAAGTTCAGTGATGACTGATTACCGTTTATCCAATAGACATCAAAGAAGAAATGAGACCTGCCGCCGGTTCATTATCATCCATCCTTGAAATCACCATGTATATTACTATCCCACCCTGGCTCTCTGCTGGATGGAAAGAAAAAAAAGGGCAAACTGATGTCAAGACAAGGCAATAACAATGTAAATGAAAAATTTCGGAAAAAAGCAATGGGATTCGGAGCCGCCATGTGGTCACGGTTATTTGAGTCTGCGAAACCATGAGGCGGTTGACTGAACAGTTTTTTATCAGCGTTCGTCTTTTTCGCCCTACATGAAGCGGAGCTGTGGAACATAGAAATTTTGTTGTATGCACGTGGTATCATTGCCATACATGGTTTAGCTGGAGCAGGGTTCACAGAAAAAGACGAAATCAACAGGAGAGGAAAGAAAAACGTAATGAGATATGGCATCCAAAGAAAGTAAAAGCAGTATCAAGGGAGATGCAAATGTTTTTGTTGTTTTGAGCAACCATCACTTGTCTCCGCCTCGATTCACGCGACAATATTCACTCCACCTTTTTTATCCCATTTATTATTTTTGGGTTTTAGGTGCTATTCCTTATTTTGTTTTTCATTCTGCTTTCTGTCTACTTTGGTCTCTTTTTTTTTGGTTTTCTTGCTGGTATCTTTCTTTTAAGATCTTGTTGTTCCGTTGCTTTTTCTTTTTATTTTACTATTCGATGCCTTCTCAATTATCCAGTCAACATCATCATCAGCATCTTCCTTCATTATCTTCGTCTATTTCCAGCTGTTCTTCAGGTACTTCGACACCGCAATCCTTGAATTTTCCTCGCCAGTCGGTGAATTCGCAGTATTATTACTATTCCATCCAACAACCGTGCCGACAGAAATCCGCCCCACCGCAACGAAAATCGCAACGGTATGCGGAATTGCAACGACCCCATCATCCACCGCAACGGTCGGTATCGGCTAGTTCCCTAGGCACCCCCCGCTCGAGACAATCCTCCGACTGGTCTCCATGCTGCTATACACCAAACACAACGCCCACCGTGTTGTCAAACCGATATACCGTAGCTATACCTACCGATATTTCTCCTTTAGAAAAGCCAATGGCTCACGATACACCTTCGCAACAAATCCTCATTGCCAGTACGGCGATTGAATCTTCCAATCCACCAGCGTCATCCGCACTACAAGAACCGCCCAATACCCATTTATGGTGGGATGAATCTCAGCTGGCGTTGGAATTAGCCGAAGATGATTTGATGCCCAAGAAAAAAACCACAGGAAAAAAAGGAACCACACGGCGTATCAAAGAAAAAATATCTTGTTTCATGCATTCTTCTTCATCCTCGCTCTCTTCCTCGTCGTCCTCCGCGTCTCTCTCCATCCATTCGAAAAAGAGCAACCGGATTGCTCGGTCTTTGAAAAAGCTTGCCAATATCATTTCTTTATAAATCCATCTGTAAATAGTCTCTGTATGACCCCGCCTCAATATATGTCTTTTTTTTTCCTCTTTCATTTATATCCATCAAGATGCTCTTTTTTATACCGTTCATGTCTCTCTACATTTATTTTAATGTTTACGATTCTGACTGATTGTATTGCATTATTTTGAAAACAACAACAATAATGTGGCACGATGAATGATATCATCAATACAATAGAAAAGATTGATCTTTCGGAAAAGGTTCTAACAAGTTTACATTTTTTTTTCAAATCGCGCATAGTGAGAAATCAGTCGCTCTTTGAATGGTCACTCCATGACCCCGAATATATGAGTGTCAGGTTCAGATTCGCCGGAAGTGTTGGTGTTGTCTAGATGCTCAATCTCTCCCCTCACAAAAATAAAAAGAAGAATCATGGTTCATGCATATGAATGGATACAGCAAGCCGTTTTCTTTATCGAATTCTGTTTTTCCAGGACAATGAAAATTCATGTTCCTGGTTGAGTTCACATTCTTTTTTTTTTCGATTCTAGATCGCATCGAACAAGCTTGTAGAGATTCTACATCCATTTGTCTGCTTTGTCTATTCCCAACTCTTTTTTCCACCAAAAAGAGTAGATATTGATTACAAGAATCTTGCGTTACATGGCAATTTTTCTCATTTTTATGCCTTTCGATCAATATTGAGGTCCTCGCTAATAGCAGTCACTTTGGAAAAAGTTCGACTTGCCATATTTGGATATCCACGATTTATGGCAGCTTTTTTTGTCGTTTCCTGGTGCTTCTTTGCTGCTGTACATTACCATGAATTCCTGGGCGAAGCAATGTTTGGTCTCGAACTTACAAATCATTGAATCCCGCACGTTTCCTACGTTTCTGCGTCAGCAACATGCGGCCGTGCAACTGCGAAGGAACCTTTGTATTGCCACGCATAAGATCACTCCTCGATCGCTTGATCATTCACCTTGTCAATCTCTTATCCTTTCAAGATCAGCGGCATCAAATGCTCAACCTCACTGCTATACAAACACTCGATCGTTTTCCAGTTCGTCAAAAAAGATTGTGGCTGATGATCAGAAACAAAAGCCGAAAAAACGGCAGACGTGGTCCCGACGAAAATTTGTGAATATCGAAGCGGCCGAAACACGACCGAATAAGCATCTTTATACCATGCCCAGAGACGCTTATGGAGCTTCGGACCGAGTAAAGGAATTGTTAAGAGTCTCCAAGCTTAGTGATTCTATTGAATTTGTCAATTGTCTGCCTGCACGTCTACAATCAACTGTGGTGTGGAATCAGCTACTGGGTTATTGTGCCCAACATGGTCGATCCACAGCAGCGAAAACCATTTTCGCAAAGGTAAATGGGAAAAACATGTTAATAGAAAAAGCACGATATACTGAACATTTACCTTTTTTTAGATGCGGAAACATGGTTTAGAACCTACCGATACCACGCTCACCTATATGATCTCCACTTTTGGCAAGAGCACTTCGGCGGACGCCGTGGCGCAAGCGGAAGCATGGTTCAATTCGATCAAGTTTTACGGCATGGAACCCAGCCCCTACCACGTCACTGCTTTATTACAAGTGTACCAAAAGGCGCACGACAATAACAAGGCTCTGAACTTAATTGACGAGATCTTGGGGGATGGATCGTATCCTGCAGATGCAGCCACTTATACCACGGCTTTCCAAGTGTGTGGGGCTTTGAAGGAAGACCGTGCTATTCAATACGTACGAAACCTGTGGTCCAAACTGATGAAGCAACAGCCGCATTATTTGCAACAGACACAACTATCCGGCCTGGCATTGAAAGCGGCCTATATCAGCGAACAAGAAGATGCCCTGAAAGTGAAGGCGCAACAAGAAAACTTGAAGATTGACAATGGAATCGTCGTGAGTTTTTTGAATGCGCTCGGTCGCACGGCACGGACAAAGGAGGACGTGTGGTTCGGTGTGGATGCCATTGATCGGTTGTACTTTTTGCGAGTTCCCGAAGGCAACAAGCTGGCCCGCAGATTCGGTCAAGACGTAAGGCAGGACCGACCGGCGACGATGACGCCTTTAGTGGACTCACCCAACGTTGCGGCGTTGAATGCGATTCTCATCTTTTGTATGTACCGCAGACAATATGAAATGGGAGACCAGTATTACCATGCCTTCTTTAAACGATTTCCCCACTTGCAACCGGATGACAGATTAGATTCATTGCATCAACGCATCAAGGACGAATTGGAAAGAGTAGAGAAACAAAAAGCATGAGAAAAAAAAAGTACAAAGCATGAATTTATAATAGACGAATGATGAAAATGAATAAATGATGCTACATTTAAAATTTGCTGCTATATGGAATTGTATCAATGAGGGAGAGTAAATTTGAGATCAGATTTAAATTATGAGGACGGGGATGTTATTCAACGGCGGTAGGTCTTTTCACGGCGCTGGAAACCAGACGATTCATCGTCGCCAAAACGGCTGGATCGAGGGGCTTCGTCATTAAATCGCTTGGGGCGGAATTCCCTATCACCACCAAAGCGTTTGGGTCGCGAATCACGATCTTCAAAACGCTTGGGTCGCGAATCACGATCTTCGAATCGCTTGGGACGGAATTCTCGGTCGCTGTGATGCTTTCCACGTCGATCTTGGAAGAAATCATCGTCGCCATCGCGGCGCGATCGTCGATCAAATCGACGGAACTCACCATCCTCGCGGGAACGAGAAAAGCTTCTGGGACGGGAATCGCTGCGTCTTCGGGACGAAGATCGGCTTTGACGGTCCGAGGAATCAGAAAGACCCAGCTTGGAAATGAAGGAGGGGGACAAATGAGGAGTCTCTTCGATACCGAAACCCTTCAAAAACTCTCCGCCCTGAGCGATGGCTTCGCTACGGCGTTTACCCAAGAACGGCATACGCGATGAATCTATTCGAGAAAACACTACGTCAGTAATCCGACCTCCCCGTTATAATTTTCCCCTTCAAACAGACTACTTACAGTAACCCAAATAGGCAGTGTACACTTCGGTAATGATGTCTTCATCCAGGACTCGAAGAGCACGGCCCACAGCTTCCATATTGGATTGAGTTTGCTCTTCCGTCAACTCTGGAGATTCAAGTTTCTGCACTGGCAAATCGCCGATATCCTTGGTGATGAACGTCTGCTCAAACGGAGCAAGCATAATGATACCTTCACCCTCACGACCGGCACGACCGGTTCGTCCCAACCGATGAATGTATTGTTCACGAGTGGAAGGCACACCGATTTGAAGCACCAATGAGACACCGGGGTAGTCGACACCTCGCGCAGAGACATCCGAGGTCACAAGAATAGAGGCATGGCGAGAGCGTCGGAAACGATCGGCAATCTTACTACGTTGATCTTGATTTTTTCTGGAATGAAGTTCAAACACTTCTCGCTTGGGCAGCAAACTCTTCAACAGTTGTGCATAGACCATGGTGGACTTGGTGGTAGGTAAAAAGACAATGACTTTGCCAGAGTTGGCTGCTTCGTAGTTTTCCAACAGGTCCTTGACCAAGTGCAATTGGGTTTCGTAAGGAGCCACGATGGCGGACTGCTTCACGTGGGCATTGGTATTGACATCATCCTTTCCAACAGTGTCGATTAAGGTATGTTTTGGGGACAGGGCAAACTTGCCAAGGTTTTCACGGATTTCCTTGTTGATGGTGGCGGAGAAGAGCATGGTTTGACGTTCGTCGGGAATCTGATTGAGAATACGCTGTAATTCTGCCTTGAAACCCATATCCAATAACTGATCGGCTTCATCCAACACCAGTACCTTGAGTGACTGGCACATGCGTCGGAAGTGAGGAACCGAGGATAACATATCATTCAAACGACCGGGCGTGGCCACCACGATATCGCAACGGCGACGTTCGAGATTGACAATTTGACGGCGTTTTGAATCACCGCCCACCAAACAGTGGACCTTGAAAGGATAGAAACTCACCAGTTTCTGCGCTTCTTCGGCGATCTGATTAGCCAACTCACGGGTGGGGGAAATGACCATGATGGAAGTGCCTTCAAACACTCGCAGATCTTTGGAGGACTTTCCCTTGAGGGCCGTCTCAAGAGCCGCGATCAAGAAAGCCAACGTTTTACCGGTACCCGTTTTCGCCTTGACAAACATGTCTTCTTCATTGGGAAGTCTTGACAAAACAGCAGCTTGGACAGACGACATCTCTTGATATCCAAACACCTTGTCGAGCGCCTTCTGAGTTGTTCCATTGATTGCTTCAATGGAGTCAAATCGCTGTTTTTCTGGCACTGCTTCCTCTTCTGCTTCCACGGCCGGAATTTTGACCGCTTCCACAGCAGCCGCTGATAATTGTCTTGTTGTTGTATGGAGAAGAGCATACGGGGTCAGTTTGGCATGAGCGATGCCAGATCGGATAATAGCGGATCGGCTGCTGAACAGTTGACCTTTTTTTTTGAAATACCAGACGGTGAGTTTTGACTGCAAAAAAAACAGGGACCTCAGTTACAGAACAAAAGATACTTACTGGCTGCTTTGGTGAATAGTCTAGTTCTTGCGGCATTGGCAGAAACTTGTTGCGCCGAGATCCGGGCAACAGTGGGCAATAAAAGTTTGGTGAGCATTTGATAAAGGAACTACATCCGCAGTGGAATTTTTTTCTTATTTCATCACCTTTTTTCAAATTCCGGATAAACCGTCCTGGAAAAAAAGCCACTTTCTGCATAAATTACTGCCAATCAAAGGGAAAAGATTCATTCGCAGCAATGCAGCCATTCCGCTTACTTCTCTAATGACACCTTGTAATGAGCACCATACCAAAACTACTATAACGTCAACTACTGAATTGGGGACCTCTTGGCCTCTGTTAAATTGTAACCATGCCATTGTTCCCGTAAAAAAAAAAAAAAAAAAAAAAAAAATTAACGCCGACAATCTATTGGGTGGAGAACCATGTTTCTCCGCATTGCAAATGCCAAACCTTTTTCATTTTTTTTTTCATCCCAGCCCCAAATATGGAAATTCCTTGTCTCCTTAGTTTTATAGTAAGGAGAATATGTGCCGGTTTTTTATATTTCGACTTTAAAAGATTTTGTAAGTGGATGATGGCTATCTACGAGTATTTGACACAGCGACACAGCCAGATAGAAAATGCACCAATATGTCAGTGGATGCCTGGTATATTTTGGGGTCATGGATCACAGGCAAGCCTAGCATCGACCAGAGATGGATTTCCAGCGGTGCCTGATACAAAGTAACATCAACGCCATTCGAACGTGCACGTGCCGCCAACATTCCTGCTTCGTCAAGTAAAACCTCTCGACCGCCCACCATGACCAACATAGAACTCGGCAAAAATGTCCAAGGGATATCCTGAGTTAGGTATTCGAATGGCTGATCTCCTTCAGCAGGGATATAGGTTTGCTCCATACGATCAATGGCCGCAGCTCGTATATAATCGTACTGGTCATTCGCCCGCCATGAAGCGCCACCCGCTTCAAGGCCAGTATAGGGTGACATACACACGAGCCCAGCCACCTTTATCGATTTTTTCTGCAGGGCATCCAACGCAATACCGACACCGGCATCATCACCACCTGTTTCCATTGTTTTCTTTTCGCATTAGCTTTTTGGTTGTTGCTCGATTCATCCATCGATTCGCATAAAGCAATTTTACCGAGAATAATCTTGTTGGGTGAGACATGGATCTGATTCACCAGCCAGCCGTACGCTTTGACAGCCTCTTCTACGGGTCCTGGATATGAAGTGTTGGTTCCTATGCTTGATAAATGCAAGATCAGTGTTTCTGTATATGGTTTGTTTGATTTACAATGTAGTTGAAAACAATAGCCTTACTGTAGTCCACCACCAGCACATTGGCAGTAATATTTTTATCCGCTGCAAGAGCCCGGATCCACGTTTTAAATGTGGGGACGTACAAGGTACCTAAATTCATACGAAATCCACCGCCTAATGTCTTCACCAGTAAGCCCAACCGTCCTAACAGGAATATTTCAGGCCCATCATACCAGGGATCCAGAGAATGACAACATCACTGGCTAATAAACGGTCGATCAAGGCTTCCATTTTGGCATTTCCAACATCTTCCGAGATTAGCGTGCCGTGAGGTGTTTTCGCAGTCCAATGGCTCTCCGCTTTGAAGAAAAGAAATTGCAGTAGTCGTATGATCTGTTGGGCATAGCGATGACTGGGAACAGTGAATGCTACACGTAGCAAGGATAAAACGATCCAAGCCCGTAATGATTGCAAGAACGACATAATCTCGGGAGAATGTGAAATCCAAAAAGCGATCGAAAATATTCGAGATTTTATTTTTGTACCACCGAATTGTCTGGAGAAAAAAAAACAGCAAGTGGATAAACAGAGACCTTGAAAAGGGAGACAAAATAATCTGGTTGTCCTTGCTTTATTGTGAGATAAATTAACCATGCGATACTCCGTAACTTCCATGACTTGGTTGATTATCATAATCCACATCGCTGTCACGTCTAGGCACGCGTCCTTCAGCTATCAGTCTACGACGTTCTTCTTCAACTGAATAAAAGTCGGTTCGGTCTCTGTAAAGGATGTAGTGCTGCGTCATAAATACTAGATCAAACGCAATCGCAACAAATCCGAGGCCACTACCCAAAAAATAAGTTCCATCAGTACACCTTTCTTTTCGTGAATGACGACATGTTGTTCCTTACAATTTGACTGGATCCTATATCAATCTCGCGTAGTTAGCTTATTTGCTGTACACTCGAAAGGGATTGTGATTACTTACACCAGACACTCCGCTCCAATCACCGCTCAATGCGGCATCCAAAAGCAACTGGGCAATGGATAAAGCACCACCCGTGAAATCCTACAGAGAAAGAGATTAAAAAAAAAGTCAATGAAACATCCTGTAAAAAAGAAGACGTATTCCAAGAACCACTTACCAGCAAAATGTTATGGATACTCCATCCAACGGTGGATTTCCGCTTATAGTTAAGCCATGCCTAAAGAAGATATGCAACGATGTGTGAGATGTCCGGTTGTGTTGTGCTAAATATACCACAAATGCATATCACCTGAGGTAAGTACTTGATGAAGCTGATAAATAATTTTACATAGCTTAGATAATACATCACATCGATCCACATGGCGTTCGCAAAATAGACTCTTGCAATCGATACCGCAATGCCGATAAAAATCATGCAGATGATGATACGAGCCAAGGTCGATACCCGCTGACCTTGTTCTTTCTATCCCATTCGGTAAGTAAAAAAAAAAAAAAAAAAAAAAAAATGCATGCTTATGTCTGCCAACATAAAAGTCGACAAGGCCGTACTTTGTAGATAAACGTTTGCAAAAGAGTGAAGGATGATATAAGAAAAGCATGAACTGCAAACATGACATCGTTGGCTCGCACCAAGTTGGCTTGTTCGTGGTTCCGTCGCTTATCTACGGTATTCGACATCAGCCTCCCCTCCAATAATCAATTCACACCATTAATCATACATTCATCTTGAATCTCTTTGCTGAAATAGAAGGATAGATTGAATATCTGTTGGGAAAATGGTTCAGTTGATCCATCGTTTGTCAGTCACTGCTCGCAACCTACGGAATAACACAGGAAACCAAGCACGTTGTAATTTAAAAAGTCCAAAGAGAGACCTTGAACACTATTATTCAATGTCAATATTAAACGCTACAGCAAACCGCAGCATATAGAACTTTATTACCTCTTGCGCTTCCAGTTGAGAATCGCCTGCGGATAGAAACTAACGGACCAAGCTGCAAAATATGTCTGCGGCAAACAGGGAAAAAAGCACAGCGTTAATGAATGGAGACACAAGAGTCAAAACTTGAAGTGACTTACCCAGCCTATGATGCTGGAAATGATATGCCAGGCTATGCCGGGATCTTCTGCAAGTTCATAATGAAGGGCTGCCATGAGCGAATAAAGGGAAACAAAAGCGGCAAAGGAAACGAAGCGCCGACCGGAAACGGGTCGACTCAGAAAAAGGCCATTGTGACTGGTGCGTATTATTCCTATTTTCATGCTCCAGTGTCCCAGTGTGCCTTTTTTTTTCTTGCCATGAACCACGACTTTAGCTTACTGGAGACTATCCTATTCACCCCTCAAGAAGGTACTCATCCGTCTTTATTTCATTTGTCTTGGCTCAGTCAGTTGATCCATTGACCTTGCAGGATTTTACCTCCTTGATCTGCACATTACACGCTTACTCAAATCCGCAACTGATTACCGCGCCTTGGCCGCCGACTGCTTCGTGTCTCCGCCAACCCCTCAGCAAATAACAGACGTTCTTAACGCCCACTTGAAGGACCGTTCTTCCTATCAAAGGGTAAAATGATATTACGGTTTACTCTCTTGACCGGTTTTAACTTTTTTTTTCTCTTTTACAGGTCCGCCTTTTACTGAATACCGCTTCTCAACTTACAGTAGAAGCGACACTGCTCCCGGAACCGACTCTTTCCGCTGAGAACCTTCACCTGGCCGCTCTGAAAGTCCCATTGATCAACGTTATTCTAGACACACAACCAATACCTTGCATCACCGACTTTTTTTTGCGGCACAAGACGACACGAAGAGACTTGTACAACAATGCACGTGAGCGATTGAATTGTAGTTTTCACGTCTCCAACGATCGAGAACCCTTTGATGTCGTGCTTTGGAACCAGCAGCATCAAGTCACAGAAACCAGTATTGCCAACATCGCCGTCGGGGAGCCAATAAACGATACCTGGAACTGGAAAACACCTATGACTGATTGTGGTAAGATAAGCAAGGAAGAAGGATTGAAAGTTCTCTTGCTGAACTTTGACCTTTCTTGTAACGCCACGCAATAGGACTTCTTGGAGGCGTTTTTCGACAATACCTGTTATCTACCGGCGAAGTAAAAGAAGCCATTATTACGGTGGATGATCTCGTGCATGCTCAACAGGTAGGATACAAACACAAAATGGATCCTGTTGCCGAAATTAACAGCTGGTCATCTCACTACAGCAAGGCCATCCTATCATTTGCTTTAATTCTGTTCGCAAAGCATACCGAGTACGACTATTGCTCTAAGTCGTTCAATTCAATACTTCAGTAAGCGTATCTCAGTCTCTTATTAGAGGTTGGCATGACGAAGCACTTTCAATAATGATTTAGAACCATGATATCAATCGTATTTATCTCAACATAAATATTCCATCCAAGGGCAAAAGTCCAATGCTATGCTAGATATTACTCTGCAAAACTTCCACCTTCCACCCGCTAATGAAAACGGTGTGAGACTTTTTTCTAATAAATATTGAAGAGCAAAAAGATCCATTTCCTTAATAATGTAAACCAATTGTTGCATATACGCAATCTTCCTGCTGTATGTTGTTCGAGTCCGACTGAGCAATTTCATAATCCGATCTCGAAAAATCAAGCCTTGCAATTGGCTTTTTACTTTTTATGCTCCGCTGCTTTTTTTACTGCTGTGAGATAGTGCATAATAAAAAAAATAGGGGGGTTTTTTTGGGCTTTTTTATAATTTTATCGGCTTTACGAGATATACTCTTCGATCAGTGTCATTAACCTATTTAAACACGTCTAGAAAGGCCATGATCACATCATGGTTACTTTGCGTGCTCAAGAGCAACAACAACAGCAGCAAGAGTTCGATGCGACAGTGGACGAGCAGCAACCAGTGGATGAAATCCAATTATACCAAGATGCTCGATATATCTCGGCGCCTAAAGCGATCTGGCGCATATACTCCTTTTCCCTCCACCATCGGTCACCGGCAGCCATGCAGCTAGCTCTGCATTTACCGACCGCCGGCAAGCGTTCTTTAACGAGGATGATACCCTAAAGGATGTGCTCCTACGCACAGAAAACGACCTGACAACTCTCAACGCCTACTTCATTCTGAACCGGGAGGACGAGTCTGCCAGACGTCTCTGTTCTCACCAGCTTCCTTCCGAGTTCATTTTTATCAAATGCTCCCAGCATGACCGCGGTCATTGGCGCAGGTGCAGCGTGGACAGCTGGCAGTTAGACGTGTCTACTTTGCCCCTCCTATCGATAGAGAACGCTTTGCTTTGCGCTTGCTTCTGCATCATATATCCGGTGCCACGTCCTTTGAATACCTCCGGACACATGAGGGTGTTCTATACCCCTCTTTTGAAGAGGCTGCCGTGCCCATGGGTTGATCAACTCCAGTCGAGAGCAATTCCAATGCCGCAGCTTCGTTACCAGTATACCCCGCCTTCGTCAGTTGTTTGTGACCTTTTTGATTTGGGCTCACCCTGATGATCCTGGGCTTCTGTGGGATACTCTTTGCTGAGCAGCTCTGTCTCGATTATCAATACCAATATCGATCCTGCGAAGAGGAGCCAGATATCCCCCTATGTAGAGCGCGAGCTCTACTGCATACTGATCGTCTCCTTTCTTGCCACGGAAAATCGCTGGCCGATTTTCTGTCAACTTCACTAATACCTGGCACGCAGAACGACTATACAATGTTCCAGCAGCTCCGCAATAATGGAGATACCGATATCCAGCAGGATGACGACGACTTGCGTTTGATCGACCAACGGCACCGATACCCACTAGCAAGTCTGAATCCTGATCAAAAAGCTGCCTTCGATACCATCATCGCTTCACTCAATACCATTCCATCTACCGCCCACTCTCATTTGTTCTTTGTGGATGGCCCTGGAGGTTGCGGCAAGACTTTTTTTTACAATATCCTTCTGGCACATGTTCATTCTTCCGGTCACAAGTCCATTGCAGTCGCCTCAACTGCAATGGCGGCTTTATTGCTTGATGGAGGAACGACTGCCCACTCAAGATTCAAAGTACCGGTGACTCAGGTTGTGGATGATACCATCACATGCAATTTGAATGTGCATGATGATCGTCAAGTCGGTGAAATCCGCGATGCTGCATTTGATTGTCTGGGACGAGGCACCTCTCATGAACCGCTACTGCGTAGAGGCCGTTGATCGGTCTCTACGTGACATCATGAGAGTGTCAGATCCTTCCGCAGCATTTATACCTTTTGGAGGCAAGATCGTTGTGTTTGGAGGCGACTTTAGGCAGGCCTACCAGTCATCCGAAAAGGCACACGTTCTGATAACATCGATGCCGCCATATCCTTATCTCCTTTGTGGCCGTTGATCCATACCCTGCGCCTTACAATCAACACTGCAAAATATCCAAGGCAATTATATCCACGCCATGCCGCAAAGTTCGTTTGCATCATTCTGCCTCGCCATAGGCAATGGGAGGACACATATCCTTCCCGGTTAAGAACACCTACCTTCGCGGGAACATATCCGTCTTCCTACGGAATGGTGCATGCCCACCACGGACGTTCATCACCTTATCTCTGCCATATACCCGAATTTTGAGAACGCTTCCCTGGAGGACATGGTACGGTTCTCCAACCATTGCATCTTGGCGCCCACGGATAGAGATACCGATGCAATCAATACCATTAAGCACCATGGAGGAACTCCTAAAAGTAAACCCTTCGACATTTGGTAATTGACTTACTGGTGGCGATTCAATAAAATTACACAAAAAAATCAGTGGTGGAATAAAAAGGAGGCGGGACTTGAAATTCATGTTCAGACAAACTAGGGTTTGCACGTGAAAATCAAAAAAAAGGAATTCGATGCCCGTTCCACAATGCCTACAGCTGCCCTGCAGACGGATATTGGGCAACACTCAAATAAGAGATGAAACCATAGAGGCTAATATAGGTGTTAAACAACATTGACCTTGCGCGTACTAAAGAAAGTATGAATGAGCAAATAAAGAGTTAGTGGATTGGAATGCTTCATGACAGTCACAGGTCTCGAATCGATAACTGCATGAAACTCCAACATTGTTCTTTTTTCTCGTATCTTTCATTATCATGATTTCGATACCAATATTGGATAGACTTTCTTTTCGAGATTACCAAGGGTAAGTGACATCATACGAGTCCTGGACAGGAGACGATACTGATCTGCAATGATAGTCTCATCTTTACCGTACTATTCTTTGCGATCGAAACTGTCATTCGTATTATTGTCATCCTTCTCCCGAAATTCGTTATTAATGGTATTGACGCTTTTATCGAGAGGTAAGAAGAAACAAGCCATAAACTGGGGATCTTTATTTCTTTTGTGACACCGAGATAACTTAACCAATCTTAATAGTGCTTTTCCATGGCTAACGAGCTCTGAGCGCAAGCCTCGAGTGAGTCCATTGGAGAAGGCCGAATCATTCGAGCAAATTATTCGCTTTTGGTAATATCGCCCTAAAATGCCTGTTTGAAGTCTGCATGTCCTCAATATACCATCTGAAATCTTTAGGCGAAAATATGCGTATGAGCAGCATGTGGTGCGGACGCAAGATGATTACTTTTTATGTGTTCATCGTATTCCGTATAAGGAAATCATCACTTCTGACAAGTACAATGACAAAAACAATCAGCGAAAGAACCGTATGGAAAAAAATATCGAGATCATGGACAATCTTGATCAATTCATCAAAACGAAAGCTCATCGGCCTCCGACCAAGAATGGAAATCGACCCGTTGTTCTGCTATACCACGGTTTCTTGATGTCGTCCGAAGTCTGGGTATGCAACACCGATGAGCATCGTAACTTGCCTTTTGTATTATCCGAACAAGGCTACGACGTATGGCTTGGTAACTCAAGAGGCAACAAATACAGTCAAAACCATCAATCACTGAGCCCAGCAAATACGGCTTTTTGGAACTTTTCCTTGAACGAATTTGCCATGTACGATTTACCGGATGTCGTGGACGTAAGTGCTTACTCATGTTATTTTCACAAAAATTGAATCATCGTGTTGATAATAACTATTTATGCCTACTCAGTATATCCTTGAGCAAACTGGGGCCTCCAGTCTTACCTATATTGGATTTTCTCAGGGCACAGCTCAGGCGTTTGCCGGATTGTCAGTGAACCCAAGACTCTGCAAAAAGGTCAATTTATTCATCGCCATGGCCCCTGCTACCACCCCCAAAGGGCTGCATCATCCTATGATTGATGCATTTGTCAAAGCCACCCCTTCTGTTGTGTACCTGTTGTTCGGCCGCAAAACACCACTGAAACTCGCCTTGTTCTGGCAACGCATCATCAGCCCGCCTCTGTTTGTGAAGGTTATTGATGGCTGTGTAAACTTTCTGTTTGGTTGGACAGGTCGTAACATGACAGCTGAACAAAAGTTGGTGAGCTACCAGCACCTGTATAGTTTGACCAGTGTCAAGTCACTTGTGGTAAGCACTGAAATCAATCCATTATCATCCAGTTGCTGACAAAACTAATCCTTTCGCTTAAACTGTGCAGCATTGGTTTCAAATCATCCGTACTGGGCGCTTCCAAATGTATGATGAGGTTCCAAGTCGGATCCCCTATCACAGTCCCAACGTAGTAAGGGATCATATCCCTCCCAAGTTTCCAACCAAGCAGATCAGTACACCGATCGCTGTCTTTTACGGCAACTCCGACTCCCTCGTACAATTTGACGTCCTCGTCGCCGATTTGCCTCCTTTGGCGTACGTCAAAGCCATTGAATCATGGGAACATCTTGACTTTCTGTGGGGAAAGGATATTGAACACCTTCTTTATCCCGACATTTTGAAACTGCTTCGTCATTTCAATGCTCAAACGGATGAGAAAAATCATCAATTGGAGCCAGAGAGAGAGACTGACATGTACACCGAGTAAAATTTTTTGTATATAAAAACCGATTGTCTGTCTTACGAGAAAAAGTCCATACCAAATGTATAAAAAAAGAAAGAGAGCGAAAGGGTGATAATCATGGATTATCTTCTTGCTTCGTAAATCCAACAAAAATCTGCTCAAAGAAACAGTATAATTTTGCTATCGGCCTTCAACTAAAAAGCCGTAACATTGCACATGGTTAGATTATATCCTCTTCAACTAAAAAGCCGTAACATTGCACATGGTTAGATTATATCCTTATTTATTGAGATCCCGTTTTTCGGATTGATCTACGTGAATTCATCAGCTACAGTTCTTCATGCATATAACGCTGTGCAGGTTTCCTTGCTTGAGGTTTATGCGGTTCTTGGATGGGCTCCATCGAGCAAACGGCGGGAGATCGCATACGGAAGTGATATTCACACTTTTCGGGTTCGGTCACTTCGATGATTTCTGTCTCTGCGCCACAATCAATAAAAGCACGAACACTTCGTTCGGGACCATTCCAGCATCGTGTTCCATGCGTAAATGACTGTTCGCGGTAGTAGTCGTCCGTGCCCTTGGGTCCGACAAAAGCTTCAAACGTGCCAAGGTGGGTACGCATGCTATCCTTATTCGATTTTTGATGGGCAGCTCCATGAATACAAACGGAATAGGTATATCTTGTAGATGATGCCATTCATTAATATCGAGTAAGAAAATTCGCCCATCTTTCTTATCTTTCCACTTACTCTCCTTCGTTTTTCTCGACACAGGTATCTTTAAGCTTGAGCCATTCTCGCTGTGGACCGTAATCTTTGGCTAGCTCATCATTGATTTCGTTCAAACGGCGCTCGGCATCATCGATTTCACGCTTCATTGTATCGCGCACCTTTTCGGCTGTCTCCAAAGCTATGAAATACAAAAACCACAGAAAATTTCAATGAGCTTACTTCAGCTGCTGCTGCTGCCATTTCCTGTTTTTTGTCCTCTGTCACGGTAAGCTACCTGGGGCATCTTTTTCCTCATTCTGTTTCATGCCAACCCTGGACAATAGCTGATCCAATTGGCTTTTCCACATGAGAGGAAGAGCAGATACCGCTTTGTTTAGAAGCGATTGAAGTTTACCTTGTTTTTAAGAAGAATCAAGAGGCGAGAGAAACAGTTGGATAGGTTGAAATCATAAAATCGAGTGTAAGCAACATCATGCATCATATGAACCAAAAAAAAAAAAGAGAAAAACATCTAGTGTTTGTACACTTACCTTCTTTCAGAGCCTTTTCCTCGGAAGTTTGAGGGATCTCCTCTTCCTCTGCTTCCTCCTCATCTGTTTCCTCAAAATCGTCGTCGGCATTGTCTTGCTGCTCCTCATACTCTTTCAGGTCAGTGTCAATTTCTTTCTTTAGATCTTCGTAGCCTGGTAAGAATTCATCGTAACCGGCAATGGCCGCCTTGACCGCCATATCGTGAAAGTTGTGGTTGTGATCACGCTTCATATCACGAAGGATAGATACAAGCACGTCGATTTCTTCTTGCAGAGAACGCACATGTCTTTCCAGAGCATCCGTTAATGGATTAGCCTTGTTCGACGGACATCGCTTTTGGCTCGTTTTATGGCTCTTTCGTTGTTGACTGAGCTGTTCCAATTCACCTTGTACGACAATTTCGATTAAACATGTAAGCACAAATCGAATATCAAGACGACTATAGAAGCTTACTTTCTCTTCTCAGTAGCTCGGCACGCTTAATCACCAGAGTGTCCTCCAGCTTTGACTTTTCGTTTTGCCAAGCCGCGACTTCGGCTTGTGCTTCATCAATCAGTTTCTGCTTGGCACTGACGCCAGCTGTACGAATCTTGTTCAGCATGTCTTGTGTTTTCTTGTACTCTGCAGCCACCTCTTTGCATCGATCGGGACATTGGACAAAACCGTTGTATTCATCCGATCCATCACAGCAGGCATCGTCTAACCAGAATTTTTAGGAAAATCGTATTGTACAACTTGTCGCGTGTGATCGAGTGAAGTATAAACTTACCACAAACGCCGTCGTTGACTTGTGACGACTTGATATAAGCTGGTATGTGTCCTTTATTCTCGCAGTAATAGTGACCGTGAGAACAAGCAGAGGTGCCTACAAAACGACTGATTACTCTTTGCTTTTCTAGATAGCCTGTTCATCGTTTTTATATGCACGGTACCTGGTTCATCCGACCCATCAGCGCAGTCGCAGTAATCGTCGTTCACCGAGGAGTAAGGTATTTTTTTCGAACCGTCCAGACATTCCCACTGATGGCCAGCAAGAGAGGCGTATAATTCATATTCTTTTCGCAGTTTCAGTATCAAAGAAAATGAGTAACAAGGTTTTTCGGTGCACGCGACATGAATAGCCAAATCTTACTTGCAGGATCGACTCCTTTTACAGCAGGCGTGGCTGCCTGAGCGAGCCAAGTAGCTGAGAGAATGCAAGGGACAGTAAGCGACAACTGGCTCAATGCAACCATAATGACACTTGCAGTCTATGGAGGAACAGCAGCAGCGGAGTTGTTCTTGTCGCCTTCTACGTGCTGCGATGCGATTTCTCGTCATTTTCAGACACAGATCCACCGAAATGGTAAAAGGCATACAGCACGTAACATAAGTACTTCAATATAAATAGTAGGTTTTTATGAATGGGTAGGGATACCAAAGGACTGTAAATATGAGATAGAAATACACAAATGAGAAATTGATTAAATTGGACAGGTTACAATTATTATTCTATCCGTAAATTATTAAGCAAGTCTTCGGCAGAGATCATTTCACCGTCTGTATCGATAACAACGGAAGGCAGACTGGGTTCCTCTCGAGCATTCTGGCCACGCTCGCGACGATTGCCTCTTCTTTGTCGCGAACGGATATCCACATCGCCAGTTCGAAGTTTCTCTAACAAGTTGTCCATCATACGACGATCGTCCTCTGTGCCAGTATTCGCTTCTATAAGAAGGAAAAATAAAAAAAGTCTGAGTCCAACATTCCAATATAGATAAAAGTCAACTTACCGTCACTAATGTCCACAGCCTCGACTCTAGGTTCAGAAGTTGGAGCGGCTTCTTTCAATGCCGCCGCCTTCTTTGCCTCCAAGCGCTGTTTTCTTTCTTCTTCTTCGCGTTTGCGCTTCTCTTCACGCTCTTGTTTCTGGCTGTATTTCTCTTCCGCAATAGCCGCATCCTATACCAATATTATTATGAGAATGAATCCAGCGAGTAAACACCCGGTCAAGTAAGCCTGTACAACCCTACCTTCCAGCTATTGACAAATCTAGCAAAGTTGCCAAAAAAGTCATCAGGACGCATCACTTTGGGATTTTCGCCATAGTACACCATGACATCCTTCCACTTGGCATCCATATTGATATACAACGTCTCCAGCTCCTCAAATCGTTCAGTGGCGTTATTGCGAAGCGTATTCATCACTTCAACAAATCGATCGCCTTCTTCAAGCTCCACATCTTCTGGTTGCCATTTCATGCCCAATTCTATGTCCAGCTGCTTCAGTCCTTGACGTAACTCTGTGTACTGCTGTACCATGTCGTTGACACTAGCCATGACTATGCAAAGCGTAAGTTTTCATTTTGTTACAATGCGAGCTACTTGTTTGCTTCCAACGAAAAAGAAAAACCTACTTCGCGTTGCTTGGCCCACGTCCTTTAAATCGTGCAAAAACTCAAGTACATGTGGGAACTGACGCCGGATGATGCCCGTCAACACGTGCAATAAATTCAATGATGAGATATTGGATGCTTTCGTATCGGCAAGCTGTAGGGAAAAACAACATGATGAGCATATCCAGGTTTTTCCACAACAAAAATAGCCTTTTTTTTTTTTACCTTGTTGATACTTGAAATACGCATACCAAACGCTCCACCTTGCAAGCTGGTAGCGTTCATGAAATTGCCGAGTAATAAGATTAACTAGACGCAACACAACATCGTGAGGAACATTCTCAGCATGTGTCTTGAACGGGTTGACTCTTACCCCGAGCAATTCTTTCAAACTCTGTGAATTTCTCAAGGCATCGGAAACATTCAATACGACGGTCATATTCTACGCCAGCAACCAGTTAGAGCGCACCCAATCACAGCCATAGTAGAATGTTTTCACACATACATTGGTAAGTTGGTCATATTTTTCCCAGAACTGTACACGGAAGAGCATAAACTGCAGACGTGTCTCGTAGCGATAACTTCTCATCATCTATGACACCAGTCAGCCATCTTTTGCGATTTAAAGCATGTTAAGGATGCCATCACTTTACCACCACAATAAAGTAATCCGGTGTATCGAGTTCTTGACATTCTTCGTCCGAAGCCTTGAGATACTTCTCCATGGTTTTCAGATTGTCATCCTTATTCGGCAGATAGGTGATGAGATTCGAAAGGAAAATCTCGGAACACAATGTATCATCCACACGCAGGATATGCTGGCGCACTTGTTCAAAGCTGTCGAAATTTTTGACTCTAGGCAACACCGCAATATCTATTCCACATCATCAGTGCCATATTTTCTGGCAAGCAGGAAGTATGGGACTTACTGATACTTCTACTCTTTTCTTTTGTAAGGAATTTGATGACATCCTTTCTTTCTTCGACTTTGGCTTTCAGTCGACGCTCAAAGAAGTTGTTGATCTTGGCCGGGAACAGATCCTCGATCGTATTGAAAACGCCCGTCTTGTCCAGAATATCCTCTAATTCATCCTCTTTCGCATCGATCGTCTTCCACAGCGTCTTGTCCACACCGCGAGCATCAAGTTTTTGCCATTGCAAGTTCTTCAATTTTACCTGTGGATAATGGCGCAACTCTTTGCGAGCAGGTCCCACAGGAACAGCCGGAATCATCGGACCGCCGGGACCTACATTCTCGGTTAACGCATCGATTTATATTGTAAGTGCACCTGTATAGTTTGAATCTACCTGGTGGAGGTGGTGGCGGCGGAGGAGCTCCAGGACCTCCTGGTGCTGTAGACAAGACACATTATGATGAGATTTGACTAATTATCGGATTCTATCTGCGGTACTTACGTGGGGGTGGGGGCGGGGGTGGAGCGGGTCCACCGGGAGCTATTGGACACATAAAGGCTGTTAAAAAAATGTCGAGCTTTTAAACTGGAGACATGTATCTTTAAGACTTACGTGGTGGAGGTGGCGGTGGCGGTGGCGGACCTACGCCTCCTGGAGCTAGAAAAGTAATAATTTTGAATACATTGCATTTATGAAATGGACTGTTGCATCGTTGGACTTACGTGGTGGAGGAGGTGGTGGTGGTGGTGGCGGCGGAGCAAATCCACCTGGCGCTGGATTATGAAGCACGTTAAGGTCTAATTTTTTTTCCAAAGGACCATCGTTCGAACTTACGTGGAGGAGGTGGAGGCGGTGGAGGAGGAGGAGGAGGAGCGATACCTCCAGGCGCTAAGCAAGGTTGAGGATAAGTATATTCTGAGAGCACAGGCCTATGTATGTTGCACGTACGTGGAGGAGGCGGAGGTGGTGGAGGCGGGGGAGGTGGAGCACCTGTGTCTAAAATGATGCAACATATGTCAATAGAGATTACTCTGGTATACGTGACGCTGTGCGTACCAGATAATTCGGTTGCTGGTGGCGGCGGCGGAGGAGGAGGAGGAGGAGGAGGAATAGTTGCAGAATGGGTGGTGGAGGCTATATCATCATATATGAATAACAGTACTTATCCTACGATAAGATCGAGCTAGCTTACATGATAACGACTCTTGAGATACAGGTTCGACTATCTTTGTGTAAGCCTTTTTTCTTTCTGTGCACATTGGTAAATATCTGTCAACTTACTGTGTGGCGGAGGTTGCGGAGCAGGTGATGAATGGTCTGTAAGCGAAAATTACTCATTAATATGATAGGCTTGCATGGTGTGAGGCTATCGACCTACCTTTGCTGGATGATGAACTCTGCTGATCTGATACAGCTGTAGGAACAGGAGAGCCCGAGACCTTTAAAGGATCTGGTAAGAAGAGAGGGTCATACAATTGTTAAAGGATCTTTTCTTACCGTTGAAGCTTCGTTGGTCCCCTTTCGTCGGTTCCTATTGGAAGCCTTCCAATCTTCACCAAGTATAATGGTCGAATTGCTTGGCGAAGGGGTGGGAGAGCCGTAGTTATCTGCCAAATCGGATCTTTCTTTAAGCTGACTCTGTAACATGGCAATCGTGTTTCTGGATGTACGCAGTAACGCTCGCAATGACGCATTCTCCATTTTGAGATTCAACGAGCCTACGGATAATAAAATATCACTATTAGCCGTGTCTTTCAATGTAATAATACCATGGTTTCCGTAGGCTTACGTCGAGGCATGGGCGAATCTTCCAAAGCTACTGCTGCAGGTGGCGGTGCCCCGTGCGATTTAGCTCCACGAAGATATTCTATTTCCAGCTTCAATTCCTTGTTCTCGGCACCGAGTCTTAATAGTTTTTCTCTGTCCCGGCTTGCTTCCTCTTCTATACGCTTCAACCGCTCCAGTTCACCAAACTTTTGGATAAGGTTTCCAACCGATACACCATACGTTGTACTGAAGTCTCCGGAAGACACGCCACTTCGTCGATCCATCACGATCTGGTTCACCAGCTCGCTGATCATTTGGTGATAATGTGTTCTATAACAACGTAACCACAAATACTCATGTCAGCAATTACCCATATGACCAAACGTTTTCTCCTCTCTTGTTCCTACTTTGTCTCAGCATCGCCTTTGATGAGAAGCATACTGCGGAAGGTGGCGATCAAGGAATCCAAGGCCTGTGGAGCGTCAGCGATATTATCAAGAATGAGATCCAGTAATTCCGCAGGCTGCGATATATCGGAGAACATGGATAATTCATCGCCAAAAGCATCATCGAGATCGTTTTCTGCACCAATTTTGTACGTTTCGATTTGAACGTTGAGCAGATGATAGTTGAGAGCTTCCAGCTTTGGAAGGATACGAGCCATGCCCGCTGCATTCAGTTGGTTCCGTAAATAAATACGTTCATTGACGTCGGCCGGTACTTTGGTGAGCACATTCACAAGCATCATATTGGACAACTTTTTTGTTTGACAAAAAAATGGTATAAAATCAGTCGGATCATGAGCGGTTTATAGAGGTATTAAGTCCTTACCGCATATTCAATGAGATGGTTATCGGGTGCGTTGTAGACACCGAGTCGCTTCAGGTCATCACTGGCGCCTACCAAGGATCCCATACGACCACGGCCATCGACGGTCTGCTCCAAATCACAAAACCATGCATCAAAAAGGCCCAAGTCTTGTCTGTGTTCCTGCAGCATGCGAAAACCTTGTAATACGTGCTCGTGGCCTACAGGCACTTCACAATGACAAAGAAAGAAGAGGATATCACAGATCATTTTTCTGGTTTGCCAGTGAGGACAAACCAGAGAAAAGACCAATACATGGATATACGAAGGATGCGCTATAGACTCGCGAATACCCCACTAATAATAATGCAATTTCACATTAGCATGCGGTATGATCCGAACTTCATTCAACCATGTGTGTACATACGCGTGTGTTTAAGAGGACTTTGATGCATTTTACAATTTCCACTTCAAGATCAAGCGTGCGGTCCTTTCTAAAGAATTTCAAAATGCTTAAGATCGAGGATCGTTTACTTTGTATTTTGGCATATATCAAGTAAGCCTACCTTTCTGACAAATGGTTGAGATAGCCTAGTCCATTGGTGAGGGCGTAGACACCCTTTAGTTCGATAAATTTGATGACCCAACTGTAAACAAAGGAAAATTTGTTAATTGATATGACCTACAGACGAAAAGCTCTTTCTTTTTGGGTCTTACTCGATGGGTCGGGTTCGTAAACTGACTTCCAGATTAGCGGCCACTGTGGCGTTCACCGCTCGTAAATCGGCTTCCATAAATTTTCGAATATAAAACTCGGGTGAGTTACGATCGGTTGCACTCGGTACCGTAGGTTCATAAGCGTTGTAAATCGACGCTGGTGGGGAGGTGGAAGTGGAGGTCATGGGTGCTACGGGAAATGCCATGCTTGCGGATGAACGACGTGGATTTGGTAGCTGGCTCGTTCGATTGGAATGTCTTTCTACCGCCCGCGCACCGGCGTCCACAGTGGCTGACCACATTTCACCTGCTTTCTCGGCCAAGATATTGATCAGCGGTGGCGGTGTATCCCTGCCATCCTCTGACTGTAATTTATGCCCCGAAGCCAACATTTCCGCTTGTCGATCCTGATTGATCATCAACCACTTCTTATCGATATCCCATGCTTTCATGCTATCCCTTATACGTCCATCCCGAATTTCTCGTCGAGCCTAAACGAAAAAGTCAGTGTGAGAATACAAGATTGAGCCGGTACAAGCTCCTTGTACACTTGCCAGCATTTCATCAAACATTCTGTCAATGTCCTCGTTCGAAGGTCTAGGCATCATGACACGTGAAGGATCTAATGGCGGATGACCTGCATGATAAGAGTCAGCCGTTCCATTCAACCAAAATATTGCAATAAAAAAAAGTCAAGCAGAGCAACATCCTGTTCCCCATTGTGTTCCTTTGACAATTTCCTTACCCGAACTTGATCCTTGCATGGAGTACCGAGCGCTTCCGCCTATGTTGTAAAGTTGAAAATTGTCAGCCACTAGTCGCAATCCAGAACTACGATGTAGTTCGGGAGTCAATACATACCGGTCCGCTCATCGGCAGGTTTTGCTTTTCTGCGTCCCAGACTGCTGAAGAAGTCAGACATAGCATGAGACTAGGAAACAAAAAGAGAATAGCAAGAAAAAGCGTACCTGGGCTTTGCTGAATTTCGAGCTATTTTCGTTGCAGGATTTCACGGTCCGCACAGCGGTTGAAACGGGTTTTGCCTGTGATTCGGGACCACCAACAAAAAAACATTAGAAAAGAAGCGCGGTTCATCAAGTCTTGCCCACCACGTGCTAGAAATGTATTACGATCTTAATGTTCCTTGTGAATCCCAACCAAACAGAATCGCTATTGATCGCTTGAAGCTTATCTTGTCTCGATTCAGTCAGCGTAAGCATCACTTTCTTTCATTGATCCCCTTAATGCAACAAAAAGTTCAACTCTCAGCTGACAGTAGCTTGCAGTAGATCAAACCGTCGTTGCCCTCAATTGTTGTGTGTCTGAAAAAGATCTCCCTAATGTACTGATTTCTCGCTCAGCATAAAATGTTCATGAGTTTACTAATGCAACAATTTGGCTTTCCAGGTAAAACCCTTGAACGAAATTCCGTTTGATATCGTCAAACACCCGGTTAAGCAACTGACGCGTATTACCATCGAAACCAGCAGTGCTGTCTCCAATGTAAGGAAGCATGGTTACCGCCTATCAAGGCAGTTCATGTTGCTGATATTATGTAGGATACCTTGACCCAATTAAGATCCACATTCGACCTTATCGCCGTGCGGCCCTCCACGCTCAATACATTTGAAGATGCATGCTACAACCTCAACATAGATATCATCTCTCTCGACTGTTCTGTACGTTTACCTTTCAGGGTAGACGCGCACAGTGTACAGAAAGCCATTCAGCGAGGCGTTTACTTTGAAATTACTTATTCAGCGGGCATTCGAGGTGCGTTCCTTGTTTTCTTTTGGCTACGCTGCGATCAAGTGTTAAATATCATTATTAGATACTACTGCAAGAGGCTACTTCCTGCAAGTTGCAAATATTTTGGTCTGTGCAACCAACGGAAATAATCTCATTGTATCAAGCGAAGCGGAAACTGTAGCTGACCTACGCGCTTCATATGATGCGTTTTATCTGTAAGTGACCTTTTCGACAGTTTTGGCATCATTCATCCAAATTTTAACCCACGGAGGTAGTATGAAATCGTTGAGTTTGCCGAACGATAAGGCACAATTTGTCACTGGAAAGCACTGCGAACAATTACTACGAAAAATCGGTCACTAAAACCTTAAACCACCCATAGACTTATCATCCCTTTGCACCCTGAAAAAAGACCATCATTCCACCGATTTGTCCTGCTGTGATTTCATAACTTGTGTATTTATTGGAAAGCATTGTATGTAAAAAAGTAAAAATGAAGTTGTAGACGACATCTATACGGATAATTCAGCCTTGACCTTGTCTTTGAGGACATCGGCATAGGGAGCGAGAGCAGGTTGCACATGTTTTTCGATGAAGGAATCGACCTGCTCGGGAGCACGGCCAATGAAAGTACTGGGATCAAGCAAAGCAGGAAGCTGTGAAGAAACAATAAAAAAAGTCATGAATTCCTTGTTCAAAAACCTGAAGATGCTATTGAGCTTACCTCTTCCCAGATCGGCTTGAAGTATTCGGTCTTCTTCACACGTTCAATGAGATCGTTTTCACCACCTTCCATCTTGACGACGTGCGCGGCTTGATGGGACAAGACACGGATTTCTTCGTGGCATTCTTGACGATCACCACCCTTCTTGACCATGGCCATGATGATGTTTTCAGTAGCCATGAAGGGAAGTTCTTGCGAAATACGACGGGCAATGACCTTGGGATATACGACCATACCTTCGCAGATGTTCTGAAGGGTGGTCAACAAGATATCGGTGGTCAAGAAAGCTTCGGGAAGAGAGATACGGCGAATGGCACTGTCATCCAATGTACGCTCCAACCACTGGACGGCGCTGGTCTGCAAAGCATCGTTGACCAACACCATCAAATGACGCGATAAGGAGCACACACGCTCACTACGCATGGGGTTACGCTTGTAGGCCATGGCAGATGAACCGATCTGGTCCTTCTCAAAAGGCTCTTCAATTTCCTTCAAATTCGCCAACAAACGAATATCCGTGGCCATCTTGTGACAAGTGGCACCAAAGCCGGCTAAAGGATGCAAGACATCAATGTCGATCTTGCGAGAATAGGTTTGTCCACACACAGGATACGCTTCTTTGAAACCAGAGAGCTCGGTGACCAATTGATCCAATTCCTCGACCTGTCGTTACACATGCATCCATCAGTGAAACTGCCCAGTCCCGCTTTCCCACCATTTTCATTGCCAGGCATGTCATTTTTTATTTACCTTGGAATGATCGCCGTTGAACAAGGCCATGAACGACGCCTGGGTACCGGTGGTACCCTTGACACCGCGCATCTTCAAATCGTCACGGGCACGCTCAAAGTTGCGCAAATCCCAAAGCAATTCTTGGATCCACAAAGTGGCACGCTTGCCAACTGTGACGAGCTGGGCGGGTTGGAAATGAGTAAAGCCCAAAGTAGGCAGATCACGATATTCTTTAGCGAACTTGCTCAAAATATCAATGACATGAACAAGCTTCTTGATGACAATATCGTACGCATCGCGAAGGATAATCAAATCACCATTGTCTATAATCACATGTTTTCGGTGAGTTTTTCTTTTTCTCTGCTTACTCTCGCCTCCACGCATAAAGTCCACGGTTTGCACTTACCAGTAACGTAGCAAGAGGTGGCACCAAGATGGATAATACCAGCAGCCTTGGGAGCAACAAGACCAAAAGCGTGGACATGGGCCATAACATCGTGACGACGCTTCTTTTCCTCGGCCGCAGCGACTTCATAGTCGATGTTATCAATGTTGGCGCGCATTTGCTCGATAGCTTCGTCGGTGATATCGGTCAAACCAAGACGTTGTTCAGCAATAGCCAAGTTCAACCAGAGCTGGCGCCAGGTGGAGTAACGCTTATCCTCGGAGAAGTTATAAGCCATCTCCTTGGACGCATAACGGGACGTCAATGGCGATTGATATTTGCTGTGAGACATGGTAAAACGGTTGGTGAGAAACAAAAAAAAAGCCTGGGTGCTTGTTCAGCGCCTCTTTTTTTTTTAACTCGTTCACTGATGGAAATGAGTCGCATTTCCCCATCTGTGGCTTGTGGGGGGTTTCCTCCATGCCCGCTGCGGACCCTCAAAATGGGGAATATCGTTCCGCATCCTTGCCGAAAGCAGGCCAAAAAAAAAAAAAAAGAGGGAAGAGGGAACAACAGATCAGAGAAATTCCCCAACCATCATAAACATTATGAATTTCTTATCAAGCGTTCAGTCCGTCAGACTGGGCGTTCGGACCTTTTCATGTACAAGTGTTGCATTGTCCAAGCGAGCACAACTGAAAAAGCCAAATATATCAACCCTGACAAAGCATCTAAAGCCGGATGGAATGACCGGTCGAGAACGACGTAACATGCTGAAAGACAAATTGAAGAATGCTCGACCAAAATCAAAATCGTTGCCCTATGTTCCTGTCAAGAAACGATTAGAAACTATTCAACCGACACTCTCACAGCTCCCTACACAAAACGTTCGTGAATTATCAAAGATCCTGGCCGATCGTACGTTTGCTGATCTTGGTCTGTCACCGACGATGCTCTCTGCCGTACGTGACGATCTGAAGCATATCGACGATCCTCGACCCACCGAGATTCAAGCGCTCTCTATTCCTCAGTTGCTCGAACGAAAAAATCGACATGTACTGTGTGCAGCTGAAACAGGATCAGGCAAGACGCTGGCGTACCTGGTCCCAATCATCGAGTGTCTAAAGATTGACGAGCAAAAGGGGGTCAAGCGTCGACTAGATCACCCGCGGGCCATTGTCTTGGTCCCCACCCGGGAGCTAGTTGGCCAAGTTCTCAAGACATGCAAATCGTTATCTCATAAAGCCAAATTTCGAAGCATGGCATTGAGTGGACGGACTCCGCGACATCAATTGGTTGAAAAGCTGGCTGACGGTCCTATCGATATACTAATCACGACACCCACCACGCTGATGAGTTATGTCAAAGACCGGACCCTTTCACTGGCAGAGACAAGATATTTGATGATCGATGAAGCGGATTCCTTGTTTGATGCCGGATGGGGAGATGATTGTCGTGTCGTTATCAGGAAAATACAAGATATCGCGGCGCAGCATAAATTTGTAGAAAAAATTATCATTGTCTCGGCTACGTTACCTCGATCGGTTCATTCTACACTGGATCAGCTATTCCCCAAAATCCTGAAAATTACCACGCCCTCTCTGCATCGCGCCCTGCCTAATTTGAAGCAGTCCTTCATCGATCTTCAAAAATTTAACGGCAATCGTCAGCTGGCGCTTTTGGAGGTGTTGAAAAAGAATATCAAAGACAAGAAGACGCTAATCTTTTGCAATACGAAGAAATCAGTGGAATTACTACATCGATGGTTAGAAACCAAGAACATCAACGCATTGGCGCTCTACAAAGATGCTCCCATGAGTCGCGAAGAGTGTTTGGCATTATTTTCCAAGCCTGTTGCCGATGAAGATGAAATTAAGCAAGACATTCTTATCAGCACGGATATCGCTTCAAGAGGCATCGATACAACCTTTGTGGATCACGTCATTCTTTATGATTTCCCTGATTCCGTTGTAGACTATCTTCATCGAGTGGGTAGAACAGCCAGAGCTGGACAAACAGGCAAAGCGACGTCTTTGATTGGACGTAAGGATCGTATGCTTTCAGAACGGTTCCGTCGGTCCATCAGAGATGGCACAGTTTTGACATAATCTACAATATGTGCATTTGTTATATATATCATGTATTCATTGACACTTTTCATATTTCTCAGAGGTGTGATTCGTATCACACTATCATTCAAACAAATAAATGATATAAGCAACCAGTAAGAAGAAGTATATGGGGTTATTTTAAGGCTGCTGATTCCAAGCATGATGGGAAATTGAGAGCTTACTTTTAATTGGGTGACGGACCCTACTTGGACTGTTTCTCTGTGACTTGGCACAATAACTGTCCTGGGCACCGCTTTGTTAACAAAAAGAAAATTTTTTGGCTGCTCCGGTCAAGCAACCCCTTTCCTTACTGTCCAACCTGTTTTTATTGACATGGATGGCTAAAAGAGTCATGAATGTAGCAAGAACAAATGATGGTATGTATATGATATTTTTCTTTCTTACGCGCCGCAGCATGTGTTTAGGATGAATCTTTTAATGGAGAGGCTATTTGACAATGATCGAACACTTTTTCTGATTTGCTCACTGACAAACACATTAAATGCTGAATGCTCGTTTCTTCTGACGTGAATTTTTGTGAATGGTCACTAATGTTTAATTGATTTGTATAGATGCACACGATAGCTTATGGATGAAATATTGGCTTATGATATCTCAAGCACCAGGTAAGAAACCCACCTTGCACCCAATAATTTAAAAAGATGCCTGTGTGTGCCATTTCAGTTTGATACATATCTATATTACCTTAATTCATAATGTTGAATAAACGACTATTTGAAAAAAAAAAAAAAAAAACAATGATGATCTTTGGTGTTTGTTTGATGTGAGAACTTTCACAAGCAAGGAACGAAAGTGGAATACACCAGTGAAAGGAAAGCAATCTTTTTTTATTTTCAGGAAAAGTAAAAATTTTCTATCAATTCGACTCATTGATGGCAGAGGTGCAAACCAAATGAAAGTTATGCTTCCAAATGCAGCTTGCAAATCGGCTCCTTGGTTGTAAGTTCTCTTTTTTCCTTGAGATGGATATCGTGAATGGTTATGATTCGGCGTTTTCCCTTTTCTCTTCAGGCACTCGATGAAATTAGCGAAAGAAAGGTCTTAGAGGTCGGTCGCTTTGCTTTCAGAAACGGATATTACATCTGTTGCTGTTAATACTATGTAAAGCTGAGCGTGTGCTTGATAACGAGCATATTTTACTACATAGTTTGCAAGATGCACCGCTTCCAATGCATTTTAGGGTTACTGTGTCAGCCGCTACCCTATCAGACACTTTGTGGTTGAAGACCGAATGATACGAAATATCTGCTTGCGCTTTGTTGATATTTCAGCTCTGAATAAAAAGTATATAGGAGCATTACTCACAGTTCCGATGGAACTGTATGCTTGAAGCTTGAGCAGTTGCTTGGCCCCTTACGCGCCTTATTTGATTTCATTGCGTTGATTGTTTATCATTATAAAGCAGTAGCCTGGTTTATGGACCGTGAATGTATGTACAGCGATCTCAACTGAAAGCTTTTTTCAATGTTTTGTAGGGGGAGTGGGCTCAGGATCTCAAGTGGAAATGACGAACCAGACGGGTCGCAAAAGGGGCCAGTCGGAGTTTATAATTTGGTGGCTTTTTCTGATCATATAAAAATGGCAGTGCCAGCGTTAGAACACACTTGGTGACACCATCTTTCTGTTCTTTGTTAGCTTAAACATGGACAGACCTGTTTCTGATTATAATTCGTCTATGCGTTCAGAATATCCACCTTTAAGGTCGACTGAGCGCCCGCCACGCAATCGTTCGTTGTCCCCGCCTCGTTCGTCTTCGTCGCATTTAGACGATCGCAAATACAGAGATGACTACAGAAGAGATTATCACGATCGCGGCCGTTACAGAGATGATCGTGATCCTGACTATGGACGTTCAAGTCGCCCTCCAAGAGACAGTCGCGAATATTCCCGTCCCACCCGATACAGAGATGAACGTGATTATCCACGCAGTGACCGATATGACCGTTACGATCGCTACGACCGTTATGACCGTGCTCGCGGTAGTGGAAGTTCTTACGATCGTTATGACAACCGTCAGGGAGGAAGCTATCGATCAACGTATCCTCCTCGACCGCGGTCTAGACGAACTATTGATAGGTAAACTATTGTCATAAAAGGTCTTACGCGCTGCGGACAGTGGGCTCATATGTGTTTAGAGGGACTGAAGAAGATCGACAAGTATCAACCACGATTTTTGCCGGTAACATCCCTTATGCATTCCGTGAACGCGATGTAAGTAGCGTACAATACTTGCGAGGCATTATGACTGAAATAACATTCAATCTTTCAGATTGCTTCCATGTTTGAACGATACGGTCGTCTCGCGAAAGTCACTGTACCTATGGATGCCATCACAGGCAAAAACAAAGGGTAACATTTCTCGACACTGGTTTTAATTTTTACTACGATTATTATCCGCTGGTGTTAATTCAGATATTTTTATCTAGCTTTTCATTTATTGAATTCGAAGATCGCAGAGATGCTGAAGATGCTTTCGATAAATTTCAAGGCTTCAGTGTGGAAGGACGTAGACTCAAGCTTGATTGGTTCGTCAACAATGGCTGTGACTTTTCGCCTGCGCTTTTGATTAACCAGTGTCATTTTTTAGGGATATTGGACTGTCAAAGAAAGATGAACATCGCGGCGGAGTAAGAGCAGGCGATGATACTCGAAGCTCGCGCCCATTACCTCCACCACCCCCACCATTACCTGCGGACGATTATCGCGACCGGTAAGTACACAAACACCAACCCTTATTTTTATTCTTCGAAAAATTCATATTCACATCTTAGCAAATGATTCTGTCGTTGATAGAGCGCCGTCTTTGACCGATTCATGTAAGTACCATGCATCATTGGTCTCATTATATGACGAAACCTAATATCTGACGTTAATAGATGGCACCCGACCTCTGCCTTCAGATTCTCGTGGCTTTAGACGCAGTTCACCTCAACCCTATCGTTGATAAACAAAACAGAGTTCGAATGAGACCCAAAACAAAACAATCGCGAATTTCAGATATTTGGACTATATTTTGTATGATGCTGATGAGGAAGAAGAGGAAATGATGATGATTTTTCGATAAGTGGATACTCGCAGATGATGATGATGATGACTCGGCAACCTCAGTGAATCGCCCCAAAGACAATGCCGGACAAACTTATGAAATTGTTTCGATCCCCAAAACAAAAAGAGGGATTTTCGACTGTTTGAATATGTTGATATTGAAGTTGGATGGATAAACATTATTACATTGGTTACGTAGGTAAGACATGCTCATTGAATGGACAATATAAGTTACAATGTGTATCGAAAGTTAGGATGGTTATCGTACAGTTTCTCCACATCTTGGGCATGCAGCATGGTTCCCTGAGGTCCATGCTCGCGATCACGACGGTCATTTTCCCGTTTCAACAGAAATCGCAGTGTTGCGGCCGAAATGCCGCCCAGTGTCATGAACGCGAGACATATGACATGCCCTTTCACGTACCGTGGAGCATCTGCCGGTTTGTAGATCTGGGTGCCCAGCATGCTGAAGCACTGAGCTACCATGCTCGTCATGGCGATGGCGACCCCGCGTTTCGTGTGACCGAGTTGATTGTTGGATACCCAAGACAAGGTCAGCGGAATGATAGGGTAGATACCGCACGCTACGAGAATCGCTCCTGTATATCGCAATCCGACATTGAGGGTCGCCAGCAAGAAGATGTAACCCAATACACCAAGGAACGATACGACCATGATGTGGTATCCACGCTGCCTTGTGCGATCCGAGTTCCACGCAACCACCTAATGCACGTTTTTGGAAAGTGTGAGCGAAGAATACATCAACACAGATCAGGGAAATCTTACAAATACAAGCGTGCATGCAGCGACATACGGCGGAATGGAAAGCAATTGGGCGTTCAGCGAACTGAATCCCATATCGCGTATAATGGTCGGCAAAAATACGGCATAACTTGCCAACGCAACGTTGAGACCAATATAAATCACAACTACGCATTTCCATGACCCGAGTTAGCACACATGACAAGGAGAAGGATCCGATAAACAGCTCAGTGGTCAGATTGTCGCGTTAAAGGATTACCTGCCAGCCAATTTTTGTAATCGAGCAGCGCAGCGAGAAATTGGTGCCTGTCAAAAAGCGTGTTGTCGGTATTCCCACTATGTTTGATGCGCAAAAGTGCCACTTGTTTCTCAGCAGGCGTGAGCCATCGTCCTCCTGTCATTTCCGGTCTGTATGTCAAAAAAAAGTCTTTGGGGATCAATATTGTTATGCTCAGGAGTAGGTTTTGGATATGCAAACCACTTACGTGTCAGGAAGAATCCAGAAACTCAAAAGGCCAAAGACGATGGTGGGTGCAGCTTCTACGATGAAAAGCCATCTATTGTTGCGCGGCATCAGAGAGAGTGCCATCACGTTGCCCATGCTACTTTTTTATACTAGCCTCCATCCTGCTACACCATGCGCGCCATTTAAATCCTTCAACACGCCATAAGCAACCGCACCAGCAAATGCACCAGCTAATGTCGAAGACCCGAAATAGATGGCGACGCGAAGTGCCAGCTCGTTAGGCTGATACCAAAATGACAAAAACAGTGGCGTGGCCGGTCCCACCCCCGTTTCAAAAACACCCAACCAGAAGCGACAGGCAATGAGTCCCGATGCATTTCGCACTGCTGCTTGACTGTTCAAAGGCATTCTCGTTGGTACCACGCATCGTATGCAGTTCCAAGTACCGTTGCCCACTTACCATATTGAACAAATTCCCCACAGCACCATGGTGCCTGATATCCATCGCGATGGTCTCAAACTTTTTTGTGATGGATACCATTTTAATGATTCGTATACAGGGGTTGTGGAAATAAGGCACACTTACATTCTCAATACCATGTTGGATGGGATGTGAAAAAGCACGTATCCAGCAAAGAAAATGGTGACAGCGGTATAATAATCATCGCCTATCAGATTGAGGTCCTTCTCTAGCGATCCAAGCTTTGCATTGCCAATGTTATTTCTATCCAAACTCAACATCAAGTATAGAAGAGCGAGCCATGGAATCAATCTGTAGCGCGAATGAGATCCCCTGAGTAACGTATCAATCCCACGACTCAAATAAAAACCTTAAATCAATCTTGCGTATCAATTTCTTCTCTATGGTTTGAAATTCTTCTTCTGTAAAGGTGTTGGAATCATTTAGTGGTTCTTCCATTTGGTTATATGCTTCATGCTGGCTTGGTTGAGAAAGGGAATCTTTTGATACTGTTAGCATGCTGTCATACGTAAGAAAAAAAATCACGAAAATGGGTAAAAGAAAAAAAAAAGAGAAAGTAAAGGAAAAGAAAGCTGCACGAATAGATGCATCAGTTAATTCCTCCTGGGAAATCCTGGCGTAATAAAAAAAGCCATATGTGGTTAAAAACATTGGGAGGCTTCTCTTACTAATGTCGTGGATTTATTTCTATTGGATAGAACCATTTTTTTTTTGATCTTGTGATCGCACTGCTTAACCGAAAGATCAAAAACTTCAAAGGACTCAATTCCAAATTTGATACCGAGCCATGTTTCTTTCAAAAACCGAACACTCCAACTGCATAAAACGTCATCTGGCTTTTCCTCTCTTTGTGTGTTTATTGAGCAAATATTCAAACAAAGAAGCAATTTGATGATCGGCCTGAAAGATTACAAAATCTGGTAAGTCCCCTAAATTCTTCACTCATGAGCGACTGCCACCTTGAATCGAATAATGAGAGCTGAAAGACCTTGGCTGAACATTATGTTACCAGTTTGGCACGTCGTTATTGTTCGCAATTGTAGGCTGATGTGTAACGAATAAGAGATGCCACAATGCATGGGAATTTGATTACCCGAAGGCGGATCTAAACGCAATTGATGATTACAGTTTTGGTTGCTTACATGATGAGATGGAAATATATTATGACGCTGTTATTGTGCATGAAAACATATGATGATGCCACAAATATGCTGTATCCAAATCTATAATCTGCTATGAAGCCATTCTTTAACGTCATTCACAATGGATTGGTTGCCAGAATTAATAAGGCCCGGGATCTCGATTTTGATCTTCTCTATTGCATCCATTACTGCATTCTGAGAGTAGCGACAACCTACATGGAGATAAAAAGGTAAGCTTATGGCTCAATGCCTGGTTCATAACTTGATTTTGATGCATATCTGATTACCTTCTAAAGCAACTCCGATGGCCGAGATAATGGTGACCTGATCGGCATCCCCAGAACCGGTAGACAGATCTGCTTCGAGAATCATGCCGTGTCTAGAACGGATCGATGCTCGCTACCAACATGTTTCAACAAATTGAAAGCGCCTAACCAAACAAAACCCAAAACCCACAAAGTACACTTACCACAGCGCCCCAACTGAACTGATGATCGACATTGTGGGTAAATTCTGGTGTTTGTCCCCAAATCCAATCCCACGTTTGCAATTCTTTTCGGGTATTTTCCACTTTTTCCGGCAGTTGATGCACATTTGTCTCGTTGAAAACAACAGGCTAATCAGGTTCGTTAGATACGGCTGGCTCCATGGCAACAAGTCATCATTACCTCAATAGGCAATCCATCATTGTATGCATCTACAAATTCGGATAATACTGATTCGCAAAACTGTTGATGATCGATTGTGTACGAGTATTCACGTAGATTGGTGACCGGTGAAGGCACAGATTCTACGCCTTTGGAAACAATCCCGTCCTAAAAATTGAAGGACTAATGAATGGGATGTGATGCGATAGTAGGAGGTCAGGTTGTATTACATTGTTCATATACTTTTTTGATAAACAGCCCTTCAGCATCTGTGTGTCAGTATCGATCAACATGGTGCCGTGGTGATAAGCTCGCGCACTGATGATCTTGTAAGCACTTCCAGATACTTTATGACCATCAACCGTAATATCATGGCGTTCGTTGACATAAGCCGGAATATCCAATTGCTGTAACGCTCGTGACACCAGCTCTGCGTTGGCTTTTCTCGAGAATTCTTCTCGTGGCATATAAATGGTATATATAGAGTTCCCCATGTCCTGAAATGAAATCACAGTTGAGTGGCTGTCTTTTTTTTCGCCAGAGTTTTTCATTACATCAAAAAAGGGCCTCGATCTGGGAAAAAATCAAGGGAATGGATATCGGAATATCAAACTTACATGATACACTGCCCCGCCTCCTGAACGTCGACGAACTAGAGGAATACCGTGTTGCTGCATGAAGCGTAAATTGCATTCCTTGAAGGGATTCTGGTTTCTGCCAACGACGACACATGGCGTATTGCGCCACAGATATAGGATATACTGATTCGGTTCGGTATCTCGTAACAACCATTCTTCGATGGCAAGGTTGGTGTATGCATCATTGATGGTTGATACGTAGCAAGCGACTTTATTTCTTGCTGTAGAATACGTCCTTGCAGTAGGTTTATAAAATGCCACTCCAATAGAAGGCAATCGACGCCAGCCATGCAAATACTGTCCCAACATGGCCTGCCAAATGGAACTGCTCACTGTATTTCCGGAGCTTCTCTAGCACCCACTTTTTATCGCTCGAAATTCCCCCAAGGCTCCGGGACTTGAAAAAAAAGCCACAGCATCCCCACAAATGCTCTGAAGGCATCAGCAGCCTTATAGCACCAATTCTAATAAAGGTACTAATTATAATTCATCCCGTGCACTGCCACTTTTTCTGCGATGAAAAAAAAAATCCGGAAACGCTAAAATAATCGCCACAACGACTTTGATCAGGCTCTCAACGGCTAATATTAATAGCCGTTATTTGACATTTTGCATACAGGTTGCAACCATGCAACCATATAACTGTACTCAAAAAGTGAAAAACTTGAACAAATATGTTCAGCCGGATTAATGCAAAAAGCGACTTTTCTGACGTTTACTTTACTCCACATTTGCTTTGTATATGACAGTGAAACCAGAATGGTAAAACTTCACAGCAAATATTGAAATGTTTCTGACAACTTCCATGGCAACATAAGGCTCCACATCCGCAAGAACAGTGGTATGTCTATCAATTGCGAACGGAGCAGAGACTTTGTTTGTTGCTACGTTTTCCATTCACGACACAGAAAAAAGTAAATATTTTTATCCGCCTTGCTCATAGAAATTTCTATTGAATGGTAGAATTGCGCCAATCTCCAGCCATCAAAAGAAAAAAGTAAAGAATTTCCATAAAAAACCTGAACTCTGCAAATAACGGATTATGATGCTTTATGAAAAAAAGGAAGTATATAATTCCCCTTTTTTTGATCCAGTTTGACAAGCAGTAGTCTAAAAATGACAGGATAATAATGTTATGTCCAACCAACGAAAATGCTTATATCTGGGGTACAAGAAAAAAAAAGTGGACGGCACTAAGAGCGTACATTGATCCGTCAGCTGCATTTGATTGGTAGAAAAGAATAAACCTCTCATAGCGCCGCAATGGACGTGGCTTCGAGATGGATGACAGCAACTGTTCTTCTGTCATTGAAATCTTCGGTGGCTTCAAATGATTGTTGCAAGATTATCATTGGCCCATGGGGAAACCCCACTGTGTCGGGGTTTCACTCTGATGGATTGAAAAGCTCCAACTGACTCATCCCTTGAGTCTGCTTTTTCTTTACCCGGCTTGTTTTTTCATTGAAACGACATGTGTGGAATCTCGGCTGTGATCTTGGCAGACCAAAGCGGGTCAGCCTGCCCTGATCTATTTGAGAGTTTAGGACTCTTGCAGCATCGTGGACAAGTAAGTGTATTTGTCTTGTTGATCGACTACGGCCCCCTGACTTAAACTTTCTTTTTATTTGCCTAGGATGCTGCTGGTATTGTGACGTCTGGACCTAAAGGTCGTTTATCCCAGTGCAAAGGAAACGGTATGGTGAGAGATGTCTTTGACGAGCAGCAGCTGTCACGCCTTATCGGCCACCTCGGTATCGGTCACGGTATGTTTATATTCACTAATTTATCGAACAATATCCATGGGGATGATCGATGCTGTAGTACTTAATTACTTACTGTTTCCTGTTACTTAGTTCGCTATCCTACGGCCGGTTCCTCCTCCATGTCTGAGGCTCAGCCTTTCTACGTCAACTCTCCCTACGGTATCGTGTTTGCCCATGTAAGTATATACTTTCTCCACTGTTTGAGGAAGATAAAGAGAACAATGCCATCTGATCCCGTCTATTGATATTTTAGAACGGCAACTTGACCAATGCCCGTGAGATTCGTACCTTCTTGGACAAAGTAGCACATCGTCATATTAACACTGATTCCGATTCGGAACTCCTCTTGAACATTCTTGCTAATAACTTGCAAAAGACTGGAAAATTCAGGTAACGTGTTTGGATGGAAGGGTGAAATATGTCAAACGTGGTTCAGTAAAAACTCAGATATTCCGTACGACAGAGTGAATGAAGAAGATATCTTTACCGCCATCAAGGATTTATATCTTCAGATCAAGGGTGGTTATGCTTGTGTTGCTATGGTCGCTGGTTACGGTATCATTGGTTTCCGTGATCCTCATGGTATTCGGCCCCTTGTGCTTGGTCGCCGTCGCAGTGTGGCCGGTTGGGATTATATGTTCGCGTCGGAAAGTGTCGCCTTGGATGCCTTGGGCTTCACGGATGTTCGCGATGTCAATCCAGGTAAGACAATGGTTGGCAAAAATAAATGCAAAATGGGGCATGAGCGAGAAAAAGAGCAATGACACTTACCTGTTGACAATAAATAGGTGAAGCAGTCATCATTACCGAAAAGAATGTGGCACATCGTCAACTCATCCAGTGTGACTACATGGCCCCCTGTATTTTCGAGTACGTCTACTTTGCCCGCCAAGATAGTATTATCGATGGCATCTCTGTATATAAGTCCCGTCTTGCTATGGGAGAAGCATTGGCCGATCAAGTGATCAAATCCTTTGGTAACAAGATGGATATCGATGTGATCATTCCGGTTCCCGATACTAGTCGTGTGGCGGCTCTTCAATTATCACGAAAGCTCGGTGTCGAATACCGTGAAGGTTTCAATAAGAATCGCTACGTTGGTAGAACCTTTATCATGCCTGGTCAGCAAACGCGACGTAAAAATGTTCGTCGCAAGTTGAACGCCATGGCTTTGGAATTCCACGGAAAGAATGTATTGCTCGTCGACGACTCTATTGTGAGAGGTACCACATCCAAAGAAATCATCCAGATGGCTCGCGATGTTGGTGCCAAGAACGTTTACATTGCTTCCTGCGCCCCTGCTATTCGATACCCTAATGTATATGGCATCGATATGCCAACCAGAAGCGAACTCGTGGCTCACAACCGTACCGATGAGGAAATCGCCGCTGAGATCGGTGCCGATAAGGTGGTTTATCAATCCATTGAAGATTTGGTCAAGTGCGTCCGACGTTTCAATCCCAATATCGAAACCTTTGACACATCGGTGTTTGATGGTCGTTATGTCACTGGTGATGTCGATGACGAATATCTCAGCCATCTTGAAGGTGAACGCAACGATGACTGCAGATCCCGAGCAAGTTTCGACAGCGAAAGCGTCGGTTTACATAATAACTTTTACGGACATTGAGTGTCTGAATGATTCACTATAGAGTTGCTGGTTTTTTCCCTTCAAAATCCTACCGCAAAGAGAAAATAAAACATCATAATTTGTATACACTGCTAACTATAACTCTCCTTCAATTATATCTTTCTCTGTATTAATCTGCAAGAAGGTTATCAAATTAGTTTTGCTCTCAGTATGTAATGGTCCCTTGTCATTCAACAGTATAGTATGCATTTTGCAATTCAAACTATTTGGGCAAAACTTGGTATGAGTGAAGCAACAAATGGGTTCGGACTGTCTGCCGCCAAATTGGGGAAACCTTGGGGAAACCTGCTTTAAAAGCAGTCACGGAAACGACAGGTGAGGAATGATGTCAATTTTTTTCCTCCAAGTTATTCAAGGCGCGGTTTCTACTTTTTTCCTTTTGCCTTTGTTCCTGTCGAACGTGAAATATCTCGTATATTGCGTTCTGCCACGATGATTAGCATTTCCGGCATGACGGATCCCATCAAAGCGCCTGCGAGTAACCATCAACCTCTCATTAACGCGCAAAACACGCTGAAAAACATCCTCAAATGCGACCACAAGTGTCCCGACTTGGCCGAGATGCTTAAAGGCAAGCTCACGTTCTCGATGGATGGAACAGTTATCTCGGTTATGCAAGTGACTCACTGTTCGGTTTCTAGGGCCTACATCGGATCAGTACGCTAAGCATGTCGATTCTTCAGAGCAAGAGTTTGTCAAAAGTGATTACGTCCAATTGCCCGAATCTCTCTCCGACCAAATCGATCGTACGTAACCCCCAGCCATGCTTGTCCATGGATACAGAATGCTGACAATGGTAGCTTATAGATCTCGAATGTCGCTGTTTTATGGGAGTATTGCCAGAAATCAACTATGCTTGGATGACCGTGGATCATCGTCTGTTCTTGTGGAATTACGAAACTGGGTAAGAGCAAACAATGGCCCCTGTTTTTTTTTGAGCCATGCACGAAATAACCACATCATCACCTACTTTTTTTTTGGAATGACAGCAAAGATATCTATACCTACGAAGATCAAGATCAGATTATATGCAGCGTTGGCTTGGTGAAACCGAAACCAGGTATGAGTCGTGATAAGCTTTTACCACAACTGACGCGTATACTGATAATTGTCATGAAAAAGATGTATTTGGTTCCCATATCAACTATGTGCTCGTCGTCACGACACCGCTTCAAGTTATTGTACTTGCCATGTCTTATACTGCGGCTCGAGAAGGCGAACCTTGTCGTGTGACGTTATTTGCTACGGATATGAGTGTGTCATCTGACGATGTACAACTCGGACAGATCGCTGGCACCGATGATGGTAGAATATTCATGGTCGGCGATAATGGTCATCTCTATGAATTGGATTACAGAGTAAGTGAATAAGTGTTTCATGCCGCCATACCGTTCACATGAAATAACGTCATCATTTGGTTGGCGAATCCTTCACAGCATCCGGATACCTGGTTCGGTCCTCAATGCAAGCTTTTATGTCGCACGTCTAGCGCTTTTACACACTATCTTCCCACCATTTTCAGAACCGCAACACCAGATGGTACCTGTCAATGCAGAACTATTTCATTACCTCTAAATATATACTGATATATCAGTTTTTGCAGCAAACGCAAAATCGCTCGCCATTGATAACGAGCGCAAAGTGTTGTACATACTGAAGAAAAATAACAGCATCGAGGTGAGTTCTGGGGTGTCTTTTCACGAATATAACCGTGAAAACTAACGTTGTGAATGATGTTGGGGTGGATGCAGGTAATTTATCTCGGTGATCCAAAGAACAACTTTTTACCTGCTGCGAAAAACACCGACATTGGCAACTCTGCACGACTGATGTGCCGTCAAAACTCGATGATGTATGATGCGACTGAATTCGAGCTGCAATCCATCCACGTCATTTCCAAGATGGAATCTAATCGTATCCACTTGCTCGGTGTGACCAACAAGGGTTTCCGTTTGTATTTTACGCATGAACAAAGCGCGGTGCGTTTTATGTCTGTATCTGATTCATCAACCGATCGACGTCCGAATGTTCTTGAGCTCGTTCACGTACGTGTACCGCCTCCAGTCAATACGCAGACAAATGGAACGACGATGCCCCAAATGCTGCTTCCTGTCCACGCATCCTATTACGATTGCGGTATCTTTGTCGCCGCTCGAAGCATGTCAGAAGATAAGGATAGCATCATTATGACAGCTCGCGAACTCGGAGAAGTCGTTCACCAACAAACCACCACTGGTATCATGATGGTAAACAAAGCATCCAACGAAAGGGTGTATGAACTAGAAGATGCTAAGTAACATATATAGATGGGTCAACGATCTGGCTTTGTGGAAAACAGCAGTTCGGTGGAATGTGATGAAGGCAAAATCTGGGCCATTGTGGAAACGAATGTAGCAAACAGAGGACAGCGACACATGAATGAGATTACCGAACCGCTGACGCGTGCGTCACGACAGTTCCTGATCCTCACCAATACGGCGCTTTTGTTTTACAAAAAGCAACGTCCCGTCGACGTACTCCATCAACTGCTTTTGAAGTCTCACGGGGATTTGGATGCCAATCGACAAGAATTCCGTTCCTTTTTCGAATGTTACGGTCAAATCCAAGCCTGTGCAATGTGTTTGAATATCATCTGTGCAAGTTTTGCGCTCCATATGCCCGAACAAGGTATGAAATAGAAACACTCTCGAATAATAACGATACGCTGATATATGCATTGATTTGTGTTTTGTAGAGAACGTGATTCGAGGTGCTACGCGGTTGTTCTTTGAATGCGAAGAGAAACTTTTCCGTAAAGAGAACCAAATTATCAGCAGCAACCATTTAGCAAAGGCGGTGGCTCCACCGGCAACAGGGTATAGCAGTAAACACGATGGATTTGTCCTGTATTTTGCACGTTTATTGTCGCCTGTTTGGGAAAAAGAAATCTTCCAAGCAAAGTAAGTCATGGCCAGAAAAATATCGATGGACTGTAGTAATGCTCATTTGTTTTTTTTTCCTTTTGAAAGCTTTGACCAAAAGTCGAATGAGCACTATACCCGGCTACAAAAATCACTGATTGACGTTAAATATGAACTCGAAAAGCTGAAAAAATTCATGGATTTGTAAGTGGATATCGAACCATGATTGATTTTGCGGCAGATAATTAATGTGAATACGATAGGAATTCATCCTTCCATATGTCAGCTGATCTGTTAGACTCGCGATTTCAATCGGTTGATCGTGATACTATCCAATCCCGCTTGGTAAATCAACTGTCGTCTCCATCATCCATTGACGCCATATAGCTAATCTCGGATCTGTAGAATGAGCAACAATCTTTGCATGAATTGTATTTGCTTCTTGCACAATCCATCGAAGCCATTTCTTTCATCGACTTTTTGATCGATGCCGGAGTACAAGAGATCTTGCAATGGTTTGTTTTCCTCTTTTTTTTTGGAATGCCAGTATGGACAGGTGGATTCATGCTAATGAAACTGTATAGTGTGCCGGAAGAAAGCAAAAATGAAGTATTCAAGCTGACTTTGGAAAATATGTTGACAAGCCCTCAAGGGCGTGTTCTTTCCCGTGAATTGGTAATTGCTGCCATCAACAAATACGGAACCACCTATACACATGTCGGATTTGATGTGGTCAGCGATTTACTACAACGTCGATGCAGCTCCTTTTTCGGTCCAACGGATGTAGCTTTCTACAAGGTATAAAAGAAAAAGGACGAATGACGATAAATATCTTGGCCAGAGTTCTAATGTGATGGACGTATTTATGATAGGGCATGGAAAATGTGCGACGTGCACAGAAAGCAGAGACGGATTTTGAGCGAACCAGCGCGCTATCGGAATCGCTTACATTCTTCAAAGAGGCAGCGGAATACGTTACGGACGAAAAGCTCGCGCGAGTATGCATGGAATATCGTCATCAGGGTTACCACGTTGGAGCTGTTGAATTGGCTCTTGAATGCGCGAACAAATTCGATCCTCAACAGCAAGGACTGGCTTATGCTGAAGGCCGACAAGCCCCATCCGATCCACGACTCACTTTCTATAATATACGCGTGGCATGCTACGATCGCGTGTTTGATACGCTAATGGAAGCCAAAATGCTCCGCGATGGAACACTGCAGCATCCAAAAGTGGTGAATCCTAGCAACTATGCGGCTGAAGTGTTTGCCAAGGCTTTGGCCAGTCAAGACAAATTATTCCATTACTCGTTATACGCTTGGCTGCGACACAATGGGCTGAAATCCGAATTACTGGCTGTAGATACTGCATATTTAATACCGTTCTTCAACGATTGCGTGGATCCCATGGAAGCGAAGGAATTCCTTTGGCAATATTATCGAAGACGCGAAAATTACTACGAAGCAGCACTTTGCTTGGAGAAGTTGGCCAAGGATTCATCCAATTTGAAGCTCACGAAGCGTGTGGAATATCTTGCATTGGCGGTAGTGAATGCACGATGCCGAGATTCGAAGCATCAACGACGACAGGAGGCTACCGAGCTTTTGCAAAACCTGGAAGAGCACGTGGAAGTGGCCCGGATACAAGTTCGCTTACATCAAATCCTACCCAGCTGTGGACCTGAAGGTGACCGAATCTCACAATCGCTTGACGATCGTCTGGCGTCCATTACCGAACTTTTTATGATTGCAAAGGAATTCAACGTTTACGACGAAGTACTGTATATTATGAAGATAGCCGACCATTACGACTTGCCTTATTTGCAACAAGTGTGGAAAGCAATCATCGAACAAAGTAAGGACGAACCTTTCTATAACCATCGGCCAACCGTTTTACTCAAATGAGACACTTTCTGTAGATGAGTTGATAGCGCAAAAAGAAGCCATTTCTCCATTTGCATTACTGAAACCCAAGATTGTGCACTTGGCTGAACGGCTATATCCTTCAAAATTTGTATTTCCTGTTGGTAAGTGATTAATAATGGTTTGGATGAAGTCTCTGCGCACCCATAGTCTTACACCGAAACATTCACAGATATTGTAATACAAATACTTGAAAGCTATTGTTTCCAACATCGCGATGCGATCCAAGTTGGTTTCGTCGCGAATGCGTTGCTATGTGCTGGTATTCCTGTGGATATTCTTGAGGATGCATATATAACCGATTTAGAAAGCAAGGTAAGGTGACTCTCACCATGTCGGATGGGAAAGGGAGATCTAACCATTTTTCACAGAGACCACCATGGCGCTCCGAAGAAGAATGTGAATATCTGCTATCACAAATCAATTATATCAAAAGCCTTTGACATCTTTAACATCTTCCTCCTTTATAAATTGATTGATAAAAAGTTTACAAACCACAGTTGAAATTCCCCCTTTTATTATAAAACCCAGATCTCGACCTATTTTGGCATATTTGCTCTTAGGATCATGCACTTTTTTTAATTTATACGAATAGACAAAATGCCATGCCGAGTGGCGCTGCTCGAAGCGGCGACGGACAGGAAATCTGCTGTCACCGACACCGGAGATAAATTCCGTTGGCAGTTGTCATTACACCCCTGCACGGCAGCAATCGAATCTCTTGGAACAAGCATCAGCCATATTCTTTGTATTTTTGGTTGCTTCCAGGATTTCTCATAATAGACTGGATAGTTATTTTATTTTTTCTTTTCTTCTAAGGTCATACGACGTAAACTCGGTATTGCTGTTCTTAAATTTACAAATACATACACTTTGGCTTCATATCATATCATACATCGAAATACAAAAAAAAAAGGAAGAAAAAAAAATTACAAAAAGGAGGCCTCGTACAATGGAAGGGATAGTGGAAGAAAGGAAGGTTGGCATATAGAATATCGGAGAAACATGATCCAAACAGGTGGGTATTACAGCACGGTTGTTGTTATTGTGGTCGAACTGGCTAGTTGATCATAATCGGCATCAATGGATGGAAAAGAGACGTAGTCGTCTTTGAAAGACCATGTACGTTTGTCATTATGCCAATCAATCGAGCACGACGACGAGGACGATGCCATAGATGAAAAGGAAGAAGAACGAGACATGGAAGGTGAACTGACATTGTCCTCGGCTTCGCTACGTTTATTTGGTTTTTGTTTTTTACCAGGCGTCCAATTGGTAAGAAAGCGTAGGATCATCTGTGGCAGGTGGATGTAAGTCGACGTGAGATAAAAGGAAGAAGCAGCATTGGCAAGGTCATATTTATAAGGAAGATAAAAATAACAGCTGTAGCAAACATGATAACTTTCATTTCTTATCTTGGAATATGGAGCAAAAAAGATAAAATATGATCCACATGGCTTTGCTGATAGAATGTGTCGATCATTTGAATGGCTGTCAACGTGTTGTTCTTTCCGATTTGACTTTAGTCAGGGCGGAGATTGAAGCTATCTTGAGCATCACACAGCACACGAGTATCCCCAATTCAGGAATACAAGGTCTAGAATTTAATCAAATCCACAGCAGGCCCGTGCTCTCTGTTGCAAAAGTTAAGAATAGAACAGGACACCCAGCATGTCAACAATTTTTAGAAACTGTACAAATACAGAATACGTTGAAATCTCTTCCCCGCAAAAAAAAATCCCATGGTTACATTGGGATAGCAATATAACTTATTCCGGAGACTCTTCCAACATGTCGTGATAACCTTTCACTTTGGCAACTTCCGATTAAATTTCTTGATTGTATCACCCGATTTATGAAAACCCTATATCACATTATTTCTAAAGCGAAAAAGCCAAAAGAAAAAAAAATGAAGCCATAACCTCGTTTACATTTCTTTTTTTTTTATGCTCAGCTCAAAAAATACTATCTTCACACATCAAAAATATTTGATGGTCCTATTTACAAAACAATATGTACAATTTCGATAGGCACCGGAGTGGAATCGTATTCTTCGTCATCACTTCGGTTTCTAATCTTTCTTGATTTCTTGCGATCATGGCGACGAGTAGATCCTGCTCTTTTTCTATGGGTAGCAGGGGCAGGGTCTTCATCCTCCTCCATGTCATGGTCCTCGTCACTACTGCTCCATTCTTCAATCTCCGCAAACTCTGAAGACGACAGGACTTGCATATTGTCTGTCATAGTGTTGTCATCTCCCTCGTCTCCGTCGTCAAGAAACTCAATTAACGATTTTCGTAACAAGGATGGAAACCAATGCTCTTCAATAAATTGTGATGAGTCGCTGTCATCGCTGTCGCTGTCATCGAACTCCATGTCGTAGCTATCGTCGACATCGCTGATTTCATATGACGCTTGTGGCATTGGCGGCAACATGTCGCTAGAGTCAACCTCACTGATGGTAACGGTGGTAAAGCTGGTAAATTGATTGTCAGGATTTGTAGTTTGTTCGAAAATTTTGTATTGATAACTCATAATGGATATTGGTGAGTTAATGAAGAAGTTAGACTGCATTTTTTTTCTCTAATCCTGCGTTTTCTCTTTTCGCCCATTTCAAACCCCGAAGTGATGCAATTTCGGTTGTCATGTAACCGATTGCTGATAGAAATTTTTGACCAATGGAAAAGCGTATATAACCGATCTCAGGATGATAGCGCGTTGATGAGCTTTTTGATGATGATAAACGGTGTGATAGAGGGAAAAGTCTCGATGCCACGAAAGGAATTTGTGAACCCATGATGATACTTGTTTTCATATTGGTCAAGCTCGTTCACATTGGTTAACTTTTGGCATTTTCTATATGAAGTTTGGTAAAATACGAAAGCAAATCCATTTCACTGAAGAATGAACATCGGAGATGGGACCGCTGTATAATAGACAAGAAGTATTTTTTTTGGTAGCATGTAGCGTGGTATTTGCGCGTCCTATGCGCTCGTTATCTGCTTTCTTCATGGTATGGTCCGGACTCCCAAGAAACAATTGAACTCTGGCAATTGAAACATATGCACTGCAAAGATATTGAGCATTCTTAAACGCTTTAATTAAGGTTTCAGTAAATGAAATCTCTGCAAATGCAACTCTCCCATTTAACGCCAAGCTTCAATGATATAGTGAACTTGCAATTAGAATTCTTTAACTTTTCTTCTGATAAAACATATTGCGAGTTCCAATGTCGTCCTCTGCTACAGCAGTCAAGCCGTTATACGAAAGGATGGAAATGCAAAACTTAATGTAATTTTATTGATTTATGAAGGCGGCATTCCATCCAACAGTTTTAGTACCGCAAAGAGTCAACTACATCCAGACACCTGAATTCCTCTATGGAGATAGGTTCAAGTAGCTCATTTATGAGATGCTGTGTGTGTGTTGTCTAACCATCACGCTGGGCCATATAAATGTATTCCAGAACACAACAATATTAAGGTTTGACATCTTTTTCAAGATGCTCGCGTCAAAATAGCTGCAGCTTCATGCCCAGTACACATCTTTTCTGAAAAGACGTAGCGATCTGTATAAAAATGAAAATCCCAATCTGACGCGGCCATAACACCATTGAATCGATCATGAAACGTGATCGACCTACGACTGCAGGTGAAAGCGAGGAATAACACTATTACTAGTAAATAAAAAGGTTTGACGGATAACATTCATATAAAAAAGTCATCAATATAGGAATTTTATGGTTACTTTGTGATCCTGTTACTATCATGGACACTGCCAACTTCTTCAAGTTGATCTATGAACTTATCAGACGTAAGATAACTAAGTAGTTACCTGATAAAGGTACCTTGCCTCAAAAGTAACCTATTAACTAGTTATCAAGTGAAAACTCAATAACGATAGCAACTATACCTGATAAATAAGAGTGAGAAGAGGATACCCCTGTGGTGCGCACATCGATCAAAGTGCTCTCTCTTGGATGGTTATTTCACCTGCTGCAGCGAACATAAAAATATATGTATTGGATTGTAACATATAGGTCTCAATATATATCAAAATGTGAGACAAAAACAAGATTGTACAAGAATAAAAAGCTGCAAAACGAAGCAAGAAAAAAGATAGAACATAAATCACGCAAGAATGCATATTCTTTTGGGATGACAAATGAGTTTCATTCTCCGCCTTAAAAACACGGTACTGTTTTTTTTTTCTCTCTCTCTTCGCCTCTTTTTTTTTTCTTTTTTTTGCTTGTGTCTTCCCTCCTGGTGTGGGTTTGTGACATTCTTCCATTCGGTCGTTTCTTCGCTTGTCAATATAAATCGACCATTTCGTGACCAAATTATGCGCAGGCAAAGTCCTACTCTGAACAACCTCTTTAGAACTGTATAATACCTCTCCGTGTTCGCAACCCCCCCCCCCATTTTGATCCATAGACTGTACAAAGTAATTACATCTTCCCTTTACATATACGATACGAACCCAACCCAATAACCCCCTCAAACTATGCCGTCAGAAAAGGTACGCAAATCTATCTCGAGCATTTCAAACATTATATTGCTCATACTTGTTTTTTTTTCCAGACTTTGACACCGACAATATGCTTTGGAGACATTAGCCGAGAAGAAATTAACACCACACTGAACCAGGCCGGTGTGTCCTTGTCACCTCCTCGAAAAGTACGTTGTATAGTATACGGTTTTATTGATTGCTGGGATACTTATTCGTATGCATCGCTCCCCAGATTCCTTTTGCTCTCGGGGTGAAAAGAAAAACCAAAAAGCGCCTCGTCATCAACGGTCCTCCTGCTGTGCCATCTGCCGCCCCTGCTATTCCAGCTTCATTACCTTTAGAATCCTCGATCTCAACAGCTCATTCCCAGGAAAAATCGAAAGACGACAACGCCATTGCGGAAAACGCAATAGACGAGTCGGCACAACAACCCAATGGCGTGGAAGTCGACGCAACGAAGCCTATTCAGAATGGAAAAGTTGACGTCACACCTTCCACACCCAAAGTTAAACCTTCCAGCTGGGCTGCTTTGCTCAAGTCCTCCGATTCAGCCAAAGTTAAACCCAATGCAGCGCTTGCTAAACCCTCGCAAGTCGTCAAACCCGCCAAAGTCGTGCCTCCTGCTGCTTCGATTCCCAGATTGTCAGGCATTGGAGGTAAGTTCTCGAGATGCCGCGTCCTAGAAAAGAAGTGATATTTTGTAGACTCACTGATAAATTTGGGTTCTAGATATGATTCAAAATTATCAACCTTCTTCGGAGGGTCCTCTTTTGGAGCCTCGCGGTCTTATCAACAACGTGAACACTTGTTTCATGAACGTTGTACGTACAAACCTGCCATGGTATTTCACAATTTTTCCGACTGGCTCATGTTCCATTGTCTTTGATAGATCCTTCAACCTTTGTCCCATTGTCCGCCGTTCTACAATTTGTTCAAAGATATCAGTACGCATGTTGCTCACACATTCAAGAGCAAAACACCGTTAACCGATTCCATGTAAGCTTCAACAGGATCGTATTCACAAATAGCAAAACTGAGCCATCTTTTATTGCAGTATTGAATTCATCAACGAATTTCGACTTCAGCCCAAGAATGTCTTCCAAAACGAGGAATATGGCGAGCCATTTGTTCCGGAATATGTGTATGACGCCTTGCGCGGAAAGAAACGATTTGATTCACTGAAGGTACGTATAGTAGTTAACAGGAAAATGAGCAAAGCCGTAACTCAAACACGTATATTTCAGGGCCGTCAAGAAGATGCAGAGGAGTTTTTGTGCTTCCTGTTGGATGGACTTCATGAGGAGATGGTTTCTGGTAAGCAAATGCTTTGGACTAATTTCAGTCGCAAACGTCTTGCTCAATCGTTGAAAATTAGTGCTGAAGGAACATAATGAGAAGTTGGCAAAACTTGCTGCTGATGGAACGGATGATGAATGGTTGGAAGTAGGACCGAAAAATAAAACGAGCAATTTGCGATCGGTAAGTTGAAAAGGTTACTTTTTTTCGCGTTGATATTCTTATTCTTTTTTTTTATATATATATCCAAATAGACCGGCTTCGAAGAATCACCGATTAGCAATATCTTTGGAGGCAAAATCCGGTCTGTTTTACGGTGTCCCGGCGCAAAAGACTCGGCTAACCTGGAACCGTTCCAATCGTTACCCTTGGATATCCAACCTGAGAATGTTGCCTCAATTCAAGATGCCATTCATAACATGACAGTGCCTGAGATCATGCATGATTTCATGTCGCACAAGGGAGTTCGAGTGGAGGCGACAAAGCAGATCTTTTTTGAGAGCCTGCCGCTTGTTCTCGTTTTACATTTGAAACGATTTGTGTTTGATAATGTGGGTGGTGTGCAGAAATTACAGAAACACGTAACCTACGAGCCACAACTCACCATTGATCGAGGTATGTTTGCATCCTGCGCATGAGTGACAATTTTGAATATGTCTTTTGACGAGTTTTTTACTACTATAGAATGGATGACACCTGCAGCGAGGACATCAAGTCCCATTACTTATCAACTTTTTGGCGTTATTTATCATCATGGCGCGTCTGCTGGTGGCGGGCATTACACATGTGATATCAAGAGGCAGAACGGCGAATGGCTTCATATTGACGATACGGCCATCATACCTGTTTCTCAGGAGGATGTTTTGGTCACGGAGGAAAATACCCGTACATCTGAGAAATTGCACACTGATCAGACAGCTTACATTTTGTTTTACATGAGAACATAAGTATCAAAAAAGAAAAAAAAAGTAATAATCAATAAAAAAAAAAGACTAAGGGGCAAAAAAAAAAATAGGAAGACGAAATGGAAAAAAAAATGGCATGACTTTTTTGTTTATTTTGCGACAACCCCGTCAGTAAAAAAAGGTTCAGTAATCGATTAAAAAATGTATAATTTATATGGCAGCAAATTTAGTGAGTGACAGCACCTTTGCCCTTGTAACCTTCAGAGGACACACCAGTGATAGGGTTCGACTTTTGGCTTCGAAGGTATTCGTTGGTGGCTTCCTCCCATTCTTTGGTCGTGGTGATTGGCACTTCTTTAGCTGTTTATTCCATGACGTGTATATTAGCATCCGCGAAAAAGAATTAACGTTAAAAAAAATTGCTGAACGATAACTTACCACCCTGGCGCATGGCATAGAAGAGAGCAGCGGAAACGGCAAGGACACCGGAAACACCAGCAAGAACTTTGCTGGCATGTCCGGGTTTGGTGATAGGTTCGCGAGGGCCGTGAGGACCAAAGGCAATGTAATCTAACAAGCAGCAGGAATGCGGGTCATTAATTTCGGAATGGTTGACACTAATTAAGGGCTCATGCGCAACTTACACGACGCTTTCTTTTCGTCAGTGGTCAAAGCCTTCCAGTCGCCCTTTTGAGCTTCCTCAAGTTTGGTAGCAATAGAGTTTTGTTCGGAGGTGGACAAGGTCTTCCAGCGTGCTTCCAAGTTTTGGACAGCAATGTTGGAAGCGTTACGACGACCAATAACACGAGAAGCGTTGGCTTGAGCGCGAGCGGCAGTAAGGCGAAACATTATTGCAAGATGGAGTGTAAGACGGAGAGGGGGAGAGATTTTCGACGAAAGAAGAAAAAAAAAAAATCAGAACGGTCTTTTTGCAATGGGATTCTGAGCGGAGAAATTCCGCTTTTTTGTTATTTGCTTGAAGCGCCTAACAGCCCCGCCGTTTTGTCATCATCCTGGCACGACAAAAATTTAACCAGCGCACGTCATCAAAATTATTTGATTGGGTGAAACAAATGGCCACAGCGCACGAAAATGGGGGGGAAGTCAGATTATTTTTTTATTATGCAGTTTATAAGCGCGGCTGGCGCTCTTGATGAAGTGCAGCTTCTACCACCACATATTGAGTGTAACACCTTTGAAGCCTAAAGCTGTTGCTGGAAGTCTTGTTTCTTGGAAACATCCAAATTTCAATTGTCTGGATTGGGAGGGAGGCTCTTATTCTATCCACCTCAGATTTGCACTCCACTCAACAGATGGCCCCGGCGAAAGACCAAGCGTCTTTTCCCATGATGCACAGCCGGTACTTGCGGTGAGTGTCCAAAGGTAGAGAGTGCTCAATGTCAAGAAATTATATGCTTACAAATGGAGCACTATGTTCTCCAAAAAGATCCAACAGCTCGTTTTCATTCAATAAAAAGATAGATTATATAAAGCCTTCAGTGAACAATCTGTATGCCGCCTTTTCACTTGATAGTCAGTAAGCTCTTTTGGGAGCAATGTCAAATACTCTACATTCGATTACTTCAATTTATTCATTGTTTGTTTTCGGTATTGATCTGGGTTGCCTTCGCTTCGGCCCTATTTTCGGCCTTGTCCAACCGACATGTTTTGAAGCGAGAATTTCATCAGAGGATAGCGGGCGGTAGGTAGAAGCAACAAGGTGGAGACAGACACCAATCTGTGGCCCTAGGGCATGTGGCGATGCGATACTAGAATTGAATAATTGGAAAAGGGAGGTGGGAAAACAAGAGCAGAGACACCTCGCGAACCACAGAAGTTGTCGGCAGCCGGACTGTCATACAGATGGTACTGAGATCCAAGACACCCGCAGCAGTATCGTCTATTGACTTGTAAAATGGAACTCCATTCCGAGGACTGCAATGACGCAGGCTGCACTATCAAAAAGCAATCATGGTTCGTTCCTGCAGAAAACATTGTGTAATTCATACATTCTCGTTATCATGCAAAAATAAAATAAAAATAAAAAAACCAAGGGAGATTACGCTGAGCCCACTACGGAACTATTAAAGTTCATGAATGCAGGGGTTTTGCGCCATATCCATCTCCATGCCATCGCTAAATTACTTATGGGGCGATGATTGTCGACAAGGCGGTGGAGTTTGTATTAGTGGTCGAAGCATACGGACGATAAAAAGACATACACTGAAAAACAAATCAGGATGGCTTCACACCGTTTAGCTATATATATAAATTATTATCCGTAGATATCAATAAAGAGTCAGATGAAAATGGCATAAACCGAAGCTTGAAGGCGGCAAACTCTCGCTACGATGTCGGTACCATCAGGTCTGGGATAATGAGTTGATATACGCTCAAAGGCTTCAGCAACTCCACCCGGCAACCGCAAGGATAATTTTTCCCAGTAACGAGGTGCAACAAATATCTGAATGCAATGCGGATCCCAAACATGGGCGCCTTAGCAACGATTGCGGCGTCGCTACGGCAACAGAGATAGATTTCGGGATTTGTCGATGAAACAACATGCCTGACCGCCAGATGCGCTCACGTCGGGATCATCATGCCGGCAACAGTATTCAACCTGTACAATATGCCTCACGCACACTCTGGATTATCCTCCTCATCAGCCGCCAAATTGGTGTCACGATTTTTTACAACCCTTGGCCAATGGTGCCCTGGTGAATAGGCCCGCCAATTCAACTCTGCAGTGACTGCATTTGACACCGCATTGGCTTGTCCAAAACTTAAAAAGACAGCAAACAAATTTCGGAGTGGAGGCTTTGATCTCGCTGGCAACAAAGTTAGAGTATCGTTAGATTTCCTAGGAGATCGGAAGATGTCCATTGACACAATCGGAGGTAAATGGTCCTGGTTGCAACACCGTCTTAGCGATGGTTCTTTTGGACATCAAATAAAACGCTCTACGCCGGATAGTCGCTTGCTTTTGTGTGCATGAAACTAAGTTTTCCGTCTTACAATATGCTTTACAGTTTCAGGCACAATCCGTTCGCGAACTAGTGCGAACACGTTTGCCTGATTCTTGGGTAACGAGATGATTATTACGGAAGACACCGCCCGCGGCACATTGGAATGCCGATGAACATTTGTTTATTTTTCTTTATCGAGATTTATTTTTAGCAATTGCAAGCAAACGACAGCTCAAAGTAGATCGCTTCGATTTACTCAGACGTCAAGCAATAATCTCCAACTCGATCAAGCACAGTGGATTGAGCAGACAGGGTAGCTAATGTGAATTGTCCGAGATGTGGCGGCTTACGAAGGCCAAAACAATCAAATCAGTATTGCAGCAATGCCCATTTCACTTCTGCATTTTTCCTTTGAATAAAGAGCGAGCGAGTATTCTAAGCCTACTAATGCAAATTTACTAGACTGTATGCATTGCCTTTGATACAAAAGAAGCGAAAGCTAATGATCACGGTTGTGAAAAACTAAGGCTGCAATTTCCATAATAATTTTTTTGAAGCTTGGCATGTACACATCTACAGCTATATTGCGCTAGAAAGATGAGAAGAACCCTAAAAGACATGGATATGGGATTGAAAACAGAAGTTAAGCCAAAAGGTAAACATCAACAACAAGAGACCTTGGAGCAAAAAGTATTGCAAATATTGCCCCAAAAAATACACATTATGCATTTGTTCACCTTCACGTTTCAACAACCGCCGCCTTGATATGGTAAGTGATTGTAACGGAAGCCAATCAGAGCGTCGAAACGTGACATAATTGTCACAAAATGCAGTCACAATGCTAGAGGGCCATATAGCAAGTTTTTGCTTTTTTCCTAAAAAAGCTCGCTTAGCTCAGTCGAAAGTGTATAAGTTTATTGGAGGGATGGCCAATCGACCCTTTGCAGGGTCCTCTATAGGCCATACCATCATGAGAAACAAAGGAAAGGGGGAAACGAAAAAGAACACCTATAGAATCTCACAGAGGTGCAAAAAGGCAAAAGAAAGGGTGAGGAACACTAGCTAAGACGCCACCGTTCACTCCATGGTCTCCTCCGCAACGTGCTCTAATGGTTGTGGCAGTGGGAGGAAGATGCCAGAGGGAGATCCAGGCGCGCTTCACCAGGGGTAGAGACAGAAACAGCAGGCCAAACTTGGCCCGGGGTGGGATCAGTGCTATAATCGCCGTCGGGATTGCACAGTTGGTCGATGTGCCAAAGAATGGTACAGAGGTCGGACCAAAAGGTGGGCATGGCAGCGGAACGGGAGGTTGGCAACTGGTTGAGTGTATAATCCAATCGGACACCAGTAAAATCCGAAGGAGGAAAGGGGAGGCTATCCCAAAGGGTCGAAGGGATCTTGTGGCAAACCATCAAATGGGATCGTTTGGTCTCACCAAAGCCACAGGCGCACGGACGAGGTTTTCCTGGTAGCCACCCCATACGCCATCGCACAAGGCGACTACGATCGGGCCGGGAAGCCGGGACAAAAAGAACAGGATCAATTTCGAGTGACGATCGGCAAGCACGAATGAGAACACGATCGGTGGAAGCAAGGAAGGCGGTGAAATGGGTCTGGCGATATTGGCGTAGCCATCGCTTAAGACGTGAGGGAGAGGAATCATCCATGGGATAATCGCGAGCGATTTTTCGCTCACGGAGACGAGAGAGAAGAGACAAAGGAACGGAAGGTGAAAGGAGCGTAAGGAGGCAATCGTCCGGGAGCCAGCCGGTACGAAGGCAAAACTTCAGCACTAAGGTGTCTGCACGAAAAGACATGGTCGGAAGGTTGCACAGGTGCTTCAGAACTTGGGTGGAGGATGTGCGATGGCCGCCAACGATCATTCGGAGGCAACGATCTTGTACACGTTCGAGCTCGGCGTATTCTTTTTTTAGCAAGTGGGCAATGGCCAATCCATACTCCAACTTGGGGCGGACGAAGGCAGCGTATATCCGAACCGAGAATAGCAACGGAAAACCATTGCGGTTCAGGCCCATAGCGTTAAGTTGAGACATGGCGAGGAAGGTGCTTTGCGCGCGATGGCGGATCATGGCAGAAACATCGATGCCTTTGGAGCGGAAGGGTATACCAAGATAAATGAATTCATCGACTGGTGGGAGGGGAACGTTGTAGAGACTCAACCTAACGTAGCTGCGCGAACTGGGAACTGGCGCATTTAAGATGGCACATTTGGAGGGACTCCATTTGTAACCAAGAGCAACCGAGTGGGCCTCAGCAAGCGACAACATGTGCTGGACATCACGGGCAGAACCAACGAGGGCCACATCATCTGCGTATAATAGACAGTTGATGGGGGTGGGCGAGGGATCAGAGGAAGGAATGGAAAGGGGACCGAAAGGAAGGCCAAAAGGTGGAGCGACATTGTAGGGAGGTGGACGAGTAGGGGAACAAGATAGGACGGACGTGGTGGGAAGGGAAGCAGCGGAGCGAAGGAGAACAGGTAAGGTGTTGATGTATATTGAGTAAAGGAACGGACTGAGGACTGAGCCTTGTAGGACACCAGTGGCAGGGACGAAAGGAGTGGAGACATGATTGCTGAGCAGGACCGTAATGGAGACATCATCAAACATGTGGGCAAGAAGGGATACCAGGGCTGGGGGGGCAGAACAAGCAAGAAGAGATTGCCAGATAACACGTCGGTCGACGGTATCATAAGCGGACTTGATGTCCAGGAATGCAACTACCGGGTAATGATTATGGCGATCGCGGTAGGCGCGCATCAAGTCATGCAAGCAGAGGGCTTGATCCAACGCACTACGTTGATGCCGAAAGCCACCTTGAGAGACATCGAGGGGGGGAGCAGCGAGTTCCACAAAGGGCAAGAGACACATTTCAAAGAGTTTTCGGATGATGGAGGTGAGTGAGATGGGGCGGTAATTACTGGGCGAAGAAGCATCACCTTTCTTGTGGATTGGGACGACTTGAGCTTCA